TATAGAAATGAAAACTTTAACCTTCGATATCTCCTAAACGGTTAGAGATACAGGCTTCGGACTGGTACCAAATTAAAGCCTTTCAAAACCCTACATTTTGGACTACATGGACGACTCTCTACTCCCAGTAGAAGCGGAGATATCGACGGAGAGAAAGGTTGGAAATCTTCAACCTTCGATATCTCCTAAACGGTTAGAGATACAGGCTTCGGACAGGTACCAAATTAAAGCCCTTTCAAAACCCTACATTTTGGACTACATGGACGACTCTCTACTCCCAGTAGAAGCGGAGATATCGACGGATGAAGGCTGGATATCGACGGAGAAAGGTTAGAAATCTTTAAACTTCGATATCTCCTAAACGGTTAGAGATACAGGCTTCGGACAGGTACCAAATTAAAGCCCGTTCAAAACCCTACATTTTGGACTACATGAACGACCCTCTACTCCCAGTAGAAGCGGAGATATCGACGGATGAAGGCTGGATATCGACGGTGAAAGGTTGGAAATCTTTAAACTTCGATATCTCCTAAACGGTTAGAGATAGAGACTTCGGACAGGTACCAAATTAAAGCCCTTTCAAAACCCTACATTTTGGACTACATGGACGACTCTCTACTCCCAGTAGAAGCGGAGATATCGACGGATGAAGGCTGGATATCGACGGAGAAAGGTTAGAAATCTTTAAACTTCGATATCTCCTAAACGGTTAGAGATACCGGCTTCGGACAGGTACCAAATTAAAGCCCTTTCAAAACCCTACATTTTGGACTACATGACGACCCTCTACTCCCAGTAGAAGCGGAGATATCGACGGATGAAGGCTGGATATCAACGGAGAAAGGTTTGGAAAACTTTAACCTTCGATATCTCCTAAACGGTTAGAGATACAGGCTTTCGGACTGGTACCAAATTAAAGCCCTTTCAAAACCCTACATTTTGGACTACATGGACGACTCTCTACTCCCAGTAGAAGCGGAGATATCGACGGAGAAAGGTTGGAAATCTTCAACCTTCGATATCTCCTAAACGGTTAGAGATACAGGCTTCGGACAGGTACCAAATTAAAGCCCTTTCAAAACCCTACATTTTGGACTACATGGACGACTCTCTACTCCCAGTAGAAGCGGAGATATCGACGGATGAAGGCTGGATATCGACGGTGAAAGGTTGGAAATCTTTAAACTTCGATATCTCCTAAACGGTTAGAGATAGAGACTTCGGACAGGTACCAAATTAAAGCCCTTTCAAAACCCTACATTTTGGACTACATGGACGACCCTCTACTCCCAGTAGAAGCGGAGATATCGACGGATGAAGGCTGGATATCAACGGAGAAAGGTTTGGAAAACTTTAACCTTCGATATCTCCTAAACGGTTAGAGATACAGGCTTCGGACTGGTACCAAATTAAAGCCCTTTCAAAACCCTACATTTTGGACTACATGGACGACTCTCTACTCCAGTAGAAGCGGAGATATCGACGGAGAAAGGCTGGAAAACTTTAAACTTCGATATCTCCTAAACGGTTAGAGATACAGGCCTGGTTCTGGCACCAAATTAAAGTCCTCTCAAAACCCTACATTTTGCCGTAAGTGGCTACTCTCTACTCCCAGTAGAAGCGGAGATATCAACGCAGAAAGGTTGGAAAACTTTAACCTTCGATATCTCCTAAACGGTTAGAGATACAGGCCTGGTTCTGGCACCAAATTAAAGTCCTTTCAAAACCCTACATTTCAAAACCCTACATTTTCGACTACATGGACGACTCTCTACTACCAGCAGAAGCGGAGATATCGACGGAGGAAGGCTGGATATCGACGGAGAAAGGCTGGAAAACTTTAAACTTCGATATCTCCTAAACGGTTAGAGATACAGGCCTAGTTCTGGCACCAAATTAAAGTCCTCTCAAAACCCTACATTTTGCCGTAAGTGGCGCCTCTCTACTCCAGGAGAAGCGGAGATATCAACGCAGAAAGTTTGGAAAACTTTAAACTTCGATATCTCCTAAACGGTTAGAGATACAGGCCTGGTTCTGGCACCAAATTAAAGTCCTTTCAAAACCCTACATTTTCGACTACATGGACGACTCTCTACTCCCAGTAGAAGCGGAGATATCGACGGAGGAAGGCTCTCTTAAAATATTCTTTACTAGGTACTGCAGTTCCTTCTATATATGTGGACGCGGACACTGTAAAACATATTGCAACAACTACAGACCTTCCACAAAATATACTGAAATGATGGAAACAGAAAATAGCGAAGAAAGAAGAAATAACGAAGAATTGCAAAACTGTGAAAAATTACAAAATTGCAACGAATTAGGAAACAGTAGCGAATGGTAAGTCTGATAGTATCAATATTTCTGAAACAAAGTTGTTATTTATTGACGGAGTCTATTAATGGCTCAAAATGGATATATTTAAAGTCTATTAATGGCTCAAGATATAACATTGTTAAGTATGAATAATGTAATATAATAATGTAGAGTTAGAAAAAAGTAAATTTCTTATTCTTCTATTAACAGCTCCGTGCAACTCACTGATCTCAATATGACTATCTCAAAGCATAAGTAAAAATACAAATTGTTCTGCTCATATTTCTTCCTGCAAAGAGCAATGTCATGTGTTGGAAGTTCGAATGGATGAACAAATGAAATTAATGCAAGAACAAAATGAGAAAATAGAAAAAATAGAACAGCGACTATAACAACAACAAAAAAAGATTAATATGATACAGCATCAACGTAGGAGATCTGAACTCGGAGAAATCACAAGAAAAAATGCATTATCTCCAAAGGCCAGAAGATTATATAAAAAAATGGTACAATTAAAGAAAAGTAAAAGACATATGTAGTTTGACATATGTAGTCAACCAAATGAAAGAGAAAAAAAATCACTAACATTAAGTACGACTGACAAAAAAGGAAGAATCGATAAAACTGCATCTGTGCGACAACAATTTATAGATATGGTATTGAGAAATAATAATGTACCACCACAGGTATAAAATTCGAAAGTTCTAGTAATGTTCCAATAATTTTATTACAATTAATGTTACGCTTAATATAACATGACTTACTATATTATTTATTAGCATTTTGTACTTTTTCTTTACTTATGACATTTTGTATAAATAGCTCTATATTTTGCAATTTCTTTTGTTAGAATTTGATACATGTATGAAAAGTACAATATTTACTTTTTTTACATTGAGGAAAAAAGAAAGAGATAATATTAAATGTCAAATAACAAATTGATAATTAATTTAATTGTAAGAAAAACATTAATTCTTTGCATTCATGATCATTATTTTCAATCAATTATATATATTTATCATTTATAAATATTTTCAATTAATTATATTTTAAGTACTTGCAGAATAATATTAATATGTTATATTAATATTATTTTACATTGATCGATATCATGCATTTCTTATACTCAAGTTATTTTAATTAATACAACAGGCAAGACGTTACACAGAACAGGATAAAATGTTTGCATCAACATTTATCGCAAATCACGTTCTGCATACAATTTTTTAGCAAAATATCTATTATGTCCATCTAGTACCACTTTAGATAAACAATTTAAAAACATTAATATTATTACTGGATGTAACAATATTATTTCGAAATATCTAAAACAAGTCGCCAAAGAGATCAGTGATATAAAAGATTTATATTATATTGTAATTTGGGACGAAATGTCCTTACAACCTGCCGTACAATATAACGAAAAAGAAGACAAAATTATTGGTTTTGGGATTGGGGAACGAGATGAACACGTAAATTCGCTGATCATGCGATTGTGTTTTATATGAGATGTCTCGCGCGTGGCACTCATATGCCTATTAGTTACGGCTTTTGCAACAATATAACCAATACAGTTCAACTTGTAAGATGTATCAAAGAATGATTGACGATAATCATAAAATCCGGTTTCAAACCAATCGGAACTGTATGCGATCAAGGAAGCGCAAATATTGCAGCTATAAATTATTGAATTCAGGAAACCAATCATAAACGATATATGGAGAATAAGAAACTCAGTAAGTACAATTGTTATAAATTTACATTTTTACTACTTATAAATTATGTATGTGTTCATAATATCAAAATATTTTAAGTTTTTTTTTAATATTTTCTTTTCATTTGTTATTTTTTTCTTTTCTTTAATAATATTGTAAATATTGTAAATATTAAAAATATATTTATTATGTATTATTAATAATTTACAGAAAATACTTTTATAGTCGAAGAACAAGAGATTGTTCCGCTTTATGATTATGTTCACCTCCAAAAAGGAGTACGTAATAATTTATTAACAAAAGATCTTCTTGACAAATACAAGAAAAAAGACGATAAAATGTTTGCGTCTTGGACTCATATTATAATATCATATGAAATAGATAAACATTCACTTTTAAGACAAAGACAGATGCCAAAATTAAGTGATAAACATATTTTTATGGATATAATTCCAAAAATGAAAAATATGCGACTCAAGTCCTTAGCCACACGGTAGCAAATTTCATGGACATTATATTGAGTTTGAATCAAGGTACAAAACATTTATTCATAAGTAAGATAAAAGAAAAGATAAAAGAAAGAAGAAAAAGATAAAAGGAAAGATAAATAAAAAATAATATAATATGAATAAATAAAAATTATATAATAATATAATATAAATAAGTAAAAGAAAATATATATTATAAATAAAATAAATAACTAAAATACATAAAACTAATATTATACAAATAAAAAAAATAATATAATACAATATAATTTGAATATATAAAATAATACATAAAAAAATAACATTTACTGGACTTACGAAGCAATTTATATATATGTAACATGCATTATATTCAAATAGTATATTTTATTGCAGGTGTTGTCAATACTAAAAAAGGCCAAATACAATTACCTGTAGATGCCGTCGCAACATCAGAAATTATATTATTTTTCGACGATCTTTTCGATTCCTTTAATGGGAAAAAAGATAAAGTTCTTTCCAGCATTATAAGTATTACAAGTGAACATCTTATTTTTTGGCAAGAAGCATGTAACAAACTTCGACGTATGGAATTTGTCGAAAAAATAAATCATATTTCTCTGCGAAGAAATGCCCCAAAATGCTTGCACAATTGGATCTGGACTATTAATGGCGCAAAACTATTATGGAATATGCTCTATAATGTCGGATTTTCACATTTAAATTTAAAATATATCAATCAAGATCCTATTGAAAACTGTTTTGGGCAAATAAGAGATAATGGTCATAGGAACATAAATCCGTCTCCGTATCAATTTGGTGCTTGTTTTAAGACTTTAATTACGACAAATTTGACATTCCGACATTCGCTTTCATCTAATTGTGAAGGAAATGAAGAAAATTCATCGCTAGCTTTATTAAATATGTTCTCTGTTGATGAAATTACAACTTCAGAGGAAGAGAAACATATTGAATGTACTGAAGCTGCAATATCAGAAACAACTGATACACATTTATTTATAGACGCGCAGAAAATATTACAAAATATTATGCGTTATGAATTACTAAGAAAATGCACAGAATGTGAACAAATGATAAATAGCTAGCTCATTTTAGAAACCATCAAAAAATCAATTAATATTTTAGAAATAAGATTTTCTTATATTCCCAGTAAGCAAAATGCTAGCAGAATGCGTGCAGATTGACGCCAATTTCGATCAGATCTCCACATCAAAACCATAGCCATCTGTGTCCTCATTAGACTCGTGTTTTGTCGACAGGACCTGTGCGACAGGCCGTGCGAGCAGATTGTCAACAGAAACCGCGCAGGTCCTGCTGCCAAACTACGCGTAGAGTCTGCGCGCAGAGTTTGCTCGGTTTCTGCCGCCAATCTGCCATCAAATTACTGCAGTCTTGCGCGGTTTTTGGTACAAATCTGCCGTCAAATATCCGACAGCAGGATCTGGCGCATATTTGACCGCAGATTGGCAGCATAATTTGATATAACAGATTCTGCGTTAAATTTGTTGCCTATTTGCCATCAAACTATGATAGCAGGCTTTGTTCAAAATCTGTTCGCGCAGGTTTGACTATCTGGGTTTGCCATGAAACGAAAATTTTAAACAAATTAATACATATATTAAACACCGAAATATTGTTGATGCCGACGCATTGTATCAATCTTAAGAATATTATGAGCAAAGAAATAGCAAAATATTTTATATTACAATGGTGTAAATTTATTAATAACATTTTAAATGGAAAAATGCAAGATGAATCGTTTAGTAATTTTATTTATAATGAAGCTAATAGGATGGCAAAACGGTATTTAAAAAAGAATTGTAAACAAAATCAACCTAACAACGGCAAAAAGTTCTCATAGGCTAATATTTATCAGTTATTGTATTTTTCGAGAACTGTGGTAACATATTATGTTTAATACTTGTAAACAAAATGTTTAATGAATTTTAATTATAACAACAACAATCTATTTTTTCTTTTGTAATTTTCAAATTTTATTTCTATTTAAGTTTTAATTATACTGGTCAACAACGATTATATTTAATAAATACTTTTTACTATTTCTTAAATTTTTTGATATACTGATTGTGAGTGTGAAATTAAAGACAGTAACAGATCTACCTCATTCTGCATTAAGTTCCACTTGTAGCCCAATATTATCTTATCAATGCATTAAGAAATATCATTTCATATTATTATTTTGATTTCTACAAATAATATGGAATGATATTGTAAAATATGTAAAATACATAGCACAGGGAATTCAAATAAGATAATTCTTTTCTGAGAGTTGTCAAAAATAAATTCTTTTTGCATCTGAAAATGAACTCATAATTAATGATATACGCCTGAATTCTTGTTAAATTCTCTATGTAAAACTTTTATTTTAATTTTAATTCAGACTTCATATTCAGAATCAACATATCAACAAACATAATAAACACTAAAAAGTATTCACTTAATAAAATCATTGTTATTTCGTTATACCAAAAATGTGTTACAAAAAGTTATATTCGATATAAAAAATGGTAACAAAATTTGAAATCAGCGCAAATAAATACACAAAAGTCATCTTCTTATTTCCATTTAACAGAAACAAAAGTTAAAATTTGTTCTGTATTATTAACATATTTATCGACTGAGTATAGTACAGAATCGATATTTAGTTCTGATTACGAGGGTACCCAATTTACGAGGGCGCGCAAACACTGTCCCCTCATAATACATGGGAGTTTGGTGGCCCTGTGTAGGGATTTGTCCCTGCATCTGGGAACACTGTGTCACAACGTGGAACTGTCTCTCAAAAAAATATAACAGTAATGTGAATTTTGACAATTGTTACAAAATTGTAATGGTGTTATAGAAGTCGTGATAGGAAATACTTGTGTGAATCCATTCTCTATATTTTGGAAAATCAATTATACATATTTCGATATATTCTTTGTATTCCTTTGTATTTCTCAATAGTTCAAAATGTCTACACGATATATGAAAAAGGTTTACGGTGGCGATGTAATCACGGAGAAAGAGAATAATGATGCGAGTGATACAGAGATTTCAGTAACCAACGACACAAAGTCTAAGTCTTTCAACGTTTTCGATGTGGTATGGGATAATAGCTATGCATATATTTATGGGCGTGATCTACTCTGACTAGACTTCAAAGTCTTTTAGTAATATATATATGACGTCATTAAACATATATCATTAATCCGGATCCTGTTCTAATAGCTTTGAAGCCTGTGAAACGTCAAGTAAATCACACCCTAAATTTATATACAATTTTTTTCTCGAATAATAATAGTACTGACAAGAAAATTTGCATTCACAGTTGAATCAGAGTTCTGACGATAGCGAAGATACGAATGATAAACAAGATGAGGAAAATATGATCCCAAACAGTGAAAATTATAATGAGGTCAAACGCAAGAAGAAGAAGAAGAAGCGTAAGAAGACAGAGAATGTTAAAAATCAGCAACAGCAAGGTGTTGAGAATAATAAAAATATAGATGAAATTGAACAAAGTATTTGGGAAGTGAACCAATTACTTGGAGAGCCAGAACCAAGTTGCAGTAAGGAGATTCACGAACCACAATGGATTAATAAAATATCTAAGGAAGATGTATTAACTATAGAGCATAAACACTTGAACCCAAATAATGAATTGAAGAAAATTTTTGGTAGTAAGACTGTACAAGCTGAACAAAGGTATAATTCTATAAATATGTATTGTATCTTTTGCAATAATTTCTTAAGATTTTATTTTTAGTTTTCATCAATTATATATATGCATATATTTCATAATATGTATATAATATATTTAATAATATATGGGGGTAGCTAATATTCACTAGTTAGCTTTTATGTACTATAAAATTTTTATTCTTGTAGCAAAAAAAAACATAGAAGTCGTCCTGGCCATTTGAAAAAAACATGGTTAACTTGTCCTCGAGATAATTGGCTACCAATTTGTAAATCTGGATTATCAATGTCTTTAGATTATTCTATGCAAAGTACAGAAAATGTACAGTATTTTGTATATGAACATAGCTCTTCATACAAACAAGCACAACTGCAATTCTTGCAGGCTGTTGAAAGCTTGGATCCAGATAACATCATTGTAAGTGAATATACAATAAACATCAAACTGCAAAATCAAGTTTAAAACTCAAATTATCTAAATATTCTGTATTTAAATATCAAAATATATTGATGTTAACACAATTACATTTCAGAACATAGTAAATGCACATTTTTACCATTTAGATGCTCTTCTACAAGTAGCTGAAATTTTTAAATTAAGTGAAGAGTTAGTATTGGCAGCAGGATTTACTGAACGAGCTTTGTACTCTTTAGAATGTGCATTTCACCCATCCTTCAATATGACATCTGCACAATGTAGATTAGATTACAGGAAACAGCAGAATCGTGCATTATTTATAACACTTTTTAAACATCTTGGGTTTGTTGGTAGACGAGCCTGTTATAGGTAAGCATTGTAGTATATAAATTCCCTAAAAAAATAATACATTTAAATGATAAAAGAAAATTATATTAAAATTTCAGAACAAGTTTAGAAATTTCTAAATTACTTTTGTCATTGGATCCGGAAGGGGATCCACTGGCAGTGGCCTTGTGCATTGATTTTTATGCCTTAAGAGCTAAGGAATATGAATGGTTTATAAAGTTTTGTAATCTGTGGGAAAACTCCAGAAGATTAACTCAATTACCAAACATATTGTATAGCCTAGCCTTGGCTCACTTTCGTTTGGGTGAAAAGGCTGATGCTAATGAACTTTTGCAGAAAGCTCTTATTATGTTTCCAGGTGTACTAATGCTTTTACTTGACAAGTGTAGTATACAAACAGATAGCAAGGTATGCAAAATTTAAGGTTTCCAACCCCTCTTTGTAACTATTGAAATAAATTGTTTCTTTCACTAGTTTCAGACTCGTGAAAGAGTTTTACATATTCTCTTTAGAAATTACTTTTTGATATGTTCTCATTCAAAATTATGCATCAAAAATATTATTCAATGATACATTTTGATACAATTTGTTTATTAGGTGATGTATCACGATTTCTTTAACTCTCAAGCACGAGTAAGTACGACACCAGCTTTAGAGAAGCTACAAAATTTATACGTAATGCGTAGCTTTCGTCTGTGGAAGGAGGCAGATATTTTGCCATGGTTAGAGACAAACGTGCATATTGTACTAAGTCGTGTTGAATTTAAAGATGATTATGTTAAGTACTGTCGAGTGAAACGTAGTAAAAGATATCAAGGGAAATTGCCAGTAAATATTTTGAGACACATTATATTATCAGATATGCAAGAAGTCATAGTTAATGCACAGGAAGTATGTTTATGTCCATATTGTTAATGTGTTGTGAAACGTATACAATAGAATCTGTTGAATCATATATTTTTATTCTAGATCGAGGATGTAAAAGCAGTGTTATCATATGACCCATTACCACCTGAAGATAGTATTGATATATACAGGATGCCAAATGAAAGAATAACTCAAAATAATTCAAACTTCTTTTCCCGTTTCTTCTCTTCATTATTCATGGGTATTGATGAAGTTGCAGCTGATATTTTAAACGGTTTCCAGATATTGTAAGTATTTAAATATAAAAGTGAAAAAATATATATATAATAGCTTAACTAAAAGTTGGAAATATATTTGCTTTCTTAATTGTGTGATCATTTAATTTTTCCCAAATAAGGTTTCCGATTTCTCGTCGCGCAGTTCCTAATTGATAATGTCAGAAGTGAGAAAATATACTAAAAATTTTTGTAAAATATGTTGAAATGAAAAAAATATGTTTATAAAATGATATTTGTGATTCATCTAGCAGATTTGTAAAGTACTCTAAATATTTTTCTTTTGCCTTAACAATCAATAAATTACATTGAAATTAATGTGACATAAAACCAACTTTTTTAAACCATCTTTCCCTTTTTTTTATTTATCATGATTTTGTCACGTTAATGCTACAGTTATTGTTTCAACAAAAAAAGTGTTCGGACTATTTCCCAAATCCGCTTGATCGATTATGAATATGATTTTGTGCACAATTTTATTTCAATGTATTTTGCAAGAACTTTTAAAATGAATTTCCTTTCTTCTGACATTATAAATCAAGATGATTGCAGTAAAGAAACTGGAGCATTTAAACTGAGTTATTAATTACATATCATAAATTAAAATTAAAAATTAATATTACATATCTAATATAATGTGTGTAATTGAATAATTAGATAATAACTATTATCTTTTTATTTAGTGAGGAGAGTGATGATCATTCACAATAATGCCATTTTTCTAATTATATGGAACCTAATGATGACAAAACGATTAAAAACAATTTAAAAAATTAAAAATGATTAAAACGATGATAATACAAATTGTGCAGTTTTAATATGTAATAACTTTAAGAATATAATACATAGCAGTAGAGAATAGAACCTAATTTCGAAATTGTTTCCTTTTTGCTACAAAAGAATTAAATAGCAAAGTTATTTCCTTCAAATATATCTGATTTTTGGAAAACTAAATTATTTCTAAATATATTATATCATCATGCTTTACGACGTTAAATATTGGTTAATTATTGTAATAAATCAATGATTACATGTTTTTATACAACTTGTACATATATATTATAAATGTATCTATATTACCGTAAATAAAATATACAGAATAAATTCTATATATGCTTTATATGTGTACGTAAATGCTTTATACATAATGTAATATAAAACAAAATAGATAATTGAATTTTAGGAATATGTTCTACTCAAATTAAGGATGAAAGAAAAAATATAAACGTTAGCATGCATGTCTTTCTTCTAAGATATAAATATTTTTTGTTTATGATGTTTGATAAAAAATAACGTGAAGTCTCTGAATCGTATTCGTCGTTTCACCCTAAAGATCAGTACAATATGTTCCTACAGTTCACTCATCGATTTCAATTACACATTGTATATAAACCACATATTATTGTTGTATTACATATAAAAAAGGTCAGCAAATATTACATTAATACTCATAGTGTGATTGTAGATTCATAAATTTGCTTTTTCACATGGTTTTGTAAGTATGAGAAACTGTCTCTTTATAAACAAACTAAAATTTTTAATCTTGTATTTAGTATCACTTAAGACAAATAATAAATTATCAAAATTTTGCAACATTTCACGGTTGAAAATATTCATTAAGAATGATTTCTCAATCGACATATTTATTTCATTTATTATATCCCTTACACCATACTGTGAAAAACGGGATTAAAACGACAAATTCCAGGACCATACTCTTGATAAGCTTTCTTTGTATGACAGACTGTATAGAATTCTGGATCACTGGCTAGTAGTGCACCACCATACCACACTGCGCAACGCTGCTTGTGATGTGATATCACACGGACGTCTATCGGTTTTGGCTGAAATATAAATATATAGTTTAATATTTTGTTGACAAGCAGGAAAAAGTAAACGTTATAATATTGTTTACCGTAATATGACTGCCACTTAGTGTTTCGCTAAGCTTAAGACGTGTATCAACGATCTTTTTGATGTCGCGTTGCAGCCTTCTACCGAAATCTTTGAACATAGTAGAACCTCCTGATAACACGATATTATTATACAACGGTCTTCTGACGTCGATGGGACAGTTTTGAATTACATCGTCAACAATTTCATTAAGCGGCGTCGTAAAATCCGGATTGGAAAACTGAAATATATATTTCCGCGTATAAAATATTAATAAATTGATTATGTGAATGATAAACTAACAGTCATATGTACAGTAACATACTTCAGGGTGAAAGAATATTTCCGGCCCAAGAAACCTTTCATATCCAACATCTACAGCAAAAGGTTGCTTGGTGATACTATTAACACCTTCGTATTTTTTAATTTTTGTGGGATCACTATCATATTTGGCAAATTCTTTCGATATATCTGGACATATGTAACAATATTTCTCTTTGATTGCTTTGGCAGTTTCTAATGATTGCTCAGGTGGTATTCCAATCTCTCGTTCCCTCAATAGACTTTGTATGAAATAAGTAATATCACGTCCCGCGATAGGAATGTGTTTTATGCAACTCCCTATAACAAAACCTTCTGCCTGTAAGATATAATATTCATTGTCACTGTAAACTTTATAAGCATAAATTATACATAAAATTTGATAAGTTTAATAAAGTTGTGTACATACTACTGGAATTACATGAGTTACACCATCTCCACTATCAACAACAACACCTGTCAAAGTACGATCTTCTACATTTTTGGCAGTCCATGAAGCAGCTAATGCAAGAACAGCTTGTACAGCTATATAAAGTCCTGGTACATTAAAGGACTCAAACATAATTTCTGCTGTGTATTCTCGATTTTCTGGAGTATTTAGGGGTGGTTCTGTTAACAGAAAGTAATGATCTTCAGGTTCCGATCTGAGGTACTTGAAAATACATTGTTGCAGAAACTTCTCCATTAAATCCCAATCTTCTACCAGCCCATGCCTCACAGGATACTATATGTGCAAGTTAAAATTGGAAAATATCATTATTAAATATGCATCTCACTATTGAATATGATTTTGTTTCTCAGGAGAATATTGTGTAGATAGGTACTTTAACTGAATATCCGGTAGCTTCAAAAGCTTCATCTCCGATATAAGCATCCAGATCTTCAACACCTTTAGTAATTCTTCTTGCATTATTGTCACCTACTTTAGCTGTTTCTTTAATAGCGATTGCTGAGGGTATAGTCAGCTGAGGTTCTTTGTTGCCAGCAAATCCCAATTTTGTATATCTACAAAATAATATTTAAAGAAGTTAATAAATGTAGCATATGATATATATTTTATTATATGGCAAAATAAGGTTTCTATCATAAGAATTGATACAGGATATACACATATGAATCATCGAAGAGGTGCGGTCGCGCTCTATCAAGTTTTATCTACTATATAATACATGTCAGTGACATATCAGTCATTATAACCTTAATTCTAAGCTCCACCCTAAATTGATTATCTTCTGCATATATTCTACAGCTTTGGGAATTGCACTTACCCAGTACCTACGTCAATGACGCACGCAGGTAAACGTCCGAGCATGATTTCAATTATATTATCCTATTATTCCGGTAAAACACACTTAACTGACAACTATAACAGCTAACCATCGAAAAACTGAAAATCAGAGAAGCATTCACACTGACATTTTTTGAGTGCGATTAACGACATCTAAGGTCCATTTTTTATAATTGGTTTCTTGCACCAGTGCGAGAAGTGTAAAATGAAGTGTATAAGGCCAAGTTCCACAACTTGCTTTAAACGGAGTTTAAAGCTAAACCGATGGTTAAAAGCAATAGTATATGCGCATATATTGCTTTTAATCATCGGTTTAGCTTTAAACTTCGTTTAAAGCAAGTTGTGGAACTGGGCCTAAATGTGCAGAGAGAAACCTGAAAGCGACCAACACGGCATTTTCTGCGACACTTGCTAGATTCACACTGCATCCGACGTGCGTCGTCCGTTATCCGACGGTACGAAGCCGTGCGAAATGCTATTCATATTGCATACGTTAACTAATACGATTTAAAGTCTGTAGGTGGCGTAAATGGTTAATGGTGACTACAGTTCCTCTAAAGCTCTAAACACAATGCCAGGCAACAGGCAACAGGCCAGGCCAGGCAACCAATCATAATAGATTATTCTTGTAATAGTCAATTGTGATTGGTCTATTTTTATTCTTATTGCCTGTTGCCTGGCATTGTGTTTAGGGCTTAATAGTAATATGCGCATAACCTAAAAAGTTAGAATTGATATTTATTTATTCCATAGACATATATAATAGACTGAGCATAGCGGGTTTGGCAGAACGGTGAGAGAGGCAAGATATCGGGGAAGTTTTCTTTCCTTGTCTGCGCAGTCGAATAGGCAATCGTCTAGTGACAGCCAATGGCACAGACTCATGACAGCAAGAAATACGCATAAGCGTAGTTATGTACGGGCAACAAGATAATATATATATGTGTAAGATATATGTAATATTTTTCTTCACTATTGTTAACTCTACTTTATCGCCTACTTTCCGACCATAAGAAATGTCTTGTATGAAAAAAGTCTGACATGAAAAAATGTCTTGTATGCTAAAATGTCTTGTGTGCTAAAATGTCTCGAACTAAGTAACAAAACTTTATTCTGTCTATCGACAACTCTAATGACATAAACTTTATAATATATTAAGATGAGTAAGGTATACCATATTTTCCCAATTTTGTCCAGATTGCCCTTCATACCATGCGTTATCGTACGACAAATGTTGAATCATGACCAACATTTCGTCCGACATCGGACGATGACGGACGGCCAAGCGATTCGATGATACGAAGTAAAATCCTGCTTTTTGATTGGTTGCGGAGCGTCGTACGACGTACGTCGGATGCAGTGTGAATCCAACATATGCCTGGAGGTCTAAAAAAGGGGAGGAGGGAGGAGGAGCAGGAAAAATAAAAATATATATTAAATATTAAATCTTCGAATACATGTTATCGTATCAAAGTCTTCTGTATAATAAACGATTTGACATGTCTGGAGACACATGATGTATCGTTGCCCGCGTCCCGTTCCCTTCGTCCTGCTTCTCAATTCAGCATTCCGTCCGCTTCGAACATTCGTTCGTGGCACTGACAGTGGCCGTCGGTGGGCATTCGATTCGCTCGAAGGAGCATGTGTTAATTAACGACCGATTATAAATATTCCGCGAATCGACGAAATATCTGAACTTTTAAAAGAAGCATCAAAGAAAATCACGTTGATGTTGTCATGGGTGAAATCTCACCCTGGTATATTTTTTTATTTTCGAAATAAAAAAACTAAACGAATGCAATTAAATGTTATTTATCATCATTGAATATTAGATGAAAAGTAGAAGAGTTATTGTCCGCAGCGCATAATCTTCCTGTATAAAATGTCGAATTGAAACATATTAAAAAGTATTGACGTTTTGAATACGTCTGAATTCTGCTTTCTGATCCGAAAAAAGGGACTGAAAAGTATTAGTTCCCATTAAATTTCACCGCGCTAAATGCGAGATGGCAGTGGTGAATGCTTCGCATTAAAAAGGATTCAATTCATTTTAAATATGCCTTGTATTCAATCCAAATTGATAATTTTCAAATGCGAACTTTCGCATTGAAAAGTATTCACTTCTTCTCCTGATTGTTTTCGGATTCAGAGGCATACAAGATTTTCACGTTCTATTCCCCGTCGCATTGAAAAGTATTGGCCCGCGATCCAATCTGAGATTCTCGCAAAGCAGAATTCACGACGAAATCTCGTGAATGCGAAACAATAATTTTAAATATGACATTTTATACAGGACTAACATTTAATAAGAACGAAACAAAATTCACATGGGATGAAATTCCACTCTTTAACGCTACCATGACCTTTAATTATTCTCCGAAAACGGTGTCACAACAACTTTGACACTCTGTACAATTAGTTGCTAACACATCTTCTAATCATACACATTCCTCTTTAATTAACATAAAGCTAACAAATATCCGATGCTTCGACAGAATAATTTTCTTTATTTTCAATAATCAATAAATAGTAAATCAATGTTGTGTACAATTGAAACGAGTTCCCCTCGTCGTTCCGGAATCTTCCAGAAAAGAAAAGACGCCCAAGGGCAAGTCTCTCTTGCTTCAACCGCCGCCGAGGCCCGCAATGTTTACATCGTGCCGATTGTGTTGATCGGCTCGCGAACGACGACACGTTTTGCCCTTCATATTATAATACTCGCGCACCTCGTGTATTCGACTTCATTCCATCAGCAGCAGCTGTGCGCGACGCGCTCGTCACTTCCGTCTCGTGTAATTAAAAGAAATATATCTCGTTGGTCCTCGAGATACTCAATCGGCATCACGTTGATTAATCGCACGGTCGAATCGCGAGTATCGGTATTAGAAGCGTGAGCGAGTGAAATCCGGAGGACTCCAGCAAGGCGGGAAGCAGGACGTCGGCAGCGATACGTCACGTTTTTAGATATGTGGAATCATTTATTATACGGGAAATCTCCGATAACGAGAGCGGACGTTTGACGAATTTTCCGGGAATAAGAAGTTGGAATTTCGCGCTCGGCATTCACGATACGCCATCATCCGACTAGTAATCATGACTTTATGAATCTGCAATTACTCTCGTTAATCTCTGTCTATCTATTTATTGCGTTGTTGTATACAAGAGATATTGATTCAGACGGAGACGGATAACGGTCCATGAACGCGGATCTCTAATTCATCACGTTCTCAATCAAACATTCTAAATAATTCTCAACTGTGTGAGTATACCGGTCTTGTGTAGAATATTCAACGTCATACCGCTTCTTAGACTGCGACCTTTTTTGTTTTAGGTCAGCGCTTCTTTCAAGTCTGTTTACTCTCGTTACGGGATCTAAATTTAAATGTCCATTCGTAAAAGAGTATTTTCGAGAGCACACAACTGTTGTCTCCGTTTCTTGTCTCCGTTTCATTTTTTTTCGTCAACTCTTTCAAGAGCACCAAGTCGTATCTAGACTTTCAATGTCAATGAAAATAAAACAACCGTAGCGAATATTCTCCACTCATCTCGACCAAACATCCTTTCTCTACCGCAGCTTACCAACCAGAAACGTTAAACTTTTGTTCCAGACGTTGCGGGAAGCAAATCTGGCGGCCGCGGATGCTGCACCGGAGGATCCGGTTCGGGCAGAGCAGAGTCGACCGAAAGGTAAAATTTACAAGTTTCCTACACATCTGTGTTCAACTTTTTACAATCTTTGCCTTTGTAACTTGTTTCTCATCAGCTCTCTTGAAAGTTTCAAGTCTCATTTAAATTTTCAATGTTGGAACAAAAATATAAAGATAAAAATTCTGTATTAAAATATTTCCGTATTTTCGATTCGTCCCGATCAAAGATATTCTCTCTCTACCGCAGGTTATCAAACGGGAAAATTATTTTTCTGTTTCAGTTGTTGCGGAAAGCAACAGCAATCCGGCGTACGCGGATGCCGCACCGGAGGATCCGGCTCGGGCCAAACAGAGTCGGCTTGAAAGTAAGTTTACAAGTTTACTATAGTCCTCTGTTGACCCTTGGCGATCTAGAGCTGGAATATAATTTCCGGCTCGACTTGAATTACGATTGCAGAGGGTAAACTACTCTTTTACTCACCCGCACTCGTTGGTCAAATCTGATGAGCAACTGTGAATTTTTTGTTACAGAATTGAAGCGGAACGTGGCCGGCTCTGACTGCAAGACGTTTCGGTGAGTCAAAATGAAAAGAGAAACCAAATTCTGCATGACGGATGTGGGACTATAAAATATCGTTCGAGTCAATGCGAATTGCAAATAGATTCTTACATGTATATATTTGTGATGTTGAATAAAACACATTGCACGACAATAACCAGGGGATTACTTGATCGATAGCCTGTATAATATACGAGATTTAAAATACTGAATGATTCTCTTTTGATGTTCAGTCATCTGAATAAGAGATATTCATATGTACAAACGCGATATCGTCATCAGCTGCTTTATTTTCATTTTTCAAGCGGGCCGCAGAATTATTTAACAATTTAATTATTTGACAATATTCAATTGTCCGTGTAAAATATATTCATACGCATAAATGCCGATATTGTTGACTACCTTTCTTTTATTTGCAAAACAGGCTGTAGAATTATTTGGCAATATTGTCCATTCATCACGATCCCTATTGTCTCGAGTAGCGTATAATGCGCGCAGAAATTGCGCCAACGCACGCTGAGCTTGAGATATCCTCGCTCACGTGCTTTTGAATATCGCGACTGCGGTTATCAAAATACGCGTTTTTACCCGCGCTGCTAACAAAGAAGGCTTAAATTCTCATTTCGCCAAAGTATCGCGAACGTAAGCTTCGTTATGACGGAGCTATCATGCATGAAAACTTTGCCCCGCTCCTCTCTCTTTGCGCTCCCACGGGGCGACCGGCTTCTAATTGTCTAATCTTTCCTCGCGTGCATTCGCGTCGCGAATATTTCACCTGTAGATATCGATACTCCCACGTTTTCGTGACTTTTCAGACGCAATCGCGAAAAGCGCCGTAATAATCCATTGGACGAGTCAATAAATTTTCACACGGTTCTTGCTCCTCGCCGATCAAGTTTATAGAGTCCGTTTCGCAGCGAGCAAAAAGTTTCCACCGATGGCGAGTAAAACGTTCGTTAATTTACGCAAATGTTACCGCTCTAATACAAGTATCGACCGCGTCGCGGAAGTGTAGCGAAAGTGTAGCAATCAACGTGGGACGCGTTGCAAGATGGATACTGCGCAACACGGAGAGCGGCAGCGGACATGGACGAACATTGGTGGATCCAGTTGGATGCAATGGAACATCACCAATATCATCATCGGTGAGCGTTTGACTCAATGCTCGCAGAGAGCTCTTTTATTATTATATTGTGCATGCCGCAAATTTGCATTGACTTTTGTAACGACAAATATATTCCATGAATTATTGCCATATATTATGGCCATATATTATTGCCATATATTGTTACCATATATTGTTGCCATATATTGTTGCCATATATTATTGCCACATATTGCCATGTATTATCGCCATATATTATGGCCACTTGAAATCGCGCAAACAATCGAGAAAACTGAATTTGCCGATAATCGCAAAGGCGCGCGGCAGACGTCACGGACAGATGACAGCAGTCCGTTTCAGGACTGCCCGAAAACAATGCTGTTGCTGCAATTTAACTTTAAACCGGCGTCCAGTTGCAGGAAACTTTTTATCGCGGACTAACCCCTCGAGCGGAATATTCCTGAGAAGCATTCTTGACATAAACGCTAGTTATAAGAGAACTTGCTTCGTTAGGGCCTCGTCGCAGTATCGTTATCGCGGAAGATAAGAAAGAAAGGAGTTGTTAAACATCCGCACCGTTGTGAAAAGAGGGATGATGGTGTCCCTTCGCGAGTAAAATGTTAGGCCCTTGCGAACGCGTGCGTTAAATTCCACCGCGGCTGCGAACGGGACGTTGTAACGGGACGATGTAATTAATAGCTCGATTATTGCGTACATCGCAAAATGGTATGGGAATTTTATATTTATTTTAATCCGTTCTATGTGAATTCTTAGGAGCGGGGAATTTGTGAAACACACTCTATACATATGTTTCCGATTGCAATTTTAGTATTATTTCAACTTCGAATTATTAACTTAAGGAATGCCAACGTGTGTATATATTTATAAAATAAAAATTATTCTAAATTTTCTCACATCTCGCAATCCTAAGAGACATACTCGTACACACATACATATTCGGCCTGTTTTCTGTATTAATAGTCTTTGATATTTTCCGATACGTAATACATATTTTGAAACATTTTCTTTGGATATTATATCAAACGGATTTTGCGTGCCACGCAATATCATTCGGACTACACGGATATTATTATTTTGATTATTTTGATTTCTTTGATATTCATTAAGAATTGTCAAAAACGCAACTGCCATGCTGAACGACTCAATTGTCGTGTGAAATGTTTCAAATTTCACAAATTTATATAAAATTTTTTATTTTTCACTAATTCACAGAAGTCTTTCACTTTTCACTAGTTCACGCTAGGGAAAAGATTCATGATCGCTGCCCTGAGCAGCTGCAACGCTTTTCCAATTATCTATGTCGGCGCGCTTCTACTCCTCAGATTTCTGTCATTAATAACTCGATAATTATTGCGAATCTCGCAAAACGGTATGGGACTTTTATGTTTGTCTCAACCCAATCTACCCTCACATTTCGGGTTGGCAGCTAATTACCGGACACTTCGTATGATCTTCATGATATTAATCATACACAATGTCAATTATTTTTTTTTTGTACATGTTAACATGTTAATTCATGTTATAATCGCGTAACAATGTGCGAGACCGTACTTGTCAAGTACGCTATTATGGTTGTAGCACAGATATAAACCACCTGAAAATGGATGTAGCACGGACTGCCACCATATGCAGGTTTCACTGCCGAAACCTAAAAGTGGATGTAGCCTTGTAGTTCCTCTCAAAATGAATGCAGATGGCGCCCTTTCCCAATGCGGAAAGTCGGTGTCGCCGAAAACGCCGTGTTGGCCGCTCTCATGTTCCTTTCTGTTTGTTTAACGAGGTTCGAGTTTTGGTTAAATTTTGTGGAAACTAGTAAATTATGATTCAAATCTCAACTAAAGAGCTGATTTTTAGTCGAGATTCAAACCACAGTTTATCCAATAGCGAATCCGGTCGCTTGCACTAGTGCATACTGAGTGCGACAAAGGCCTGTTCATAGTCCGTTTTTATACTTCGCTTTATACTGAAGATGTATTTAAGATCGCTTAAATACATCTTCAGTAATTTCTTAATCAATAAAACGATTCGTACAGATGCTGTACAGATAATTTTACTGGTTAAAAAGTATTCGAAGATGTATTTAAGACGATTTTTAAATATAAGTACGAACTATGAATAGGCCTTTATCGCACTTAGTGTGCACTAGTGCAAAAGATCGAATTTGCTATAATTTTACTACTTGCATTCGATTTTGAGCAAGTACAACGAGTATTAGAATGTCACTTTTAATTAATATTTAAATTTAGAATTTGTAGGTAATAATGTGACACTAAAGTAGTAGTAAATTTAAATATTAATAAGAACATAAATATATATTAAAGCAATAAGATAATTTTCTTCTACGTGACTCACATATGTGCTATCCTAACGTGTTACGTTTTCATTAGTATGTTCCAGTGCAACTAAAAAAAGATAATTTGTGTCTCTCTCCGTATATAGCAACATCAAAAACAACATTATTCAAATGCAAACTATATTGTCTTTTTTGAGTTATACAGAAAGAAATGCATTCCAGTATTATTATAGTTTAGTAGCAGTTAAACCTTAATTGTGGACGTGACTATACACAGTGACCTTCTCTGTGCATGATTATATCCATTTACCGCGTTTTCAAAAAAGACTAATATTACATTCACGCATATGCGTCACTACGTAGGTACGTATACATTTGTTTCAAAGATGTGTAGAGGTAATTTTGCATGCATAAAATATTCAGTTTCAATTGGTTTCAACGAGATCTGTCAAACAGTGGTTAATGGTATGCTTAATATCTTTGTAATTTACTTAGTATAACGCGCCATCACAACTTAGACCTTTAATAATCTTCAAATACACAGAATTCATGATAACTTTTCTTAATTTAACAGATATGGCAATGGACATCTCTGTTCAGTATTGACTGTTGTCTCAGAGCTGCTTGTTCAAATATAGGCTCTTAGCTATGCTGTTGAAATGTTGATTGGTATGCTCAGAAAGAATGAAATAAATCATAAATTACAAGGAATTTGATACTAAAGAAGATTATTATGTATCAAAGTACATATATATTGTGGTAGCAGAATATTAATCTTACAAGAAGCATATTTGCAAATTGATATCTGTACAAGAAGAACTGTTCATCATGCAGAAACTACCTTCTGAAATTTTTCTGGGAAGTGGTGGCACTCTCCATCGTTCTTTAATGTTTATGCTGAAATTAGGTTGGCAGTCAAGATTTCGTTTACCGGTGCTCCTGGTTATTGTTTTTGTTGCTATGGACTATAGGTTACAATTAGAGATCGAGTTTGGAAATAACATGGAACAACATAATCATTTGTGATCAAAGCAGGAAGAATTATATAGATATAAGACTGTATTTATTTATGTATTTGAAGCATATATATATATACAAAGAGCATGTAATACGCAAATGTTTTAATAATAATGATATATAGATTGGTTCATGTTAAAAGTTTATTTGGAATATTTTGAAAAAAATGAATATTTTGAAAAAAATGAATATTTTTTCTAATATTGTATTTCTTCCAAGATATTTTAAGTGAACATTTAAAATGGGACATTCTATACATTTATATTAACACTTTGACCGCTGTTATCATACATATATATGATGCTGTTCCAAAACCCTTGTAAAAGAATATTTATGGATAGTGATAGTTTATAATTATAATGTTATAGGAGCTATGTAAGTCTAGTTGTACAGATTTTATTCATTATTTATGTAAGTTATCTAAATGTACCGGCAGTTGAAAATTTTATTAAGATAAATACAGCTGTCAAAGTGTTATAATATATTGTATCCATTAATATTTATATTATATGCTGATATTACAAAAGTGAAATATTAATCTATATTACATTGTAATGTCTAGAATATAGCTTTTCAAAGATAATATATGTTAGAGAAAAACATGCAGTGACATTGTGCAGTGATCATTTTTTGTAAATATTTTATTAATATTAGAGGTAAAAATCTTTTGTTCTTATAAATGGAATATTATGTGTTGTATATGTATATATAATGTATGTGTGTATTTATGTACATGTGTGTGTATGTGTGTGTGTATGCGTGTGATATGTATGATCAAAGCCAAAAATTAATTATTTCGTAAATTAGTTCAATTTTTTATGTTTTGACTGATTTTGTTGGCTATATTGTAAAATTTTAATAAGAAAATGGATAATTTCATAATCTAGCCATGTTGTAAATTAATTATAAATATATGGCCAGGTTTGAATGAGTTTTGTGAATTAATTTTTGCTATAAATTAAATATTAAATATTAGAGATTATTTGGCTTGAAACATATAATATCTCGATTTATTGTTTAATTTATTTATTAAAAAGATTAAAAATCTTATAACACTAGATGTTATATGGTCTTTAATTGATTGATCTTATATTTATAGTAATAATAGAAAATTAACATAAACTGAATAAAGTAAACTGGATTTGTTTTGGATAATTCGGACGCAACTTCTTAAATGAAAATATAAAAACTAATATTTTTTAAGTAATAAAATATGAAAGTCTGCCTTTCTTTTAATAAAATATATATTTTGTGAAGTAAAAATACAAAACTATTAAAATAAATTATATCATTAAAAAGGATATTCACTTCTCAGTGACTTTGTTATAATATTTTGTTAAGAAATAACATTAAAAAATTAAAATTTTATTGAAAAAATTAAGGTAATTGTGTCTTATAGAGGTATTTCTACTTATAAAGAAATTATCACTACACAAGTATACACAGTGCACTTTCTATTAAGTCATTGTTCTTCTAGTATATATTGTTTTAGAAATATGTATTAAAATTATATTGTTTTATTTTGTCCGTTTACTTTGTATGTAGAATATGTAGATATAGATAACATAAGTTTTTATTCATAGAGATAAGTGATGATATATTGTACATTCTATAAATTTATATATATTATATAGTACTCTTTTGACTATTTGCGAATTAATAATCTGTGTTTGTTAGACTAATAATTTATCATAAAAGTATTTAAGAATTTTTGTCTAATCATAATAAATTTATGTTATAAATAGATAATATATTTCTTAAGAATTTTAGAACATTAACGATAGAAAAATACAATAAGAAATAAAACGGAGACACAGAATATAGATGTAGAAACTAGATTTAAGAAATAAACTAGATTTAAGAAAAAATTATTTATATTTATAATTTCCATCTGTATATTTTATGATTATGAAGAAAACAAGAAATAGGAGACAATAGAAAGTTTGAAAATTAATTTACTTCGTTACAAGATTATACAATAAATTTTATCGAATGATGTATAGTTTGGTGCATGCAAAAATAAAAAAAGCAAGAATATTGCCGTTGTACGGCAAGGAGAAGTATAACGTACCGCTGCACATGTGCTTATTTTGCCACTCTTACGTTTCGTTGCATCACTCCTGGGCTGATATCGATATGTGACCGCTAAATACTTGCAATTACAATTCATTTTATGAGACAACAGAAGCAATTCATATCGAAGCCGTAAAGAATTCTGTAGTAAAGAAAAGTTGAAAGAGAGGAAGCCGTAGAAACCGATAGAATCTACATTCGTCAGACCAAATATTTTTTTTCATGTATCGTGAAAATAGTACCGAAAATCTGTAATTAGCACGATAGCAACGATAGCAGTATTTAGATATAATAGATGTAACAATATTTTGTACATTATATATATTATACACACACACACACACACAAAATATTGATCACATATTAAACGTGAAATTACGAAATAATAATTCTTAATTAACATATTACATTGTATTATGCGCGATTGTTGAAATAAATAATAACACAAATTATGCTTTTTTCTGTTTATTGGATAAATATTCAACTTGTGAGACGATAATCAATATTCAAAGGAGGACGTTAAAAGTCAGTAAATTTTTCATTTCTCAATTCTATTGGAATAAAATCGTAGCTGAGAGTAAATCGAGTCTTTCGTAGGTGGTTGTACAAGCCACGATAATCCCGTGGAGACCGCTTTTGCTGTCAAGATACGTTAGCTTTATGAAGAAAAAGTGGTAGGTACCGTGCGTTTTCGTATTCTCTTCGACCTACTTCGAAAGCATTGTGAGTGTGAGCTTCAACGAAGAAAAATCGTTGGTTGGTAGTAAATTTCGTCGATGTTTACTTAGCGTGCCGTTCGTAGTGGGGCTTTGGTTTATATAAGCTGTACAAGTGGAAATTACGGAGTTTTCTTCGCACAGCCGCCCTGATGGAAACTATACCTAGCTTCCGCAATGTCTTTGGGATGCTGCTTTTGTTCGGTTACTTCTTGTCGCGAACCGAAACATTAAATCCTGAAAGTTTCCGTGAGTGAATAAATAATAATAGGCTGTAAATGCGAGAAATGATGTAAGTGTCGGAGAAAGAAGTACAAAGTTCTAGTAGTACGAAGTCCCAGAAACTTTTATGCATAATATAAAAACATATTATTACTGAAGATAAGATAATATAGACATTTAATAAAGATTGAAAAAGGAAGTTACAAAATTTATGTGCATACGTATGTGCATACGTAGAAAGCACTTATGAATGGCCTGAAGAATTTTTAGTGTTTACATCTTATTGCATTTTCAATCTATTTTCAACCCAGAAATTTCTCTCGGCAAAAGTATATAGAAAAGCATAGATTTTGTTACATTTATGTACAACTTCATATGTTTTATATCGCAGAAGATAAAAAGTATGTATATTGAGGTTGTTCCAGAAAGGAAACTAATTGTTTTAAACAAAGTTCTCCATTATACCTACAATAAAACTCCGCAGATGAATGTTGATGCGACTTTCGGTGTTACTTTAACTGAAGGTAAGAAATCTTTATAACTGATGGATATTGTGGACTTTCAATGATTGAGAATGTTGATAAGTAATTACAGTTAATAAGTAATTCTTTTTCTAAAAAATTTTAACTGAATTTTACGAAGCTGTATATTCGATGATATATTTTAATATCAAAATAGCTAATAAAGTGCAGTATATTATGCACATTTACCAAATGTGATTTTAACCGCATTTAGTAATTAAGTTTCATCGAAATAGCTAATTTGGCGGCGGCGCTTTTGCATAAGAATGCACGGTATTTGGAAAGCAGATTTTTCAACGCTCTCAAAGATATAGTTGCACTTTGTGATTTGACTCGAAGAAGTTTGATGAGCACGGTTGTCCCGAAAAACATAAACGAATTTTTGTGTAAGTAGATGCATAAAGTAATACGTGTGTGAAATGTATATTATACGAAATTGGCAAGTAATAATATTTTACAGTACAATCGGCTTTAAATAATCCGAATTTGTGGATAAAGCCTATAATGTGGACAAACGTTTTTTCGAGAGCAAGATTCAATTCTAGTCTTCCATTAAGTTATTTGGAGACCATTACATCGATTTGGCGTGGAACACCTCAAGAAACGGAAAGTGATCAGTGTCTGGCAAAAATCGTGCGTAATAGTTTAAACGGAAGATGTAGAATCCCTAAAATCTGCATCCAAATATTAACCAGAAATGATGATCCAATGGGATATCCCCTTACTCATAGATTGCTCATCGTTCAGGTTGCCAAAGCGGTGGGTAAAATATTAAAAAAAATATATATCTTCATTGATTATATAAAAAAAATCATTTTTCAAATTCATAAAAAACAATGAATCTTAGTTTGGTTGTCAAGAAAATAAGTTGGTGCCATTTTCTCACTTGGTACGTGTATATTGCGTCAAGATTCTTCAGCATCTCTCTAATCTTGAAATGTGGGACTTTCCAAATGTAGCATCAGATCTTGCGCTTGAGCAAAGTAAGCATATGTGCCATAATAATGCTTTACGTATGAACAATGAGATAAGAAGTTTTCTAATGAACTATTTCTCCTATCCTTTTAGTTGTTCTATGCGGTATGGAAGGTTATCACGAATTTGTCGATAAACATTACCAAGATTTGATATTAAATTGGCCGCATCAGAGTGGCTGTTTTTTCAATGAATTAAGGTAATTCTTTATATACTGCATCTATATTTTACATTATTTACGCATGTATTACGAACGCATATACGCACATTTCAGATTTTCTGAGAAACGTCAAATCAGCCGGAGGTCATCATCGATAACCGATTTTGGATGCGATAGTCACACAACTGGCCTTGGTGCTGCGAGTCTTGCCATTTTTATTCGAGAAAATATCGAAAATCCATATGGGTCCCCATCTTAAATTCTCTTTGCTCTAATACATTGCAAACGATACGAAATTTGTAAATTTATTTCAATATTACTGTCTATTGCGATTTGGCAGTGGTGAATTCATCAATGTAATTTTGCGCCAAAAGTCGTTTTGCGATAAAAGCGCTTTAATTTTAATAGTTGTCTCTATATCTAAATCTAAAAGTGTTGCAATACCTAGGTATACCTACTACCGATTTGATTGATTGAAACAAGAGGGCGCGGTGGCCAAATATAAACCGCGAACTCAATGTAGCGCATTTTATTAAAAAAAGTTTGTGCTTTTATTTAGTATTATTTATATATAAATAAGGGAAAAGGGAGAGTAAATAATGAAAAATTAAGATTTTTATTTTTATGGTACATGTGAGCGAGACTAGATATCGATTCTTATAATATGTTTATGCATGACGAGAAATTCGCTTTCGTATTATAAAGTATTTCTCATTCTTTTGGAATACGAAAACGAGTTAATTATCTGACGGCATAGTGATCATTTGACTTCATCTTAATGTTACTGGCAGTATTTTTTCTGGACAAATATTCATATTGTAAAACATATGTTATAAATTATTTTACAATATTATAAATAAGTTTATCAGTAGATTGTCAGTTCGTCCTGCACTTTTATTTATTTATAGGCAATAAATATAATAATCCCTAGCAGTATATATATATCACTTAATATTTAATTAATAATGTAGAAAGAATGTAAGAAAATTATTTCGGTTAATTAAATAATTGGTTGATTAATTTTTGATTAGTTGAACGGCTGCAGATATTGATGTACATGGAATATTTGGAACTCTGCCCGGGAGCAAAGTTATTTAAAATCGTGAGCACATTCGTGTGTGTTTGTGCGAGCGATTATATATGACAACAATAACAATATTAATAATAATAAATACCATTTATGATCTCTCTAAACGTTTCACCATCGCTAGCAATCGCTACTACAGGCAGTTTATGAAATATATCTGCGAAATAATCAATCGTGTAAGTAAAAATGTATGCTTTGATGCAGTTATAAATTGTGATATGAATATCTTCGTGAGGCTATTATAGATACTTAAAATGTGCAAGAAATAATTAAATAAATCTCTGCCTTTCTCTTTAATTGTTATCTTATTGTATACCGTATTGTATAGTAAATTGACACCATCGTGGGAAAAGTCAGTTTCAGTAAATTTAACGAAATGTATCGAGAGAAATACACGTCTGAGGCACTCTTGCGATGTATAATGTTCGGGCCAATTCAATATGTGCATAATTGTATCTATGTGTTCAATTGTGCTTTTTCATGGTCGTCGATAATTATACGGCTTTCCATAGGGGCCTATTCCTCTATTCATCTTATCGAACTTCAATTGCTGGAAATAACTGTACACCACCAGCCACATATATGTGTATATCACTGCAAAAAGTTAAAAAAAAACATTATGCATTAGTTGTACATATTCCACAAGTGACACAAGACGTTTTATAATTATCCTAAACATGTAGAAAATATTTCAGAGGTCTTAAATATATTTGGAATGAACTTTGGATGCACATCGTGTAATCTAAGATTTTTACAGACAGCGATTTTACAGATTCAGGAATTGTCTTTCGAATAGAATAAATCTGAACAAACTCTGGAGTAGATCTCTTTTGAGAAAACAGAACTAGATAATAATATTATTTAAATTCTACGATTGCATTAAAAAAAAACTGGCGATAGTATGGAGTACTTACCGACAGCTATTAGACCGAATATTAACCAAAGGACGCCGTTGAGGACTTCGTGATTTATGAAGAACATGATCGAGGTGTAAAGAACGCTCACAAAAAGAGCGACAGCTAACATAATGCCTAGGACTACCCATGGAAGCATCATAAATGTATTTTTCTGCAAAGTTAAGCCGATTATCGTCATGCTATTCACTCAACTACGACGATGTTTCACATCAAACAGTTGCAGATATATGTATATCAGTACATACTGACATACAGGGTGTTAATAAGTTCTTGTTTACTACTATTCTCATTTACTGCTATTTCTTATTAACACTGAGTATTTCGTTTAGTATTTCGCTTAATGATTCGTTTTTCCCAGTTTGACATTTCTTCCGCAGTATTTGATCGCTGCACTTATAGATGAAATTATTTTCTTACCCTCACGGCGCCAATTATGAGCAACAAAGAGATTAGGATAGTCATGCAGAGGTTGATGGCGAAGATAATTTTGACGGCCGTTTTGTCTAGGATGTCGATAATTATCGTTTTCCATTCTACATTCACTGTGAAGATCAAGATCAGGGAAATCACGGCGAGTACCTGCACGAAACACAAACAAATTATTATATATGAAATATTACTTGCATTTTATTGTATTGTATGTCAATCGATACAATGTATGTACACTGTATCATATATAATGTATTGCAATTAATCGATACAAATAAATAAATGTAGGAATGAGATGTAGAACTTACGATTCCGCATACTCCGCTGAATATAGTGCCTGTCTTCAAGGAACAGCATCTGCAACACGTTGTCAATTGCATTCTAAAACAGAAAGGAAGAGAAATATTACTTTCTCTCCTGAAATATAGTTGGATGTTTAATTAGCGAACTGGAAGTACATCTTGTAAGAAGCGTGGACGTAATAAAAATTCGGTTTAATATCGTATATTATCGTACGCAATTGCAAACAATTCTAATATCTAATTATACTTATCCTCGGAGAAAATCAGAAATTAAAGAATAGTATTAAAAATAAGAATCGATTCGTATGAAATCGTATAAACGCGTCGGTGACTGTCAGACTCCGAGGAAATTCGTTTGATTCGTCTTCCTGTCCCTATATGGAAACGCAACGCATGGTTCTCCGTCTTTCTCGCGAACTCTCTCGTTCACTTCGTAGAGCACCATCACGTCAGCATCGTGATAGGAGACTGGCCGATTAAGATCACCTTGTCGATCCACTAAGTCGGAGAATGTATTTGAACGACACTGCGAAAGTGGTGTATGTGTGTTTGAAAGATGGTCCTTGACTATCCTTACTCGCGGCAACAGAAAGGTGGAAGGTCAAGAAATGTTTCTTACAATTTTCATTCATGCTAATCATCTTTCAAAGTTCAAGGTGATGAGGCAGATGGGAGATGGGGGGAGGAGAGGAATTTGCAAATGCGTCAGTAATTCGATTGACGTGACGCACCGAATAAAAATGCAAGACGATTGAATCGTAAATATCGATAACAAGCGTATACAGGGTCAGAACGAGAAAAATGCTGGGTAAAGTTACGGCGTGTTTTATAATTTTAACAGTCGAACTGTAAGCCGGTTTAATATTAAGAAGAAGATTATTTTAGGGAAATATTTTTTTGCATGAATATCCTCATGTATATGTGTATGTATGTGTACTCGACGTGATATCGTAATCGATGCTGACTAAGGTAACTATTAGTGATCTTTGACATTCTCTTACGAGAGAGAGAGAGAGCGCGCGAGAGAGAGAGAGAGAGAGAGAGAGAGAGAGAGAGAGAGAGAGAGATATTCAGAAGCGTTCCGAAAAAGAATTTCATGCGACTTGTTTTATATAAGATATATGTGCAAGATCTCCAAAATTATTATTATAACATGTATAGAGGAACATGATATTCTCTTCTTTAGCATAGGATAGTTGCTGCAATGCTTGTAGATGCATTGCACAGAAGAGCACACTATTCTGATACGCACGATTCTATCCAGCTTGCGCGGGAAGGGATTACATCATCGCCACAAGAGATCATTGTGAAGCTCGTTTAATCTTTTTTAACAGAATGAACGCTTCAAAGGTGAGTATTATAGTCCATTTTCACACACACATACACACACACAGCGCTCTCTGGAAATAAATACTACAAGTTGTGTGAACTTTTTAAAACTGGTGTTTGCTTTTTTCTGATAAAAAGAAATCGTGTATGGAGTACACGATGTCTACGCGTTACAGATAAATCATTAAATAATATTATCACAAATGAAGTATAATTTTATGTACATATAGATAAATGATTAACTAATAATCGGGTAAATATCGGTATTTGTATTAACAGAGATAAAATACTAATCGGTATTTATGTCTTTGCTATTCTCATGCATATATCTAAATTTGTAAAAACTTCATACATTTCATTTTATTCAAAGATGGTAATGTTAAAAAAAACCGCTAATAACATTAACCTTACTCGTATTTGCAAAGAAAATGCGATAAGATATGTGAATAATAAATAATACCAAATATTACTCGCAGCATGTAACTTACGCACTCGTAGATATTTAATGCAATTAACATAATAAGAAACGATTTTTGCGAAAAGTAGCGTCGTGCGATCGATGTGTACAATACGCGGGTTGCACACGGAATTAACGTTAAATTTAGCCGATGAGTAAGCGACTCGCGAAAAACGCTGGTTAAAAATATACAATACTACTCGATAGGAATGGGGGAAGGCCGTCAAATGGGGCAAGATCGGTTCTCTTGACCCAGATATGTCGATTGATCGTGAACGTAAAGAAAGGGACGACGCCCTGCAGAGATATTTCATGTGCGGCTCGATATTCAGTTAGTGTAAGAAATAGGGTGTGACCTAAGAAAAGTAGAAACGAAGGAAATCAAGATATTCTTCGGATCATCAGAGTTAACTCATCCTAAAGATTTTCGTACCAAACAATAGTCTCATCTGTTCTGCACGACCAATTTAATTCTTCGAGCTTTTCAGCCAATGCTTACAATCCACGTGCCAAGTTGTACGTACTTTAGTGTCCACTTTGTTGTCCAACTTGTTAAATCTCGGACCGTAATTTAATTTTATCGACATAAGTTAAAATTATAATGCAGAAGTTTTATACATTTGAGAATAAGATGCCATTTAGTTTCTTAAATTTAAATGTGACATGAGCTCGAAGTTATACAGGTGAAGATAGCAATCAATAATTTATCTCGCAGACATTAAAGTAGACAAGAGCTAAAAGAAACATGCAGAAACAATAAATAGAGTGGCAAGTGCGAAAATATATACGATAGAGTCGGAAAAAATAAGGATCGTTCGAAATTCGAAATAAAGATCGTCGTCGAAAAGTTTAAATAATTAATCAATCTTCTTTTAGATGACTTTCTACAATTAGCTTAGATAGATAAGCTGTTTAGATATATTGTAACGGTTTCTTCAACAATTACAACAGTTTTATCTCGATCATCTACTTAAGTAGCCAGAAAATCTTTCAGCTGTCAAATCTTTCGTCAGAATCTATTATTACATGAACTGCATGTATTTTCATTAAAATTTCATTTTTGATGTGATAATTGAAAGTTGCTAATAATAATTAGCTACCGCGGTACTTACACAAAACCAGAAAATAAAATCAACTGACTGGTAAAAATTGACATAAAAAATTTGCCAACACAAACGAGAACGGTCACACATGTGATATGAATGTTACGAGCCTGAGCGCGCGAAATTTATATGACGTCAATGGTCAGCTTTAATCCATGGAACTGTAACGTGACCATGACATTTTTGTATACAAATTTTATTTGACACTTAATGGCAAAGGTATACAAATTTAGAAACCAAATTTTATGGACATTTTGGGAATTAAATAAATGTGAAAAATAATCACTTCCCACGACATTCTTGTTAAGAAAAAAATCATCTCCTGACTATCCCGGGAATCCTCCATGACATGAAAATAACGCGACAGAGTCTTGTATACGCACACACGCACGTGCGCGCACGCGTGTATAATGTTTATTATTAAAAATGATATAAATAACGCACAGTCATACATGCCTGCATTATCTATGAACCGGGCTATTGCGATGATTGCAATTTATTACACCGCACTGTAAAACGCGATGAAGTAACGACCGATTACATCATTGTTTGGATCACCTTGTGTACCGAGTTACCGTTTCCACTCTGCTGCCTTCGTCACCGGCAACGACTTAGCCTTCACTTTTAATGAATTATCCAACAGGAGAGTTCGAATTTTCTGTATCGCGCCGAGCTGACCGTATCGAGAGCACTTTTCCGTCTCTCGCGACTTCTCGCGCCGCGGAACAAGCCGCCGCGTTAAAGTGTCACCGCGCGCGCGCGCGCGCGCGAATCGCGGCTTCTATACTCACTTCTTTCGGCAGTGCGACTCTTTTTCTCTTCTGCCGAGATCTCGCTAGCGCAGGTGCCAGACGTGCAACTGGGCTGGGACGTTATTAGAAAACTAGACGCGGATGCAGGCCGAGCGGAATAAGAGGAGACGCGAGAGAGAGAACCGCACGCACGGATCCAGCGCGCGAGTATCGCTCGCGTTCCGCTCGCAATAGGAGATGACCAGAAACTGTGCCAAGAACAGTACGCGACCGCGCCAAACCTCGATGGTATACACCTACATCTACTCCTACACCTACACCGGTGTCTGACCAACACCAGGAAGGCCAGCCGTGCGTAGTATTGCCGTGTGTGCGCTACCGCGACTTGTGCGAATGGCATATATCGCGCGCAAAATGCGACGCGGGAGATGCGAGGAGACGCGCGGAACGCGGAACGCGCGAGAGAAGAGAGCGAGCCTTTCAAAGTGAGCGCGCGTGCGCGCGTCCGCGCCGGGCATCTCGTATGAAAATCCTCCGGGATCTTCTCGTGTAGATTCTTGATAAGCGCAGCAAGGAGAAAGATAACCCACGTCCGACGACTTCGCGTTTGACCTGCATCCATTGCGCGTCGCATCTCTCTCTGGGAAAGACGTATTTTGCGTTGCGATCGCGCGACCTTCCTCGTGCTCCTCGCGTTCTAACATTCTCTCTCGCCGTCGGTGATACGGTCTTTGACTCTAAACGGCGGAACCGCGAGCAGCAAGAGCCTTTATTCCGCTAATTACACCGTGTAATTAGTTTCTTGGTAATTTCTGACAGAATTCCTTTATCTGTTTTTAACAAGCTATATACAGCCAATGAAATTTTGCCCTCTTTTAAGACGGACTTTGGACGATCTTGAATAATATAACATTGGACTGGCCATGTGTCTTTTTCAGTTTGGGGACTGGACTCTTGATGGTTGTCTCAACAGTGTACGAATAAGTTTTAAACGGAAAAGAAAAAGTCGTCATAAAAGTGGTCCCTGTTTTCATCTGTCATATTTACTAGACTGTATTTATCTTGTTATTTTATTAAAATGTTATACGTATATGGTGTTACGTGTTTGTATGTTACGCCGTAGTAGAGTAATTTCTGGAATGGATTCATGAAAAAGAAACACTGAAATAACTGCAATAATGAGAGAGAAAAAGAGAGAGAGAGAGAGAGAGAGAGAGAGAGAAAGGCTGACATATGTTTGTTCGTTTTAACACGGTATGCGTCCTTGAGATAATATCGCGATGAACCGACTGACATTGCCGCTGTATTTGCGCATATACGTAGATAATGAAAGTTTCACTTTGCTGATGACAATTCTACATTTCTCCAAAGTGAAAGCGATTACCGCGTTGATGCACCGATGTTGACAAACTTCTATATACATAGAAATAAACAAAATGAGATATCTCGAGACTTTATCCATCTATCGATAGCGGACAATCGTCCGTGGTTGTTCTGTTTACTTAACCTCAGGTTAAGTGAACTGTATTCATAATGAGATCTTTTGAAAGTTTAACTGAAAAAATTCAAAGTTGAAGGATTCATGCGTTGAGAATGATAAATTAAAGATGAAAAAGTAAGGATGAAAAATAAGCTCAAGGATGAATCGGTTTCGAAACTTTGGTTACATGACGTTCGGATTTGTCAGAAAAACGTCCCTTCAGTTGCAGATATTATTAATAAATGCCATAGGTCTGTTAAATTTAGTAAGTATCTTGATATATTGTTGATTATTTACAATATCCCGTGGAGAATTTAAATGCAAAAATCATTATTAAATATATGGAATTTTATAACAATTTTTAAATTATAATGTTGTAATAAAGGTTATTTCAATAAACGTACTTCGATCGTACGACGGAGATAAAAAATATAGATACCTTTTTATATTTGTATCCGATTATTCCACTTATATATATTATAAAAAAGTATTATAAAAAATTGTGTGTATATATCAGTAAGTAGTATATAGATGCATGCTTATGAAGACTACATTACTTTCAAAATTATTTTATTTTCATGCAAAAATTTATGTTTTCATTGAAATATTTATATTAATTTGGACAGTGTAAACATTTGTCTTATTTAAATTAAGTATGTCATTTTATCTTAACAAGGCTAGTAACATCTTCAATTGGGGTTGGCTCAAAGGAGATCTACAGTTACAGAAAATCTGGGAATTATCAATTTTAGAATCTGACGATTCAGCTGACGATTCAGATGTGAAAGATATTGAGCGGATTAAGATCGGTTTGTATTCTCTGCCTTTATTCCTGTTGAAAATGTAAAATGTAATTTTTATTTTATTGTGCCGAGAATATATTCTCGAGAAACTTATACAATGTTGAATATTTTCAGTTTTATCGTACATCGTCGTAGCTCGATTTGTCATCAATAGTGTATCCTTCGTTGCGCACATTGCTAATATCTACACGATATTAACTCGAGGCCGACAGAACCTGCTTATATTTTGGCTGGCGCTCAGTTTTGTCAAAGATGTCCTTCTGGAAATTACCGTTGTTATCATTACTTTCATATTATGGCGTAATGGGAGCATTGCGACATCGCTTCTTGTTGAGTTTGTAATAAAAAAAGCAATACGGCTAGGTAAGTAAGAGTAAGCAAAATTAATTTAAAAAAGAAAGCAGGGAGATATTTTATGTGCTATTATATGTATTTATATATTATAACAACTTTTGTATTACAAAAAATTGCAAAGGCGATACGATTATTACGAAGAAATGTTTGAATCTTTTTTTCGGTTTGAAATAACTTTTATCGGAATTTTGCATATCTTGGAGAGAGCATTTATGTGTCAATGTAATAAGCAAAATTAGAATGAAATTTATTATTTATTATTTTATTATCAAGTTATTTTAACTTGGTTATCTGTGGAAAAAGTTAAGATATTATAAGATGATATATGTCAATCACAAAAAATTCTCTCTGCTTACGCAAATAAATAATAAATTTTGTAAAAGTGTTAGTTATTCTAGCTGTCTCAATTTGGAAGTGGTGCATGACCCTTAATTGGTATCTGCAACTACGAAAAGTGGCAAAAATTCGTAGATTTTTCGAGTCGATCGCACGGAGGAGCAATGCAAGCATTATCGATACCGTCCGAAGGGTTGGACATTCTCTAGATGATGCGAATCTTGTCGTTGCGATCGTTCGACGAGGTAAATACACGAGTCTGCTGAGTTTGGACGAGCTTTTCGAAGAATCGTCCAATAGAGTGAGGTTCAACAGAGTGTACTCTGACTTGCGGGCTTCCAAATCTTTGACGACCTCGATCACCAGCAATAGTTATGATACACGCAGTACGAACGATTACGATTCGATCTCTAATGACTTGAGCGTGGCTGAAAAATCAATGAAGATACTCGATATAACTGCAGAAGATGTAATGGACGCACGTGCCAGGATACAAGAGCGCTCCTATTGGGAAGAGCAACATGTAATCGCGAAACATTCTAATCCAGTAGGAAAAATGATAACGTATTTTCCTCTAGAGGAAGATGAAAAAGAAACGAACGATGCTTTCAGAAACAGAGAGACCGTAGTAGACAATAAAGAGGACAATAAAGAAGACATTAATAAAGAAGAAACTGCAGATAGCACTTTGGAAAAGGAAAATACTATAAGATATCCTCTGATGGAGAAAGAAAAGGAAGAGGAAGAAAGTAATAGCGAAATTATTCTACAGGATAGGAAAAAAGATGTGTTGACAGAAAAAGAGTGGGAAGAAGTCGTGAATTTTTTACTGTTGCAAAATGAAGACATCAGAAACGATAAAATAAGTGATCACGTAAAATCAACGAAGTCACGCGATTTTCATCCCGCCCCGAAGGAGAAGAAAGAAGGAGAGCAGGAAACTGCGAGAAGTGTTCAATGTTCTTCGAGCGGGTATAAAAGGACCACGAACGGTGAACCATGTTCTTCTTTTGTTAAGGACACGGAAGCGAGGTTTCCTTCTGTTTCTGCAAGCAAAAAATACAAGTGGGTCAGCGAGACTGATCAGAAGAGGCATCCTTATCGAGTCGAGACAAAGCCAGCCTCGACCATTATAAACGCGAATAGAAAAGAGCACCGCAGAAGCTCGGAGATTACTTCATTACTTACGTGCCATTGCGCTTCGGGTACGAATATTAATGCACAAAAGAACAAGAGAAAGTACTCGCAATCGACTGACACCAAGGATAAAAACGTCAATCGCGACATCGTCGAGGAGAAATTAAAGTGTTTTACCTCGAACGTTGTTGCGCAAAAAGACAAACCCAACGGGAATAGGTTTGCGTTGAAACACTTGGAGCGTCGCTTAAAAAAACGAGCGCAAACGTGTGAAGAATGCTCAGAGAAGCAACCGGCCAGTTGGAACAGCATGTCCCTGGCGCAAACTGCACGTCCTTCGGGATATGAGAAGAGATTCGTCGCGACTAATAATAAGACGTCCGCTCGCCAGGAAAATTGCAAAAGCGTCCAGACTGAAGCCTCTAACGAGTTAAAGGATTCTCTGAGCAGGCGATATAGATTGAAGCACGTCCAACAGACGCAACACACACAATTGTCCGATTTGCATCTAGCGAATGGTTTCGACTTCAAGAGGAGAAACACGAAATTGAGGAAACACGAAGTGATAGAGGCGCAAACTTTAGAAGCTTACGATTTTATCTTACTGGAGGAGGAGAAACTGATAAAGACGAGAAACAGACACAACTTGCCTTCGAGCCGGAAACTCTTGCACGAGGAACGCGAGGCGATAGAATTGAGGGCTTTGAAGGCTTACAACGAGCAAACTTTGTTGGAGGACAAGAAAAAGCTGGAAGCGAGGAAGCAGCACGATTCATCACTGAATTATAAGCGATCGTTGAAAGTACCTGAAATCCCAAAGATGAAAGATCCGGAAGAAACTCACGACGATGTGGCTTCGGTCGAAAACAGAGATAGAATAGAAATAATAACGGGAAGCGATTTATCCACAAATTGTCAGCAGTCGATTGAAAAACCGAGAACTTTAGTAGCTCATAGAAAGCTTATTTCTTCGGATGATAATTTGACTGCCGGAAAGGAATATAATTTATTGTCTCATGCAACATCGTCAACGTGTGAGGAAGATCTCCGAGTTCCAATGAGACCCCTCAATCATCTTTTACAAGCTGATAAGATCGTTGATCATCTTTCAAAAGCCGAAACGATGAGTCACTTATCCGAAACACGCGATAATTTAAACAGTGATTTCGACTTGAACAACCATAATGCGAGACATGCAGGTGTATCATTGAACCTCAGGGAAATCACGAGAAACATCGAATGGACCTCTCATCCTCGAGGAATCGTACTGATTAATAAAAGTTTGCAAGGTGCATTTCCTTTTTCGGAGAACGGAAGGTCTCGCGAAAGTCAACAGCGTGATATCGTTGACAACGACACCGCTAGCGCATTGCACAATGCTTTCTTCTTCAAGCTCGAGATCAAAACGAGGATCTTCCGGCGCGCTCAAACGAGACTCGAGGAATCTTCTTTCAATTTTGAGACCTCCCGGCGCGGGGATTTCAGTGCGGAGTTCGTTTGTCGGGTGAACAACGAGATGAACGTGCAAGATCGAGACTCGTTGTTCGACTTGAATTTCGAATGGGTAACGGAAGGTCGGAGTAACCAGAGTCGTCCACTGTTTCTCAGTGCAAATAGTAATCACATCGCCGAAGACGAAAACGGTCGTGACTTATGCATAATATTTATCGGTCGGGAAGAGTTCCCCAATGAATCGGAAACCGCGATCGTAGGGGATTCGACCGAAACTCAAGGAAACGCGCATTTGAGCATTGAAAATGTTCAAGCGACGAATATCTTAGTGTTCGATACGAATTGTCGTCGGACAGATAATGCGACTAACGATAATTTACCACTCCAATTCGTAATTGGTGTACTGAGGAACCTTGGTATCGAGATGTCGGAAGAAAGTGTACAAGATGTTTCAATTGGACAAATTCAAGACCACAGAGACGTGAGTAACGTAACCATGATTAGTGATTTTCCACTATACGCTTTCAATACGAACAATATAAATCACGATGAAGAAAATAATAATACATGTGATAAAATCTCATTAAATCAAAGTACCCGTGGCAATGACATGGTTAATAATGAAGATAAACAAATTTTATATTTGACCAATAATAATTGTTCGGGTAATCTAGATGTTATCTCATCTGTTAAGCCATTAGAGAACGATAATTATGATTCAGAGGATGAGAAATATTTAAGCGCAACCGATATTTATTTGGAAAATAAAGTATCCGATAATAATTTGTCTCTCATAAATGTTGATAATAATGATGTAACGTCACGATCATCAAGTTCCGATCATAATGATAATGATGATGATAATTGTCAATTAGGCATGTTGAATAATAAAACTGAGGAAAATTCGTTTAATCTAATTTTTGAAAACTCTACGGAAATATCTTCTTCCAAGACATTGTCACTTACCAAGTTTTATAATTGTCAAAAATCGATATTAAAATCAAGTGACGAAGAGCTTCAAAAATTGACACAGCTATCAGACAGGCAAACAACATCAGAAAATAAAGGGGAAAGAACAATTTTAAATTCAGAGATCAGAAGTAACAACGATACAATTTTACAATCCCAAAATGTTGAAACTTTACGATTAACAACCACGACGCAAAATGGCATAAGAAGCGAAGATGAAGATAGAAATATTTATAGGAAGACGAATGAATTTTTGACGGGTCAATTTCCTGGAATATGTTCGAGCGATGAAAGCGATTTCAGTTTCTTATACGAGAAGAATAGTGACAGGTCAGAACTGACATTGAATGAAGGTAGTTTGATAGAAGAGTTTTCGAATGATATTATACCACCGATAACATTTTCGGACACTTCTGTCCATAATTCTCCGTACACTTTTAATAATGGAAATTAATATGTGCTCATCTTATAATTTAGTACAAATAACAATACATTTGTCATGCATGTTGTAACTAATTATTTTGCATTGCTACAGGAAATTCTTAAATAATAAATATATTTTACGACATATATAACTACTAATTAGAACATAAATATTTACAAATATTATGATAATGTTTTTTTATAATTCGAAACGAATAGATTTTGACAGGTCAATTTGTTTATGATTCAAGTGAAATTCAGATGAAAATTTATCATAATTGCTTTATTCTGCTCTGTACAAGTTTTTGTTTTATCTTAATACGGTATTAATTTATTGCTGCAGTTAGATATGACATATCTATCTAATGTTATCTAAAAGCAATACTACATTTGCAGTGCATATCCGCTGAATTCACTAAAAAAAGTTATTTCTCATATAATAAATTATTCGAAATAATAGACATGCTACGCAGAAATTCATTAGTTTTCTCTGATATTATGATTTTATATTTTTAATATACAATGTAAAAGTTTTATATACGTTTCATTTATATATATAAATATATATACAAATATATATGTACAAAAAATATATATTTATATTCAAAATTTCACATAAGATAATCTAGTCATTGGTAATTCCGGAACTGTACCATTTAAGTCGTAATATTTAGTCAACAAATGTGCAACGTATTCAATTTCATACGAAGACACACTCATATTGGGCCATTTAGTTCATCAAATTGTATGATTGGTGATCATTTCAGAAATATATTATAATAAATATTCACATGATATCTTAAAAGAAGAAAACAATGGAGATATTTTTCTTCTGAGAGTTATATGTTACACATATAATTAAAATGGTATTTCACTCGGTGAAATTGTTAATTTGTTAATTGTCGCTTAGTAGAATGACTGAACAGAGCTTGAGTTTTACTGCAGAGAGCACACTTCGATCGAAGTGTTTTCTGATTTTTCCTTGCACGATCGTATGTGATCTCAATTTCAGTTGCATCAATTTACAGTTTCTTTTAGCAGATATCATCAAAGCCCGGATCCGAGTCAGGAACTACGTAATTAGGATCACAGACGCTATCCCTGACAGCGTCTTTAACATTCGCTTTAAATACTCTGTAATTTATGCTGCCACTGTTTAAAGTTCCATATAGATACATCGGTAAGCGATTCGACAGCAGCCAGACACTTTGATCGTGCTCGTGGTCTACTCTAATGTCATTCGGGAACACTAAAGATACATTGCTAGTTCCGATCACTCCAAGATTTTGTGGTATGTATTCTTTTCTGGTGTCCCAACACCACACGGAGTCTCTGGTGACCATGTTGAAGAACATAACGCCCGTCTTATCGATGGCAGATCCTGAAGCATGGCCGTAGTCCTTCGCTCTGGGCCGCCCAACGGGCATGAATTTCTCCGTGTTTCGATCAGCGGTTCTTTTGTCCCAGAAAATCGACGTGGACACAGCAAACTCACGAAAGCTGGACATTGGGTGAAAGAACAATGTTCTGTCGTTGTGAACATCTACAGGACTGAGAGCTATTCCAAATATCCCGTCGGTCCATTGGAATTTTATACCATGCAGTTCGTATCTGGCAGCCAGTGGGTCGGGGTAGAAAAAGTGATGCTCAACTCTGTAAGCAAAGTCCTTGAAGAAATCATAGACGACGAGACCATATCGCCAAACGTCAGATAAGTATGCTATCGCAGAGCCACAGTCGTTATCTCTGATATCCACCGCGATGTTAATGTATAAGGAGTCCTGTTTGATTTGCTCATCCGGTAAGGTGTATTTCCTGATGAGGGTGTCGGTGCGAAGGTCGAAGATATATATCGCGGGAGGGCAGACTTGTTTAGATTTTACGGCGAGGTTCGTCTTGCCAGAATCGAGAACCCATAGACGATCGCACTCGTCTACCTGGACGCGAAAGATAGACGTCAGTCCGTCACAGCTTTCTGAAATTGATGGAAGAAGATTCGACGAGCATGTTTAGAAAAATAGATAATATATAAAATGATATATAATAATGATAGTAAAATATGTAATACAATGATATAAATATGATATTAATATAACGATAGATAATAGAAAATAAAAGGCTGCGAATATAAGGAAAAGCTGATATAAAGACAACCTGATTGATGCCAGTGCCAGTTGGGATATGGTTTCAATTTCGGGCTCTTCGTCTTCGAATATCTCGGCACAGTGGATAAAGTCGCCGGTATACCAGCTTTCCATTTCGGAAGGGTGATGAAGACCTTGTCCTTCCAAACATCCAAGCCCAGAGGTAAATTATTTTCAGCTATATACTCGCCCTTGAATATAGCGTCGTCTCGTTCGTCGATATTGTTAAATTCAAAATCGATCGTGGACCACGCGTATACCTGTTCAGATAAAAAGTATTTTATAAAATATAAAAATATAAAAATATACGTATTTTGTTGCAGTTTAATTTGATTTAATTTTTATCAGCGAAAACGCTACGTACTAGTTCCATAGCTGGTCCAACATAGTCGTCCGTGATATGTCCCGGTTCGAAACTGTCACCAAAATCGTGAAAATCTAATTGGTTCACTAAGTGAGGATCCACGTGAAATGTATCAATAGCTCTTCCAGTAGGTCTTGAAAAATCGCTTCTTCCCAGGTTAGATGTCGCAACATGATGCTGCAATAGCGGCGTCAATCCGTAAGGAGCGCTTGCAGGGAGCGCTGCTAATTTTGACGAGTTAATGTGTTCATCGTAGGCCGAGATCGAGCCTTTGTAATTGACCGTCTGTCAACGAGAAAATTTTATGAGATGTAACATCATTATTAAAGTCGAGTAATTTAATCCGACTGATATCTCTTTCAGAGGGAGATTACCAAAATCGTAATATCTATTGTCAGAAAATATCTCAGGTTCAAAAGGGTAAAAAGAGTTGTGAAATGTGTATATCCTCTATATTGAATTAATCACAAGGTTTGCTTCGGCAGAAGGTCTATTCAAACCTTTGACTGGTCCGATATAATCAATATTATTTGTCTCAATGCAACATTGTACTTATGGACTTGTATTGCTTCTTACGCGTGTCGAAGAAAATTGCGGAGTGGAAACTGACGGCTGAGTTAACGGCAACGCGGGTGCTTGAAGCTCTCTAGATAATATACTGGGGCCTGTGTGAGCAGCGAATTGTGGTGCGCTCATAAGCGACATTGACAACAGCCATGGTATCATACTTGCCATACCTGTGAAAAGAAAACTTTAGATTACATTTTCTCTGCGGTGAAATTCGCCTTTTTATTAATATCCTTCGCGCCAAATGATCGTTTACACTTAGCCACACAATTACATTTTGATGGGAGTGAAATGATAGAAATTAGACAACGAGAAACGAAAAGAGACGCATCAACACTCTCGATGCGATTAGAAATTCAGCGCAATTTCCGCAACGTCATATAAACGATGAAAACATTATTTTCTTCATTGAAGTAAGTAGGTCCGTTCGCGACAAAATACTTGGCGATACTCGATGAAAGTACCACGTACCAATTAAATGTCATCTACGTCTGCTACGACATGTGTGACAATAATGACAATATAATAAGCATAGTAGTGAGGGAGAAAGGGAGAAAAGCCGACGTGCAGTAATAATTCATTAATATGAATATTGGGACGAAGGCGATTTTACGTGTATATCTTTTGTTACTTACTTTAAGCAGTGATTACGAAGTTGTTCTTTGGTATATGCTTATTTGAAATATTGAGACTCTAGAGTAGCAATATGCAATCGATCGTGCTATTGTCTTCGCTCTACCGTTAACGTTAGTGATATGTTAGACGCGAGGACGAGTACTCAAGATGGCACCATGGATGTTACTCGACTACTATATTCACTATCCGGGTCGTAAGTATGTCTAGATCCTACGAAAGGAGAGAATGGCGAATCCCTTCTACCGAAGATGATTTTCCCTCTCGTCCGTATAACGACTCCAAGTTCTAGTCACGGTATAGGTCATTGGCGGATGAGTTCATGGGAATTCGCTCATCTCCTCGTGAAATCGTGCAACTCTTTTCTTTGCGTGTGACTTGCATTAAAAATGAATTTCTCACTATTTACTATCAGCTGCAACAATTTCTCTTTGACTATACACTCCATCTCCGATTTATCGTTTTGTTTTCCGAAATTTTCATGTTCAGTTTTCTTTTTAATCATCTAATTTGCAACGTATATTATAAAAAAGAGAAAAATATATCGGACTTTTTTATTCTGTTTCCTTGCAAACATCTAAAAATTACTTTTCTTTCATCTTGTTCCATTTGCGTTCACAGCGTGTTCCAAACATACATATACAATATTTTTTTAGTACTTAATTTAATACTTGTTTGTTCTAACTAAAATCCTCGCAAAAAAAGTAATGCATTAAATTTTAATTCCTCTAAAAGAAATATCTCTCAGAAATATTTAAATATGTATGAAAAATGCTCAACTGTGTTCCAGAAAACTTTTATCTTTTATCTCGATATTACGCTACCGTGAAAACTACTTTTAGATTTTTCGAACTTTGAAGCAACTGTTGGAATTTTTGTAATACTCTGTAATTACGCTCGCTATCTTTATGTTACTCTTTACTCGCTACGCTGAACTGTACTATGCTTCAAAACATTTCTTGTAGATGCAAAGCAAATGTTAATGAAAGTTCTGACCATATACACTGCTCTGTATGTTGCACAATGTAACATTCCAGCTTTTCTAACCCTTCATAAAAATGAAAACTCCATGATTACGAGAGCATTTTCAAGGAAGGCTGCCCACTTAAAGGCTCCAGCAAACACTATAATTGTACTTTTACGAGGCGACACCAGGTGTTTCTTTTTGCCGCCGTGCTGTGGGTGAAACTCGTTTGAATTTTATAGCGTTGCAGCAATGCGAATTCTGCATTTTGTATAATTTAATTGCCTCTACATTTATGTGTAACGCTACGTTGCGCTATATTGCGCAGAGAGTTTTAACAGTTTACCTGCATTGCATTATCTTGAATTTATTATCTCAACGTCAGTAAATTAACAATAATTTTTCCGTACTTCGATTTTTTCTGATTCCGATTAATTCTGATAGAGAAATATTTTCAACGTTAATTTATTTTTTAATAAAGCGTAACAAAGGAAAAACTTTTTTTTGGAATAAATGAATAATAACGGATATATCATGACTTTTAACAAGTATGTTATGGATACGGATTTAGAATGCGTTTCGTAACGTAAACTCAATACTAATCTTAACATCAATAGTTAATTATTATATAATTAATTTTTGTTTTAGTCCCCGTGACCTAAATATAAATGTCACGTTATAAGGCAAACACGATAAGAGCAGCGTGACTTTTTCACTAAGCTGATTGTAAATTCTGCACAGGTGTTACTGAACTTACGATCTCTGTGCGGCAAGTTGTTCGGCCGAAACTTGTCGCGCAGGTCATGATGGTATTTAAAATTAGGATTCTCCTTGATGTGTGTGCTGCCGAAAGCATAACTAGGAGGAACGTAAATATAATTGTTTTGCCTCGGCGTCCATTGCTGTCGGAATGATAACCATCCGGTTCTTTGTACGCCGATGCCTCTCTTCTTTCTCGTCATAGCGTATCTGAAAGTTGAGCACAAGATAATGCAGCAGGCCGATTGTGTGTGAAAATGGTAATGAAGTTGTGAGGAAAGTGGCGATAGTCGACGTAACGTAACGTAACGTTTATTCACTGGCTAATCGCATTACGGTCACAGACGGATTACAAGCGTCGTCTTTGGAACACTGCACAAACATAGAAAAAGTGAGTAATTAATATCGTTACGTTACGTTAGTTACACTTAATTTCGCGACTTACGCAGAGACATGTGCGAAATACATTTTTTTGTGTTTTGGTGGGCTTCTATGTAATTGCAATTATAATGTTTTGGGAATATATATAGAAACTATAGTAAAAATTAAGAAGCTTAATATTTATTTGTTCTCTTCACATATTAAATTTAATATTTAACATTAATTAAATTTAATAAGTTAAAAATATTTTAGGTCTGTATCAATATCTTGAATCTGTTTCTTTAGAAACGACACGAAACACGTAGATATGGCGTAAGCTTCCAATTTCCATAGCTTCAATTTGCGGGAGCGATGAAGTGTCAGCGTATGTTTTTTTTGTTCAGTGAAATCTCGTGGTAATTGCGTCAATGTCTATATAATCGTCGTGCTCACGTACACGCGGAATGTTATTCGAGGAAAAACGCGTTCTATCGACAGAACCATAATTTAATCTTACGTGTGCGACGTGATAAAAAAGAAAGAAAGCAAAAAATTGATACGAAGCAACTGTATGTGAATTGTAAATTGAAATTGTAAAGTAAACTTTTAGTTGTTTCATTGACTGTCTTACAGATTATATAAATTTGTATTTTATTATAGTAACAACAAAAATTAAGCAATTAAATTAATAACAGATTGTATTTGTGACGAAATTTAATAGAAATCAATACAATGAATCAGAAGGACACACATTATTTCCCATTATCGGAGAATTTCTCTAAAAATATTAATTACAGTTGAAAGATAATTTTACATTTGTATTTATCTCAGATCCCTTATTTGATTTCTTATTCGTTATGTACAGTAACATAAATATTCTATGTTTTACAATTTTCTTTTTATAAAAAAAGAGTTGTTTGTCACAGAATTTTTAATTATTACATTGCTTACAAAGTATGACGCAACTTTTAGTGCCATTCAATCGATTTTGGCAACGTATAATTTGCGATAATACTCGAAATGCAGTTCGACTTGTAAAAAGAAAATATTTCAAAAATTATAATTATTTATTATCATCTTATTTCTTGGTATATGCAGCATACATACGTATATATATATATATATATATATATATATATATACACATGCACATTTATATTATTTCAAAATGTTCTCAAATATAAGTTGTCAGCATATAAATAGACAGAGAACTTAGCGATTGCAAGTGCTAGGTAAGAGTTCGATAAGAAATCTACTATGCAATTACGACTGTCAGTTCCACCCATGTCTCTTTTTCTCTCAGTAACACAATGTTTCGGTAATAATAATGCAATTTAAACTCTCAGCTGTGCGCGTACGCGGGCGTTCTTTCTTTCACCGGAATGCAACAGCAAGCGAATTCACGCTACCTGAAATGGCACGGCATTTCCGTTCCGACAACTCATTCGGCAAGCGAAGCGAGACGTTCTTCCGACTTTAACATAAACGCCACTTTCCATCGGAGATTAAGAATACTTTCCGCTTTCGCACTTACACTACTTCCCAGTCAGAAATAATTCGTTGAAAAGTTTCGACTTCGAAAATCGAGTATCGAAATTCGGATTGATTCAACCTCACGAAACGCGTATAAATGTAGACGTATCTTCGACTGCAATTTTCAGTACCGTTGCAACTTGTTAATTATTACTGCTCAATTAGAATTAATTACTCAAGGAATACCAACGTGCATATAAGGTAAAATTATTCTCGTGTCTCGTGACCGCTGTGACCGAAGATTGCCACACGTATACACACTCCGAACAAATTTCTCCTGCGACTACGTCGAACACGTCGCAAGTAACAGCATTTATGCACGAGTATCAAGGCACCATGGACATCACCGTGGATCTCCGCAAATGATGCACCAACCCGTAATTAACCCATAATTAACAATTATTTTCATATCAATGATCGTTTTTATTTTAACACCCTCACTATTCACGATCAACAATTGACGAGTCAAAATTAAGAATGCAAATTATCGTTGCATCTTCGCGTTTCCTGCTCCACACAGACCACACAGTATCAAACTCTCGTTACTGGCGACGCAGGACTGGAGCAATGTGGGACACTTGGCTAGAGAAACTAGGTGTTGATTCGGCACTCTTGCAACGAGCACTGTGTCCGCTAAAGTTTCGCGATATTCGCGCCCTTTACCACACCCTCTCCATTTAAATCGTCCGCATGCGCCGTGACTTGTTATGTTTCCTTATATATATATTACTGTCTATTATTAACGAGTGCTGAAAATTGATTATCTATACGATCTACGTGCAATATCTACGATCAATGTGTAATAATCAATGTGTATAATCTATAACGTCTTAATGATTATATAACTAGAAAACGGTATTTTGTGCTGATGTTATCGCACGTTAGCTGTGCATGGTTCTTAATAAGCTGCAGCTTTGGCAAGATTTTCTTTTACAATCTTTTATTGCGTGTTGAACAATTGTGTGAGAAAATGTATGTTCTACGCACAATTTTTTATCGGGGAAAAGATGTTGCATATAATTTGTGTATAGAATTCATCTTGTGAGAGCAGTTTTTTAATATTATATATATATACATTATATATTATATATAACAACATATTTTATATTCTTGGAAAGATTTCAACTGTTACTAACTCTTACATTGGTTAGGTTGTTTCTAATATCTATGTGTTAAATATTTTTCTACATGTAGGTAAGAATTAAATGTTTATTTTACATAACGTTTATTCGATATTTTCCAATTTTTCTAATATTAGAAGTTTGGAAATATTTTTAAAATGAAATATTACGCTGAATATAAATAATTTTTTACTGGATTATATATTTCTCGTTGCAAGTCAAATTTAATTTAACATTCGATTGTTCGGCACGTCGTAACGCATCACAGCGTTTTTTAAAAACTTGTTAGATATAAACCCGCTAGAAGCGATAAGTAGTCGCTCCGATATTAGACGCAATTTTTGTGCCTATGACGCAATTTTTGCGTAATACTAGATTTTCTTCGAAGCAACTTTCTCCTAAAACGCACTTATGCCTTAAACGCGTATACTAAGCGTACATATTACCTGTCAATGATTTAAATATCGCAATTTATCTATTACATGCGAATGACCGAGCGCTTGTAACGATTTTAAAAATTAAAATTCCTTCGACGTAGATATCAGGAAGTATCTAGTTTTATCAACCAGCTTTTCCTCCAAAAAGGCTTTTCCTCATGCGTAAATTGTGTAAACAAGTACATTAGTAAGTTTAACGTTAATTAATTTAATTTTTGAAATATTTATGAGTTTAAATACTTTTCTAAGAGGTTTTCCCTGATCAAACCAATTATTCTTTCATGTTAAAAGTAAATTTATTAAATTTTCATTTTGTACCTGTAATAGTCTTTATTGTTACGGTGAGTTACAAACAGTTACATTAGCTATCAACTGAGCGACATCCGCTTTCATAACACGGAAATTTATTTCTGTAAAATTCGTCGTACCAGCCATATATTTCTGTATACGATTAGACACAAACCAAACATTTTCATTTGCACCTATGGTACGTATTATTTTAATGCCGCTAATGAATTGGAACCTGTCCTGATCGTGAGCGACGATACCCTGCGAATCAAAGTAGATCATGTTAATTTTTCATATTTTTCAATATCTCTCGCTAGAAATATTTAGGAAAAGAAACTTAAACTAGGTGAACAGATGGATACAGATGATACATGTTACATGCGTGTGTAACTTTCGAATCGGATTTTATTGAATTTTATTTACAAGTTAGACTGACCAAGCTGTTTTTATCGAGCGGCTTGTTGGTGTTCCAACATGCTAAGGATACTTCCGTGGGTAAACCAAAGAATAATACACCACCGAACGATATAGCCATAGCTGCGGCCTGGCTAGGAATAACATCTCGTATCGTGCGGTAGCGCACTTCTCCATGTTTTCGCGATTTTTCCAGATCAATAGTGCTCGCATTGTACATATTATGAGAAGACATGGGTCTGAAATAGAGAATGGGCAGGACCGGATGCTTCGCCATTCCCAGAAGGCCGTCCTCCAGTGTAAAACTTTCGCCCATAATAGTGTAATTTGAAGCAGCTGGATCTGCACGAAATTCTTTCGACTCTAGTCGACTCCATTGTTTGTTACGATCATAAATTACAAGCCCGTATCCTGCGACGTCCGCTATGTACACCTAACAAAAGACCCTCAAATTACGAAAAACTTACGATCAATTTTACTTTATTCATGATCTTGATGCTAAATATTTCAACGGGCATAAACTTTGAATTCTCTTCGTTGAATGTTTCAGTATTACGGCGAGTGATTATTTAGCACACTTACCGTTGCATCTGTATAATGGGGTCCGTGTGTCTTGACAATTGGAGTAATCAGTTTGCCGACTTTCTAGGAATTTGTTGCGATATCTTCCGGTATTTTTATATTTTTAATTAACTTATCTATACTGAGATCGAAAATGAACAGCTGTGCGGAACAATTTAGTGTTTCTTCGATTTTACCATTGTCTAAGACCCATAATCTGTTGTAAGGATCGATCTGCGACAAGAAGTTATTTGTATCACAATGAATTTAAAACGAAGTTCATGCAATATTAATGTTGCGTACATATAGACATGGGACATAATGTTGACAAATAATCGCGAAAAGCAATCGCTAATTGGAGTTCTAATGCGCTTACCGCAACTCTGTAAACATTAATAATCCCGCTGCAATTTATTTTAGTCCATTCCCAATTGGGGTATGGCCGTAGGAGAGGACCACCCGGGCCACGATGTCGACTAACAGTGTTCAAACTCGACGGAACGCCGTCAGTTCTTATGATAGTTACAAAGACCCTTCCGTCTATTTCGAGCAAAGTTATCACATGTATAAAATTGCCGCAAATTATTAAATATTTTTAACTTAAGTACAATCCTGCTGAAATATATTTATGTAAAATGTAAAATAAAATTATCAAACAATCATGTATGGCTGTCACCTTTCGAAACGTCGGTATCGATAACCAGGGGCCTTGTGTAATTGTAATCGCCCGATGCGATTGCTGCTTCCTTGTGACTAGCGTTTTCCCATTCATAATCGAAGTATTTCCATTCGTAAACTGTTTCGATTTCCACCGCGTTGGTAAAAATAATACCGATGCATAATAACAATAATAATGTCGAAATGTTTGACATTTTACTTCCTGAGCTCTATCTTTACAACTCTCTCTAGGTTGATTTTAAAAAACGTATGTTTTTCACACTTAAATATGCAATTACGTAAAAATCGTGCGATAGCTTACTTTAGAACATGTACATTTGTTTGCCTGTTCATGTACGTAGATATATCTTGCTGAGCACTCGATTCAAACTTGACACAGACTGAGTCAATAAAACTAAATTGTCATGCTCGCAGAGAATTTATAAGAACACTTTACGACGGGCACAGCCTTTATACGCCGATATAGTCATGCATGAATATTTATCGGCGCGAACTATAATGAGGTACTTCCTCATAACAAATGAAGCATGCATCAGTTAACCCGTAACTGCTGTTCTCTGGTCAATTTGACCGGTCAATTGCACTATTTGAAATTTAAATAACGCAGTTAATTTTCTAGTTGCATATTCATTCGTCAGTGTATTTTCTTACATTCTGAATGTCAGTCGACTGATATACGCGCAGTTGTGTGGTCGTGTTATTTGTCAAGATGTTCATCAATTCCGTTTCCTACCGGTCAATTTGATCGGTGAACAGTGTGCGCGTACTTAAAATGGCTTCACAGCAGTTACTGGTTAAGTGGCTGCGAATTTCCATGAGAGTATTCGTCTGCGGTCTTACGATCTAAAGTAACACTTGCGTCTATGACCTCATTTCACGATATGTATTGGATATATATTGAATATTATAGGATAATGACAATAATGGTATAATGACGGAGAAAAGTGCATTATAAACATTATTTATATGCAAAGAATATTCTTACAATGCACTGAATTCTATGGAAAGTTCCTTCTTCTGTTTTCTTCTCATCTCTTCGACACCATCTCTGCGAAGCATCGTTATTAATCACGGATGCTTTCCTGCATGCGAACCGTTTTCAAATTTTTCATCTCCGTAAGTTATGAAGTAATGCAAATTTTCCCTTTATCTTTTGTATTGAATGGCACGCACATAAATGTTTGCCAAACTGACTGATCGTCTAAGAAATGAATAATATATCTTTGAATAAATCTATCATAATTTGCACATAATTATATATAATTTCCGCAATCGAGGAAGACAATGAGTGGAATTCTCTCTTACTCAATCTATATTGGGTTGTAGAATCGGCGTTTAATATGCATAAAAGATATGCAAAGGATAATTCATATAAACACTCATACAAATAAAATAACATTTTATCGTTTTATACAAATAAAGTAACATTTTAGCGTCCAAATATTGGAAGTGAGTTGCACGGAGTTACGTTCTCTTTCAGTTGTTACACTTCTTATTACATTATCGTGACATTTAACGCCCCCGTTAGTCGCAGAAAGTTCCTTTTCTCATTTTCATTTGCATTTTTGCTCTCATGCTGTTTTTGTACATGAAATACATATTTTTTGAGAAACTTCTTTATTAGATTGTACATGAGAAGAACAAAAAATCAGTCAGGGCCTTCTGTCTTGGATTATTTTTTGAGCGTCAGACAGTGTCTCGCTGGAAATATATAGTTCAGTGATTTATTGTTATCTTTAATTATAGCCTTATGATCTTAGGTATGCGTGCATACATGTACGCACACACACATATATAGATATAAGAAGATTTAAAAATGAGTCACACTTTGCTGTGTAAACAAGCTTTATGTGTGAGAGATTTATTAGCAGCAAACAAAAAACTTCTTAAAGTGTCTGCGAATGAACAACTCTTAAAATAGAATAAGTTTTTCTTTTAGAAACATACGGAGACATATGGAGACATGAACAAATAAGCCAGTATAAATGCGGAAAACAATATATTGTCAGATTAATCGTATATGTTCGTTAATCTTAAATTGTTATTATTGTTAAATTGTTGTCATTGTTATTGTTAAATTTCGATCTGAACACTCATAATTTTTCTTCTTAGTTATCTAAACGAAGTCATCTAGTGATATTTAGTCAGATATCAGAGCATCCATTGGAGTTTTTATAACTGAACACAAGTTGATTCACTCATAAGACATTTTTTTTTCATTTCAAGCTTGAGCAAACATTTGAAAAAGTGTCCTTTCTTGAAATAATACACTGGATGAGTTCCTGCGTCATTATAGTTAGTCATCATTAGTGTTAGTAGGTAGTGTTAGTAGCGACTTGTGAGTGTTTTAGAATTATCGTAATTGACAATCAAATATTTTGCGGTATGTTGTAGATGTTCGTCTTTACTTCGCTATACATATAAGTAGGTAGAGCGACTCGATAAATATATTACTTTAACAATAGTAATATGGATTATTGCACAAAAAAGGATATACACATACATAAATTATAAAAGTGCAAAGTCAAAAATGCACGCGCATTTCGACGCTTGTTGCTTGATATTTATGAATGAAAATTCAAGGAAACATTTATGTTAAACAGAAAGAATAACAATAAGTACTGCTCTTTTATCCAAAAGTCGATGGTTTTTTTAACACATTTTTTAACATGTTACCACAGTAGCAGAATAATAAACGATTATAATTAGCGCTACAACAAACAGCATGTTTGTTAATTCTTGAGAGAGAGAGAGAGAGAGAGCGAGAGAGAGAGAGAGAGAGAGAGAGAGAGAGAGAGAGAGAGAGAGAGAGAGAGAGAGAGAGAGAGAGAGAGAGAGAGAAAGAGAGAGAAAGAGAGAGAAAGAGAGAGAGAGAAGCAAATAAATTCAACAAAATCTTGGAAACATCAACTGGACTCTTTGTCCTTTGCAGCTGTCATCAATGGAGGCAAGGTACATGTAGCATCGCGCGTTCCTCAATCGTGATTGACGAAGGTATGGAAATTGGCTGGTCTGGGATTATAAATTGACCTCATGAGCCACGGAGAGAAGAATGGTCTAGCCAAGAATTTTGAAAAATATAGCGGGGGTCGGCGCTCCGCGAAGGAATTCGGATATTTGTGCCACCAGATGAGCGGAAACATCCGAAAGCGTGAATTATCGAACTCCTCGCGGTACCACAATCTTCATTTGGCGAACTGGAGCGGCAGATAACCGCGATTGTGCGAGATGTTGAAGTTATTTCCATTATTCGGATCGCATTTGGTGTCGTGGATCAACTCGCTCGTGTAGGCGGCTTGTATCCAAAAATTCGTCTCGTTCGGATGCATGGATCCGGTCATGTACTTCTGGAACGACGACGTGAGGATCCATATCTCTTGACGGCCGGTTTTCCCGTTGGTAATCTGCAATCGGATGAATCAGGATTGGATCGGTCGGTTAATTAGTTAGTACGGTATCAACGACTGCCATTGAAAGTTTCTTACAAAACATAAAAGTGCAAAAATGTTTCGAGGCAATTCAATCCCGAAAGCGATAGTAATACGCGACGATGACTTGGATGTATTTTTTTAAAGATTATTTTACAGTCGTTTTTCCAGTTTCTTTTCTTTTCTAAATAGGATACATATTTGACGATACTACAGAAAGGATGAGCAACTTTTACGAACTGGTAATACATCTAAAAAACTTTATCGAATGGTAAATTGCTTACGAAGAGTTAATTAAATACTCCGTTATGTGCGAAAAGTATCGTCGAAATAAACGACTGTCATACCTTTAATCCAGATGGGAACTGTAGAGTTTGAGGGTTGACATCAGCTATTCCAGTGTTAGTACCGCCATATTCGGGATAAGTTATACTGTTCCAACATCCAATTGCCAAATCTGACAAGAGACCGAAGTAAAGAACTCCGTCTTTATCCATAGCTTGTGCGACCGACTGCGATGACCTTTCCATAGCGAACGGACGGAACATCCTTGGCTCGGCATCGGGATTATCTCGGAAGAGGGTATAATTTCTAATAATAATGTAATAATGAACGCTTAATTATATAGTGTAATAGATCCTGTTGATTAGAATATTGTGAAAGACACGACAGGTGGGAAGAATATATCGTATCGTATAAATCGAAAAAGTTTATACAGCAGAAATACCTATTTCTGTTGTATCATTCATTCATGTCATTTATTTACTTATCTTTATTGTAAATTTTTATCTAAATTTGTCAGAAAGATTGTTGCTTAAAGGAGGAGGGTCCTTAAGGCCTGTTTCCGGCACCCTTCAAAATTGGACCAAAATGGCTGGAATCACTTCCTTATACCCTTGGAAGTAATATTTAGTCAATTCCAGCCTAAACGGAAGTATTTAGAGTGTATACTTCAAGTATACATGGTGCATCAGCGCGTCCGTATCAAGCATTTCTTTGGAAAACTAAGTGTTTTTGAGAAAAATGTTTCAGATAAAAGTTGTATGGTTTCAAGGGGGACATAAGATGGTGTGACCTTGGATAATTAATAATAATTAATAATTAATAATTAATAATTAATAATTAATAATTAATAATTATGCAAGATTAAAAACTAAAGAAGGAGAAGAAATAAAGAAGAACAACTCAGAAATAACAAGATATCTTTTTGCGTAATAAGAAAATCTCGAGAAGCAGCTCTGACAAGAACTAGTTTTATTTTTATCGTAACCAGGTCCCTGGGTACGCGCATACACGCATTTTGTGTATCTCTGACATTAAGATGTGAGATCGGGTCCGATATAAGGCTATAGACATAAGCAGGACTTGGTCTATTGAATTGAAAGCTTAAGGATCGTAGTTGCTCAAAAAGGTGCATACAGTTTTTAAAACAGTTCTTTTCAAAACTTCGTATTTAGTCTTGCGGCAGAAAATACGTCAGTCATTTCTTTCAGAAGTATTTGTAATAAGTGTTTCTACGTGAACTACGATAGTGTTTTGGAAAGCTCTCGAGATAAGCTACAAGATATGTAAAAATAGGGGGTTCTATATAAAATATTGAAATCGACATTCACGTGACCTTCAAATGACTATCCAAGGTCAAACCAATGACACCATCTTATATCCCCCTTGAAACCATCCAACTTTTATCTGAAACATCTTTCTCAGAAACGCTTAGTTTTCCAAAGAAATGCTTGATACGGGCGCGCTGATGCACCATGTATACTTGAAGTATACACTCTAAATACTTCCGTTTAGGCTGGAATTGACTAAATATTACTTCCAAGAGTATAAAGAAGTGATTCCAGCCATTTTGGTCCAATTTTGAAGGGTGCCGAAAACAGGCCTTAGGGACCCTCTTCCTTTAATCGGATAAAACACAAGAGAAACAAAATAAAACTTGATAAAAATCCAATATTGTAGTCTATTGGAATTACGTTTTATTTTTTTACTTTTTATTATTTAAGTATGTGTATGTATGCGCGCGCATGCATCTGTGATGAATGAAGCGTAAAACACAGATATGATAGATTCCAATATTGCAAAATATTTTCAATACTTAGAACGTTCAACACATACGTTTAATTAGATCTTTTATCGCGTATATATGAGCAATTCTATTTCGTTTTCTTACCTGATAACGGAAGTGGGCACCCAACTTTCGACTCTGCTGGCTAAGGAATGGAAGTACAAAATCCTATCACCGTCCTGCTTCATGGGACCTAAAGCGAGACCTATGATGCCATCCATGAGATCGAACGTGTCCCCGCTGATGTGAAACGTTCCGTAAGATGGATAAGGGTAAAACAGGTTGTTGTTGATTTTCCAGGAGCGGTAGTTTTGATGATCGTAGACGAGCAAGGCGAATCCGGTCACATCGGCAATGTAAACGAAAGTCTCGTGACATTTGTCCGTGGTTCCACCGCAACGAACATCGACCGCAAGTGTGACGAACAATGAATCGTCCTTGTACTGATCCTTGGGGAATGGATACTGTTTCAAGACTGTGTTCGTCCGCAGCGAAAATGACAGCAGTTTAGGAGGACAGATTTGCCGCTCACCGAGCTTGCCGGTGTCGAGGACCCATAATCTATCGCACGAGTCCACCTGTGATCAGATTTTTTTCTACATTTCTACTTTCTTTTACATTTCTATTTCTTGCTAAAAACACATATGTGATCGAGCGATTACAAAATTTATGAATTTAATAATAAATAAAAATAATAAATAATAATAATAAAATAAATCTAATAATAAATAATTTATCGTACATATAATGTTTCAAATATAATTTATTTCTAATTTATAATTTCCTCGTATTTTATTTGCACAAAGAAACAAATGGCGAAATTTTACCGTAAATATATGTCAAATTTGTAAATTCACGTTACTTCGATATTTCGATCGATCGAAGGAGAAAGAATATTCGGAAAATTCCGATAGTTTGTTGGATATACTGATATCTACTTTCAGTACGTGTCGCTACGCAGTTGTTAAGTATAACTTTTACATTTCCATAACGATACATATTGATTCGGCACGTATCGAAAAGCGAGCATGAAAACACATTTGTGTCATTGTAAAAGATTATAAGTTACATATATAGGTTACGTGTCTCGATAATTATACGTGACCAAAGCCGTTAAAGTTTATTAACAATGAAAGACATCCGAACAAATGTTCGGATGTCTTTCATTGTTAATGAAAATAGACCATGGTAGAAAATAAAAAGTTCATTACTGTTTGCAAAATAGTTGCTATAAATATTGACAATTATGATAACTTATCTTTGTATACACTATACCATCGGATTGTTATCTGTACTTCTGGAATAATAATGGAGATGTGTGTGTTATATCATGATGTGTGACACGCGTTTGTTCTTTTCTTCAAACGAGTACATTACGTGGAAGCGATTCCCGATAGTGAGATGATCAGCAGGATTTTCAGCTCTAAGACTCGCAGATCCGGTTGCAGCAAGAGATAGAGGTGAAATAAATTTTTAAATAAATTGGACACAACACGTTTGATTATGCAACTCGCCGGTCCTTTTTTACAGCATAATTGCAATGTCGACGTTAAAACAGTAAAGTGAGATTTATATAAAAATCAACATTAGAGCTAAACGATATTACTACGGTAGTTTTGCATTCTGTCATCGATATAAGTTTGTATGATTGATTAATACAACTTTATATCATTGAATTTTAATTTAGTTTACAAAACCAAAAGCAATTTATTTATTACCTGCATTCTGTACACACTGATGATCCCTTCGCAATTTCCCAATCTGTTCAATTCCCAATTAGGGTAAGGTGCAATTATCGGATTTCCATCGGCGGAAACATTATTCGTGACGTAACCAAGCGTGACAGGTACTCCATTTTGAAATCTTGGTATCGAGATAAAGACTACAGATCCTTGTTTTGCTGTGTATTCAATAAAATGGCTATTAAATGTTAGACAAGGCGATTTGAAACTAGCTAACTCATCAAACAATTTGCACAAGACCATTCGAGCTAAAGATCTCGAATGAGAAGTCTTTGAACACGGGATTCTCTGTACGGATTTTACGCGGACTTATTACAAAACTACTACTAAAGTAATCAAGCGATGATTAATCAAGCGGTAATAGTTGTATTCAAGTTAAACAATGTTCGCATGTACGTTTAAATATTTCATATCGAAGAAATATCACAAACACAATACAAAATGAATAACAAATAGGGTAAAAATATTGAAATATTTTCATCGGGAATTGTCTATAGTGGTGGGATTATTTTTGCAATGGTTGCTTAGGTGTTTCAAACGTGTTGAATGAAAACTGATTAAAACCTTTGTGATAAAAATCCACGTCGATCGGTATCGGCGCTCCAGGAATAAAACGACCCTCTTGTATGGCAAGTTTTCTCGCTGCTGCGTTCGGGAAGGCGAACTCCAGAGCCTTCCAGGAATATATGACCCTTAATTTATCAATGCTGGCACACCCTCCAAGAACAACTAACGGTATGATAATGCTCAATAACCGGTCTCCTCCAAGTCCCATCATGGTCCGATCTATAAACGAGTTATGCAATTAACATACTCTGATACGTGAGTGAGGATAGTAAAATAATAATTTCGTACATATTTACAGATACATTTTTTTAAGAGAAAGAAGACTGTCAAACAGATACATGTTTTTCTAACTGTTAATGCATTTTGTTGAAGGATATATTAAACGCATCGTTTAGCGTCTTAACTTAAGCAGTAATTAAATAATCTTTTATCGCAGATAAAAACCGGTTTTGATATTCCCTGTAATTTATAGCTAATTAAATATTTATATATTTTGAAATATATGAACGGTGCATCGTTGCACCTGTAAAATAAAATGCAATTAAATGCCAGAATTAAATGTCAATGTGTCGAACATGTTTGCATGTACTTATTGCACGAATGCGAATGATAAAATAGTTAGAGCATTTCACTTTCTAACTTTATCAGCTTTCACCAGAAGAAATTGCATAAGGATATTAATTGCAAATTGCCGATGACCGATGTAGATGGATAAAAGATTTGAGTCTTTTGTATTTCGTTATATTTAATGCTTTGTGCAGGCGTTCGTAAAAATGACTTGCTTTCAAATTTACAGTGCATAAAACTTCATACGTAACGTCATTTGCACTTCATTATATTTTATGCTTTGTGCAAGCATTCGTAAAAATGGCTTGTTTTCAAGTTTACAGTGCATAAAACTTCGTACGTAACACCATCGTAATATGGTAGATGTCTCTCGATATTATATTATAACATATTATACAATTAAATTATAAAATTATTTAATTCTATAAAATATATTTTTGCAAGTAACTTTTTTATATAAATCCCATAAAAAATCATTATTCATAATATGATAAACATAACATCGTTATAACACATTTTATTTGTATTACTTAATACATAATTAAGATCATATTAATTTCCTTCCGCAGTTCTTTTGCGATTATTGATATAAATTTATCAACAGAAATAATCTCTTTACGAGAGATCATGACCTTTATTTACGTTGAATTTTTGTGCGACGAATGTATACAAAATAGGATCACGAAACTTCACTGTCAATTATCTTTTTGATAGCAGAATGGCCTTACCTGCAGTCACGAATTCGATGATTAGCGTTCTCCTGCACTTGTCAACCGTTACGGCACGCAATGATGACACGTACTATGTCACAGTTTTTCGTAGTTATTGCGTTCCTTCGGCGTAAATTCGACGAAAGCGCAGCGACTTGCAACGATACCCTTCTTACTCGTTCTTTCGTAAATAGGAGTATCGTTAAGGAGGCGGCCGGCTTTTTCTCTTACTTCCTCGGTACTTTCACTGTCACGGAAAGAAAAGACAGGGAAGGCGGTTATGCTTGCTAGCGTTAACGATTAATATACAAAGCTAAACGTTATTCTGTCTCCTTGTCTAATCAGGCAAAGGCTATCGAACGTCGCGATATGCTGATCTTTTAATAGTAATCAGAGAAATAAATCGTTTCGTTCATGTTTTTCTTTCACTAGTCACCCGTCACGCGCTTGCTTCTCTCGTTATTGTATTTTCATTCTTCAAGGACACCGGTGATATATTTCCAATGTGTAATGACAGCTCGATGAATCGGGGACGCGAGACTCTCTCGTAAATAGTAAGTCGATATGAATGATAACTCAGGAAGGTGGAAGGTGGTTCTTATAATCCAACTCCTGACTGGAAGGCGACTGGGGGACGACTGCCGCGGGATCTCCCACTGCTGCGTAACTTTGCAACATGCTCGAGCATCTCCGTTCTACTAGAACGGAACTGTCGAAGAGAGGTGGATACTTTGCCTGGAGACCATGTGCTTGATAAGATTACTGTTCCGGGTCACGATATCTAAGACCGATATATCTCTCTTGTTTAAATAATATGCCATTGACGGGAAAATTGCGAAATTAGTGACGAAAGCGTTTCGAGACTGTCATGAAACTGTGCCAATCACTCTGCACACACATATCGCTCTTTATTATTTACCTCCCTCTTCTCTCTCCCTTCTCTCTTTTTCTCTCTCTTTCTCTCTCTCTCTCTCTCTCTCTCTCTCTTTATTTTTGCATTGCAAATAAATTTTTTTATTGCGCAAAGTTTATTATTTTTTCAGTTATAACATGAATTTAACATTTAACATGAATAAAAATAGAATAAAATTAACTGTGTGGAGGAAACATTGTTAAACGACAACTGAGTTAAAATGCGAATATTATAAATAACTACAGGGCAAAATAAATTGACACAGGGTTTGTAAATTTTCGAATATTTCTTGTTGGAATATTTATTTTTCCATAAGTCGACATACAGTTGTGCAGAGGTTATTGATTGTAATAAACAATAACGATCAAAAATATATGTAAAATAATCAGTATTTTGTTAGCGTTTTTTTTTTCAATACAAAGCGTTCTGTCTTCTTCATTATAACTTATTTTTATCACTTGGCATAGCTGACATTTTAAGCAGGTTTAAGCAAAAAGAACGACGAAGCAAAGTCTGATGTCATCCGCAAATAATGGACACCACTATTCTGCATAAATGTGTTTTTCTAGTAATATGACTTTATCGATTGTATACTCTTCTCCGTGTAATTAATACACGAAAATGCGCACATACATATAAACACATATGTACAATTTGCGTGTCAGGATGCATGGAGAGTCAACGCGTTAGTCATTATGGGAGATTCTAATGCGTAATGCTCACAGGCGATTGCCTTCTGATAAAGTGGAAGAATGATTTTTCATTTTTATTATCACCAGGAACAAAAGTGACGCGTATGGGAATAATCAACGACTATTAATATTTTTCGTCACTTATATTAATAGCTGATATTGCGTTCAGTTACGGATGTTAAATTATATGAGCAAACAGATAAAATACATACTTGAAACCAATATTTTAATTGGATTCAATGATACAAACAAATAACGCATGCGCACACATAGATATCATATAAGATACATATATATATAATATTAAATATTATTATATTAAATATTAATATCATATAAATAAACAGTTTAACGCTTAAAAAGTTTTAATTAATAACATACACAGTAATGTTTCCACGTTATCGTAAGAAGAAATTACTTTTTCCACCATTTATGTTATTGATCATGTACTTCCCGTTTCCTATAAAATATCACATTTCATTGGTTTAACATATACTCAATTATTTACAGCATAACGTGAAAATACCTTTAGAATTTGATATTCATTTGATTTCATACACGACCACAATATATTGACTATAACCGCGACTTTATGGACCATAACAACTTGACATTGACTGCGGAGTGTCGAGATGTACCGTTTCAGGTAACTCATTTATCTTTTCAAACCTTGAGCGAAATCTCGGAAATTTTTAAGTAAGAAGAGAACTTGTATGGTTATGGACTAAGACTTATTTATCTATTGTGTTGATATTAAATTGCAGAATGTATTTTATTCACTTACATATTTATCATTAAGCCGTTATAACTATAACAAACAATTATCTATATTAAATCTATTGTGTTACTGTATTGTTATAACATGGATATATACGTAGCTTTGTTCTAACAGTACTAGTAGCGTTATATTTGGGAGGAATTTAGTTATATAACAGAAAAGTTTTTGTAATTTAATTACTAATTTTATTTTGCATTTGAATTTTCTACCACTAAAAAGGTAATTTAACATATGAGTCGAAACACTTGTCACGTATTTGCACATCATGAGAGAAGCTTATCTCTTAAATCTCATTAATAGTATAAATATAAGAACACCTGACTATTCACTTGACAGATTCTCAAGTGTTTTCGTCTTCATTTTCTTCATTGACTTACAAATTTTGTAAAATGCGTGTTCGATATGTTAGCTTATGTACGATATAGCTAGTTCGTAACACATTACGTAAGATACGAAATGATATTAACAATATAAATATCATCGAATATATTAATATTTATAAATATATTATTCGTGCCAAAAGTGATAAACACGCTCATATCCACGTGTATATTTCTATCGTTCATTAATCTTCGTATTTAATCAGCGATACTACACTTCTTTTGTTCGAGATATTCAGCAGAATGTCGTTGGTCCTGAATTCTCGATATTTCTGGTGAGTTATAAAAAGAATGAATACAAACATTTGAGGTAGTGGGTTTGCATGCGGTAAATTTTGCGATAGCTACACTCCTAAATCTGTTATAAGTGACGAATACTGAATGTTGCTAAATATCAATGTGAAATGATGAATATACAATTCATTGTTTACAAGATAAGTCACTGAATTTACACACTTTAACAGTACAAGATTGCTTGAGAAGATTTACAATCGTAAAATATCTTAAAAATCGTAATCGTAAGGATTGATGATAGTAAATATGTTCATAAGTACAATCGTAAATTTTTAGAAGTATATTTTGCATGAAGAAATATTTGATGTAAGTTGTTTCGAAAGAGATAATAAGATCGAAAGATAAGAGAGATAAGAGGACGCAAATTATTATGGTATAAAGGTCGTGATTGAATCAAACTTTTTGATTCAATCATCGCTTTTAGTCGACAGGTGAAATCAAGATGCATTTTTTACTTTGTTATGAGTCTGCATAATTGTAATTATTTTATCAAAAAACGCATGGAGTACGAAAATATTTAATACAATCGCATAAACGTGTATTCTCGTATCTATTGCTTTCTTCTATTGCGGCTACTTGGTACCGTTGGTGGCAAAGAATACTGAAAGTTACTATTTACGAAAGGTGATATTTACATGTGATATTGATCATATTTAATCATGATTCGTTGTATGTGTAAACACGATTTGATTGATTGAATGGCTTCGATATTTGTTTATATCAAGGTAATGACATACGAACCAAACGTAACAGATTTGTATCTGTATAATACATATGCGTATGTTTACTTTATAATTCTATTTCATACATTTTTGTATCACTATTTTTCATCATTATATCGTCCTTAGTCCTTTGTGCAATTTGAACTTATATACAAGTGTCTGTACGTAAATCATACATACATGTTATACATACAAAATTGATATCGAATGAGAACAATTTGTATGAGAAAGATGTGCTTGTATACTGAAGAAACATGTAAATGAAAATTTCAATGTTTGTACAATATCGCACAAAATAATGAAAAATGATCTTTTACGAATGTGTACGATTGATGATGAGAGATATCGGATTGCACAAGAGAATGCGAATGTCGTTATTACGTACAGAGGAATTTGCAAACCCGGCAATATTGAATTAAACCTAGTTACTGGACAAAATCAGATAACTCGTGAATAATATTACTGGAAACTGGCATTACTGGAAACTGGCAAAACTCTTATAAAATTTCTATGAAAAGATCCAGTAATAAGAAAAGGCAACGTTACCCAAACTTGGAATTATTATATGCTCTGACTTTTTATCGGTTATGTATACAAATTTAAAAGGAAAAGAACATCTCGATTGATAAAAATTCTTTATCTTCAACTAATTTTTGAGAAACACAATAAGATGAGGAAACACGATAAAATTTTCCAGAAAGGAAAAACAAGCATCGTTAACTTTTGCAAGCCGGAAAGACAGAAGTAATTTTAAACACTTGCAGTTTGTGGTTGTAATAATCGTCTAACGTATATACCACGGTGATTATTATATAAGATTTTCTTTTAGAGACAGAAATTTCGTCATAGACCTTTTTACTAATATCTTCATTCTCCATTTTCTACTGCAAACGCTGTTACCATGTTTAAAATTTGGACATTATTGTATCGAATTATTCCCCCATCCCTCTGTTTAGTACGCTGTAGTATTATTGTAGTAATTTAATGTATAATATGGATTGAATTGATGAATAAGAGGTGTCGGAGCCAGTACGTGATCGTAACCGTTCATTGTGATTCTCATGATGCGTATGTTATTTTGACGAGTGTCGACTTGCCTCAGGAAGAACTTATGAAACCTGGACGACATTACCCAAAAATTACCATTGTCACGTTCCGCCCATCTGATCTCGGCGGTAAATTGTAATTCTTCCGGGCTATATACGATTATCCTGAGAAGAAAAAGAAACGAATAAACAAGGTTAATAATAATGACCGAAAATACACTTATAATTATATATGAAGTACAATTAGTACGAACATATGCTGTTTAGTTGCCACTTAGATTTACAATAAATAATTAATTAGGAAACAATTTAGTTTTGTTTTAATCAATTTAATTAGTATTTCAATATTTTAAGTAATTAGTAAGTAATTTAATTTTTATGTTAATTCAGCAAGTGAGTAATTAATTTTTCAATAGTAAATAATTATCGCGTGCGCGGTGTGTATATGTCAGCATGATAACTTCGTTTCAACTTTGTTGTATTTCTTATGTCAATATGACGCTGCGGCAAATTTTTGAATATATTTTCGCACTCAATTAGAGACATTTTATCAGTATACCTCTGTTGATTTGTTTGCGGTTGCCACGATGCGATAGCGGTCTCAGTAAAGGGAGAGAACAAGATTGAATCATCTCGAGGATCCACGGCCAGTGGCAGGCCTTGACTCGACTTTCTACCAACTAAGGTCACAGGTAACTGTTCACCGAAAGGTAGCGGTCCGGCTTGCAATGCCGACGTAGGCACGCTGAAGATACTATCGGTTGCCAGAGGTTGATAATACACGGTTCCAAGCTTCGGCGAAAACGTTATGCCTACCACACCATCCAGGAACTCGAAGGTGTCGCTTCCGATCTGTAATGTGTTTATTTATATTTATATATAAAATATTTATATATAAAATGTTTATTTTATGCCAGGAACATATATGTATGAAGAAGAATCTAAAAAAAGAGTGTAGACGCATAACGCTGTGTGTGTGTGTGTGTGTGTGTGTGTGTGTGTGTGTGTGAGAGTCAACATTGCGCAAAAAATAATGCGAAATTAATTCGATTAGCTATATACTCCCTTATATATTATTAAATTTAGAAACAATTCTATGGTAAATTTGCATTCAAACCATATATTTATATAATACCACGTATTGTACTATATAGTAACTGTATGTAAAATAAGGTTGCTTTACAAATTGAAAGAATTCTAAATCGTTTCAAGCGCAAATTATAGAGTTAATAATTTTTAAATATTTAGTAGGACTTTGACATTATTCAACTGTCGGTGATTCTGTTTACCCACTTTGTACATTGCATGATCCGGATTAGGAAACATCGACGCATGAACGACTCGCCAACTTCTATCCCTAGCACCATCGAAAATGAGAATTCCTAAAAGTATATATTAGAGTATTTTTTACTTTCAATGCAGATATCTAAAAAAATGTAATTCTTTCAAATTAATGCTTAAAACGTGTAACATAGCAATGTTAATTGAGAAAAAATTGATTAAAAGTCAACGTTCCGATATATATAAGAAACGAAAAAATATTGAAGTTTCAAGAAAATTAGTAATAAGTTTACGCATTTAAAATTTATTATAATCTAACTTAAAGTATAATATTTTTTAGTTATACTGATGGTTAAAGAAAGGAACACAATATATATATAAACGTAACCTGGGCCAGCGGTATCAGTCATGTAAAGAAAGACATCATCGCATGTTTTGGCTGAAACTTCATCGATGACGAGATTGGTCAGTAAAGTATTCGGTCGTAAAACCTACAAAATAAATAATAATGAATACTCAAATAAGATATTTCTACATGGTTCTGCACAACAATGACATGAATGCAACTTGTTTCCCACTCTCGCGTAAACGTATCAACGTATGATTAGGTATTCTACGCTCGATCACTTATAACTAAAGTAACATAACCGGTTCTCTGTTATACTGTAATTATTAGTTAACACAATCCCATTAGCCGTTCACTGATGATTTCGTCACTTTCGGCATTCCCTTTTCACTATCGATTTACAATAATGCACCTGTTAGGTGCAGCAAACAGCGTTTGAAAATTGACACCTCGTACTATCCAAAGAGTTTTACTCCAATTTCTGAATCAACTTCCGTTTTTAACTTGCATATACGTGAAGTAAAATTGCGAAACAACGTGATGATGGAATTTTCCTTGACTTATGATAGATATCGTATAAATTTACAAGTAGAAAAACGATGAAAATATGAATTATTCGATCAAAACGAATCATTATTTTTATTTTTGAAGCTTAAGATCGAGGGAATGAAAATTAAACCTTTTCATCGGGCTTTTCTTAATTATAAATTTCCTATTTTGATGTAGGACAAAGAGCTTTTTTTCTCTAGGAATATGCAACTCGTGACCTCATTGGCCATTGATGCATTCAGTTTTTTTATCATAAAGAAAACATCATTCAGCTCACCTGACGCGGGAAAGTAATATGGCGCACTACTTGGTCGGTTTTCGTATCGAAAACCACGACTTTCGGCGGGCAGACGGGCATAAAATCGTCAACTGATGTTACGACACCAGCATCAACAACCCACAATCTGTTGCACCTATCTAGCCTGGTCCTATATACTGATATTAATCTGGTGCAGTTAATTTCGCCTTTGCCGGCACCGTGCCAATCCCACGAAGGGTATGCCTGAAGTTGCGGACTGCTTCCTAATGCCACGTTCCTTGGGAAGAAACTCAAAGTGGCCGGCACACCTGCACGCAATCTGGGAGTGCTGACAAAAATTCGGTCCCAATCTACCTCGATACCGGTCATTACCACATTTTCCGGTTGATATTGTTCATGAAAATCACGGTCGTACGGCAACGCGAAGTCAAGTAACGGCCATTGTGCCAAAGTTTCCAATTTCTGCGCCTGTGTTCTAACGTGCAGTAGAGGTACAACGATGATGAGAAGCCCGACGTACCTAAGAGAAGTGAAAAAATGGACAGGTGTTCAAAAATTAGCAGTTTTTAGAAACAATTTAAACTTGTCAAATGACAAGAAAGATTAAGGTATATGTTCCTCCAGATGTTTCGATGGCAAAGAGTAAGAAAAAAAAAATCATTTTGACAATCATTTTGAGGCTACATAATTTTTCCAGCAAACAAAAATGATGTTAAACTTCTATTTAAAGTTCCTTTTAACGTGGGAAAATCTTTGCGTTTGGTCAAATTTATTATAAATATAAAAGAGCCACTTGATTCAGGTGTACTGCTTATATAAGAGATAACGGACTGCGCAAACGTTGTTTCTTCTAAATGTTTAACTCACGAGTGTCGCTTTTGACAGATACGCTACTCGTATGTTGACCGATTCTCGAAATCCGTATTTAAAAATTAATTACGTCTGCCAATTGTCTGTATATCGCAAGATTGCTTGTATCGACCACTTACCTCATGCTTGAAGGCTTAGAAATTAAATTGCAGATCAAGGTTTCACCACCGTTGAAACGGTACGAGCCTTAAAGAGCGAATGGCAAATATCGGGCGGAGTCGGATAGAGCAATGTTAGCAGCGGCAGCGATCGCGAATAGAAATACACTGGAAGTGTACCATGGGTTCCCCTGACTGAACACCGACTGATCCAATTTTTCAATACCGTCTTGGGAGACTGGGGACCACATTCGAACGTATTGTGTAACAAAACACACTTTATCCGTACACATGTAAAGGCGACACACCTACATCTCCATTTCGTCACACGAGTTAATTGAGGACTGTAGAATTCAATGTGAACTTTAACCAGAAAATCTCTCCTCGCTAAGCAGCGAAGAGTGGCTCGCAATTCAAATTTTAACATTCACGTCCTCATACATATTTTTTTTCTTTCGTATTAAATTTTCGTAAATTAATGTGCATTGAAAGTTAGTAATTTTATTAGAAAGTAACATGACGGAAAATCGACGATGGAAATGTTTTGCAAATGTTCGATACAGCTACAGCTAGCAACAACCTCAACATATATTTTTTCTTAAATGTGCTTCTATAAATAAACATATACTTTTTGCTTTTTTTAATTAAAGAGTGGGTAGCGCTAAGAATGAAGGGAGAATCGAGAAAATGAATGTCATGTTTCTACTAGAATATTATAATTATTGACAAATTTTTTCTTCTTTCCACAGGAGCAGCTTATTCCTTTTAATCAATTATGATTTATATATCAAAAATTGGAAGATTAGACTATTAAAAGTTTAATTTATAATTTATACACACGCAATCATCTGAATAATATATTTACGTTTCTCAGTCTCTCGTTGAACAAAGTATGTGTTTAATTACGATTATTCAAGCACTTTTAACGACCAATTATATTTTATTAGGTCTATAAAGTTTGGTAATAGAGTGAGAAAAAAGTAAATTAAAACTATGCTATAAATTAGTATGACAAATTTATCGTATATATCACATATGCATGAGGTATAACGTAACTTGCTATTTGTACTCATACATATATATATAGCATTATATTATTTCACATATTATTTATTACAATCCATTTATTACAATCCATTAACACTTAGATTTATAGTTACACATTTGTACATGTTATTAATATAATATATACATGTAAAATTAAAGAAAAAAAAACAAATTATTTTCCAATAACTCTTCGTATCAGTTAAAATTCTTATATTGTTCTTTAAGTAACAGATAACTCATCAGATCGTGTTACATATTTATTATGTTATTTAATCACAAATATTTTCAATACATCTATCAAAAAAGAGGTAAGGTATGTAAATGATAGGAAGTAATAAATCTTGTATAAAAACTTATACAAGGCGTTAATAACTATCTTTCGTACTGCACTAAATGATACTAAATAATACTGCAAACTATATAGAATCATAACTGTTACGTAGGCGTCCTTGGCTTGACTACTATCGATTGAAAGTGCCCGGAACTAAAGACCGCGCCCATTATTACAAATATTTTTCTGTTTTGGACATGTATTGGTTGCAACCATCGAAATATACTAAACGATTTCGATCTTGTAATCGTTGTTTTGTACTTTCTTTCTCTCTGCCATATTTATTCTGTCTGTTCCATCTTTTGACATGCTAATATAGAAATAACACTTCCAAGTTAGTTGGCTATCATTTTAACGTTTCATTAATTGAAATGGAAATTTTAATTATATAGAACAGCGTGAGTTACATAACATGGCCTATTAGAAACAAATTTAATTCATGGCTGTTGAAATAAATCACACCCTTTTCGTTAAATTAAGAACTTGACATTTATTGGAGGTAACTCAGATAATTTATGGAACACTAATATTGCTGTTGAATATGTAATTATTAATTTTGCAAATGTTGCTGGAAAATTATATAGAAGCATCAAGGTCTCTCACATATCGTAATGTATTAAGTATTCTATCTACATGACCTCACTTTCGCGACATTCCAAAAAAATCTTGGGCAACATAAAACACGCAAAAATAAATGAAATTAAAATTTCACGATACATGTCTCTCTCAAAATATTTCCTTTCTCCATGATGAAATAGATTTGTCACATTTCTGAAGAAAATGAAGATATTCCAAACTTACTTTCTTGCTGATTACGAGACGCGTTTTCATTTACATTTCTCTTTTTCGGCATCGCATACGCTCTAAGCATTCAAATTCCGGGATAACCAGTCTCTATATTTAGCCAATAAATCACTTTCTCTCCGTGGAACACAAATCTTGTTCCAGGCTTGTGCATACCGACCTAGCCTACTCTTTGTACTGTACTCCGTGTCAGGCCTTTCGCATATAAAATACTTCAACTCAAGCTACTGTATAGTTGACACATTTTACAAGGATAAATTTATGATCAGCCGAAATTAACTACACAATTCTCTTTCATATCGCTAGAAAGGACTTTCTCGCATAATCGCGAGAAGACCCGTACCAATTTAGGCATATTTCATATATAATCATGTATATATATCTTCTACATTTTATTATATACAACGCATTTTATATATATCTGATAATAAAGGAAAATACATTTTTGAGGAATATGTAAATAACTAGAAGAATATGTAAATAAAGAGAAGTAAATTAGTGGAACATTATTTGGTGTAAAAAGGCCCTGTACATGAAATAGAAATAAAAATATTTTATTTTTCTAATAAGAAAAATTGGTCCAACTAATCGCAAAATAGAAAAAATCTCGAAAAAGACGAAAGCTTTCGAATATACAAATGTACAAAAAGAAAAAGGCCAATGATAAGTTAATCTTTGTGGTTCTTGTTGGCGCCTTGTTTTTATTTAATAGTCTCGGCGGTTGTTTATATCCAACACTCCTGCGTACCTGTGTATGTTTATAGTCTCAGCTTGTAGTTCTAATTTATAATCCAGTTATATCAAAATGCTCGGCTTAACTACGTAGTCGATTTATCTAATCCAAAGGCTAAGTAACACGATTTCCAACGGATAAAATGCATAAGCTACAAAATGGACATGAGATACGATATAATGTTAAATTACCGTCAATCGGAATCAAACCCAACATATATATCGGACACCGAATACCTATTAGTCGTTGCTCAACACCATTTGCGGAATAACGTGAGAAACACCACGTCCGATCACAACTGTTCTCCATTCCCACAGCGAAGCGGAAACGATTCGCTATCTTCAGTCGAGTATCGACAATGGCATAGAGAGTGGTCAGAAGTATAATCTCTCATGTAACATCTTCATGCATAATTATATCTGTGTTGTAAAATTACATTTTTAAATAGCGTCTGACCGTCAGACGCTATTTAAAAATAAAGAAACGTCATAACCGATATTGTGTCGTATCTCTGATTTAATGATATATTAATCATTTTATATAACACACTAAATTGTTCAAGCGTGATAAAGGGCGTACATAATAAATAAATGCCAACTGCTTGTCACTTTGACTTAATTACATATCGGAAATAACATAGTTTTATAATAAAAAACATTCCAACAGCACCTTTCAAAAACAGCTTTCGTTCCTTTATTGAACTATGTTACAACATGCATGATCAAAATTGTATTGCTAAGCCGAATCTCTTCGCGTCTCCGATCGACTAACCATTTATATCTGCAATTTCAATTTCGTACATTTTGAAGCTGTTTGACACGTTTTCTGTGCAAGACTATATTTTTAAGTAAAATTAACATGTTTGCAGTACGTTAATTAATGTTAACTTTTCACTAAACGTAAATATTAAGATCAATCACGTCGATATATTAATTACCAAAAATTACCAAGTTCGGTTAGTTCGTGATATAAACCTGTTAGTAATTTTAAAAAGCTAAAATATATTGTTACCACTATAATTTAGATGACAATTCATATCATATCATAATCGTAATAACTTATTATTATATTCAGGCAAAGTGACAATATCACATATCAAACAAATGAAATCGTATCTAGAAGAAATCGAATTAAGAATGCTCGAACATTTTTGCGAATGTCTCATTTATATTAAAAAAATAAAATTCTATTCATAAAATATATTTATATTTAATTTAATTATTTTCGTAATAAAAAAGTCCCATATCATTCACAAGTATATTTAGTAATTTTTGCTAACTTTCTCTATGCAATAATAATCCTGACATTTTTACAAAAGTATAGATATAAGAATAGATATCACTTTGAGCTAATCTCCATATGACATGTCGACAGCAATATTATCAGACGATATGACATAACATTTAAGTGTACAAATGAAACTTGTTCACATGATCATTCTCAATGCACTGATACACGCAAGCAAGCAAGCACGAAAAATTACATCGTAATCATGCACGCTAGCCTATTATGCTCGATACACGGAGGTGTCTAGTATTCACTATAGCATGTACGGCAGCGTGCAAAATAGAGCCAATTATATAAAAAACATTCCACATGTGGCAACTAAACATTAGTGGTAAACGTAGGGTGAATAAACGAAAAGCTAATTCGATCAACATCGGACTGACGTGGCGGCGATCGCATCAAATAATGTATTATTAATATTTAGTATTTGGTAACATGTTTAAATTGAGTATTATATTTTATTTCTCACTTAAATTGCTGCAACTGGGAAAAATATTGATGCAAAAGGCAGTATTTTTGTTCGACTGTGTTAGATCTTATCGAATGCAATGAGATCGGTATCCTCCATTGTCCAGCCGGAGTTTAGATATCGTATAAATAAAAAAATCAAGAAAAAAATATTTGCTCCGTAATTAAATACAATTGAACTTTCGTTTCGTATAGGATGTCATATAAGAGCAGGAAGATAATCCGATCTTGAATATCGATTTTCATCGTAAGTTCAACATATCATTTTCACTTTAGATCGAAGCGAACGTGTTGGTCAAGATCAACGTACTAGCCGGATATTCATTGCGAAATTTACCGATAAATTCGGATTAAAAATCAAAAAGCTTTATCTTTATTAATGCATTATATATACACCTATTATATAAACTTTTATTTACGAGAAAGACAAATACATGACATTTTAATATAAACAAAAAATCTTAAAAAATTAATTTTCAAAAAGTAATATGCAACTTGTAACTAATTTTTCGAGAGCAATTAAATGTGATTCAAAGTGATTCAGCTTTCAATATAAAATTTACATCGGAGACGCATCAAAAGCATGCGAAGAAAATATTAACAGAAAAAAATATCGAATTTTTATACATTTATTTCTTCACTGAGAAGAAAAATATCAGCGAGTGGTATTTTGTTGACCGTTCGAGTTATTGCATGGTCAATGCCGAAAGGGAATTACAACCGATATAATCTCAGTGAGCTCGCATGTCAATATTACGGACGCAGACGCAGAAATGATCCCTGTATTTACAACAACGAGAATACGACAATTAGCTTAAGATATGCTCGAAATGGTTTGAACGTATTTTTTTCTGACGAAACTCAGAGGAACATCCAATGATCGAAATGACATATGTCACTATTCACGTGACATCGGTTATGACAGAAACCAAAGTGACAGCACACACGGTGTAAACATTGGTATTTTATTATATTCTTATCTGATAGAGACAAGAATGTAATAATACTTATGTTTCTCCCGCATTTTTCTCGCCGCAGTTGTGACTTCGGACATTTCATATCACTTCAGCTCCCATCGTGACGACTCGCCGCGCTGGGTCGTAAACGATGATTTGCAACCGTGAGCATTTGATGTGCTAACTTCAAAACCGGAAAAACACGCTCAAATCGTTTCGTAAACTGACGTGCACATCACATCGTGCTTACAACGTAAAAAGATTCAACTTAACGAATTAGTGTCAGCCTCGATACGAAACTGAGAAACCACCTGTCACTGCTGTCGACGCACACATACACTTACAAGCGCGCGCGCGCGCGCGTGTGTATTAACAATAACAATTAAACACGACCATTCTGCTTAACTGATTACACTCACGCGAAGCGGGAACACCTCGCTCTATATGAGATTTAACGCATGATTGGCACCGCAACCGACGGTGCCCTGCATGTAATCCGCGAAATTGCTCTCCAGCACGCGCATTCGACCTCTTTTGTAATCGGCCACTACGTGTGTAACCAGATTGCAATCGTCGCTCTTGTAGACAACCTGGAAACTGGCAGATATAAACGGAGTGGTGCTGTCCCATCTGTAGACGTCGGACTCGCCTTCGTATCGGAAGAAGAGCGCACTGCCATTGTCCGTGCCCAGGATGATCATTCGCCTGGGTTTGGGCCCGAGATCATGTATCTTGCCATGAGCGGATCCACTCCTCAGGTGGTCAGTTCGGATGGAGAACAGCCGGCTGCTGCCTAAATACGTGAAGATCAGGCAAGTGCTACCGTCTTGGCGGTACATTAGAGCGAGGTAGAGCACATCTCTACGAGAGCAGTTCATGGTCACGGCTTCCGGGAGGATCACGCGATATCCTCGGCTGGAGGTCACGTCGTACACCAGGATCGCTCTTGTGGCTGCGTCGGATACGTAGATGAAGACACGACCGTCTTCATTATAATCGGCGACAACGTACTGAAGTCGGGACGAGGCGCTTGTCAGACCAGACAGATCGATGCGTTTCACCACCTAGGAGAGAAATGTCACATTGTTTTATAAAGAGTCATATTGCATGATTAAGAGGTCGCGGCGTGAGAAGAAATATTTGAAAAATAATAAATATATCGATTATGCATTTATCCGGCAAGTAATCTTTATTTGCCTATAATTGAAAAATAAATCAAGATTTATCAAAATCCGCGATATTGCTCTTCAGCAAGTATTTGGTGTGCAACCAGATCTCTGCCATAATGGGACATATAAGTTTGTTATGATCAATTTATCGTCATAAATTGTGTATAATACTTATGGATTTCTTGCAAATTGAATTTTTTGCGCATGACCAACAGCAATTACCTTCTCAATAGCTCTTTTATTTATGCCTTAATTATCTTGATATGTTAGAGAAAAAAAAATTCAATATTAGTTTTCCTAACTTTCGCTTATGGAAATCTTAGAGTTAGTGTGTACACTTCAGAATTTTGAATATTTCCATTTTACGCTACGCTGGTTCAATTATTACAAAACGTGAGGTGAAAATGCACTTTTTAATTGGATATTTCGCAGCCATCTGTCACGGTAAAAAGAGCACAGTTAAAACGCATGTATGCGTTATCTAATTTTCGTGAAAGGAAAAAAGGAACAGCGGCACTAATAACTACGTAATATAAATATGCACATGACGTGACTAAGATAAGAATTGGCATGAAAACATCAAAATATAGATAAATAGCCAAACAGCAAATGATGTTCTTAATTATATCTATACGTGTCATTGAAGAGAGGGACATGAAAGTTTGGAATAAACATATTAGGATATTTACATATATGCAAGTAAAGTAAAGTTTTAGCAGATATTTAGCAGATATTGTATCTCACCTTGCCGGTTTTCATGTCCAAAGCGACAACCTTTGGCGGACATTTGCGTAGGGGCTCTTCGAGAGAATTTACAATACCCGTGTCCAACACCCATAGAATGTCCTGGGGATCCAAATAAAGGTCCACAGCGTTTTGCAGCGCGGAGCATGTTCCTTCTTCTTGAAGAGACCAACATGGATAAGCAAAGAGACTGGCCTGGCAATTTTTATCTTTCAAAGATACTCTGGCTAGGGTCACTGGCACACCAGCTTTAAACCTAGAGAAACGTTTCAAATGTATATTAATATATTATGCTAATGCATACTATATAATGTCGTGTATTATTATACGAGACGTAATAATAATTAATAATAATATAAATCAATCCTGTACCACATACACACATACACACACACAAGAGCTATATCACACACAATAACGCTATAGCGTTATCTAATAAATATCAAGGAAGATAACACTATAATTCTCGCAAATATGAATAATTCATTAACATTCTTGAATTGGTTGGTTTAAAAATAGCATGGTTTTCTAATCATACATATTAATCCTGCATGATCTTAGATAAGATTGACGATAGAAGCGGTGCGTGACGTTGAGCCTCGCGCCTCCATGGTAGACCTGTACAATTAGATTAAGCGCTTTCACAGGAGGCTGCGAAAACTTGATTAGAAAATGCCACAGGTAATCCATCTTGCCTATTATTGATAAAATCTGGCAGTGGCAGAAAGAAACATTACATCACAAGGATGAGACAAAGGTACGTCGTTACGACCTTCCGACGTCATTTTAGAACGTCATTATTATCAGAAGAATGACCATGAAGTGTCATCAAATAAACATCTTGCTGCTTAGCAAACATGACATCATAGCTGGGGTTGAAAATGCAGGAAATCCCAATAAATTTTACTGCGTACACTCACTATTATTGACGTAATGCGATTTATAACAAGCATTTTTCCTATGTTTCCTATGTTGATCTCTAGTTTTCTTTTAGTCGACGCAAGAGTTCGATCGGACTGGAGAGCCTATCTAGGAATGTGGTTTATCCTGATGTAACGATCAGGAAGGGGAACACGATCTCGTCGACCCGATTGAAAGTTTATCTACCAAAGTCTGTTCCTCTCCCTTTTTATATAAAAGTTTCTGTCAAATATCACAACAGAATGATACAATGTACCAAAACTAGTGACGTTTCCTTCGCGAGTTCTTTTTCAACTTCACCTCGTTGCTTAAACATATTTAAAGGTGCAAAATAAACTTACAAGATAGATTTTATGCGCAAAGTGTGCTCATACCTAGGTAAAGTAAGGATAGCATCGTCCTTGTAAATCGCAGTTCTGGTAGCGAGGACATTCTTCGAAATGTAACGGCCATTGCTCTTGAACATGCTCTTCGTAGCCGAGCAAGGCCACTCGAAGGAGCCACCGGTCCATACAATATTTTTGTCGCATTTCGTTACGTCACCTGCGACGAGAGCGACGACGACAGCGAACGTCACCGCCAGTAAAGAAAACATCTTGCGAATGGGAGACTGGTCCTGGTCCTGGGCTGACCTTTGCGTAGAACTTCCTCTTTCTTCGGATACGCACTTTAACCACGTCTCTTTTATTGTTCGAATTGATTCGAGTAAACTGCAAGATTCTTCGGATTGCGCCAGTTTTATAATCCTGTCACATCGAGGTGACGTTACGAAATGTTCCAGTTGGAAAAATATTTGGTCGTAATGTGCAACGGTTTGACGTTTCTTCCTATCGTTCCTCATCAATCTGACGCAAGGAGTTCCGCATAAATTAATTTTAAATGTAGATTAAACATGTTATCACGCTGTGATTACCCATCTTTAACGTTAATCAGCTTTAACGTTAATCAGTTTATAAAAAATTAAGCATAAGCAAAAATCAATTCCTCCGTATTAGCGTATACTCGAAGTCACGTTATTATTTATAAGAAAGAAAAGAGAGGAAATTAATTTTTTTTTCTTTAAGTGAGATAAGAATTATTCTTTTTCTTGTAAATAAACAAAGAGAGTTTTTTTAGATCAAGTTTAAAACACTTTGCTTTATAATAATAATGACGACGATGATAATAATGATAATAATAAGAAAAATCATTACTTGTAATTATTATTATTATCATCGCTATCTCAGTTGAATTGAAATATAACGAATCAGGAATAGAAACAATCAGTAAAGTGGAAACTAGATACTACTTATTTGTTTGTATCACAAGAAAATATATGTAGTAGGATAGGAAGTGAAGAAAAAGTATAATATTGGAGGAAGTAGGAAGTAGGAAAGGAGTGTGTGAACGCAATAAAGAGAAGCGAGAATGTTAAATATAATAAATTGAACGAAATATTTCCTGGTTCGTCGCGTTTATTTCCTGGTCAAATGTCGCTTATTGATATTTGTATCTTCCTGAAATTATCATTATTTACCAACAATAAGCGAGCATTCATTGCACAAGGCATTTCCTCTTTACAAATTCCGGCAAAAGAGCCGTTGCAAAATACTGAGTAAGGAGGTAGTAAAATGTAATAAAATTGCAAGCAGTTCCCATCGAACACATAATCAACGCGTGTATATAAGCATAAAGACGTATAAAAGAAAAGACGCACATTCAAAGATTATCGTCCAACTGATTGCAGGAGAGAACTTGTAAGTTGTTACACTTGTCTGCCGCGCATTCAATAGTTACAGACTTTGTTATTGCATATAGAATATATCAACTTGTCATTATCTCTCTATTAAATACATCTTTACTACAATCTTTACTAAATACAACATTTTTTTTTAATTTTATATATATAAACTTTTTTGTGTGTAAATGCATACAAAATTCATATAGAAAAATACAGGAATGCACGCACACGTGTGCTCACGCATATTTATTAAAATTTGTGACACTTAATTAAGTCGAATAATATTTACTTTTCGTTTGCATTTCGTTATGAAAATTTCGCGTAACCTGAATACCTGAATACGTACACTTAATATTTTACGTCGCTTCTTAAATTATAAATTTACTTAACTTTCGAAAAATATTTGTTGGCAAATAATGAGAAAGATTTTCAAGTCTCTCATTCGCGGGATACGCATCTCACGGATAATCTATTAAGACAAATTTTCACTATGTACTTGTAGAGCACCGGACCATTACGTATTGTAAAAAGCAAGCGTAGGATGAGGCGAATCCCGATGAACGTCCTGTGCGTGGCGATCCTGGCGAGTGCTTTGTCGAAAGTTGTGTGCGATAAGCAAGTACTACCAGAATTGTCGTTTAGCTTATCAGGACAAAGCTTGGAGTGGCCATGTCAGAGCACGAAAAATATCTACGAGACGAGCGGACGTTACATCTCCAGGAATGTCATTTCTACGAGGATGCAAATTTACAAGGAAGATGCCATCATAGCGATGCCACGCTACAAGCCCGGCGTGCCGTTCACCTTAGGTGTCATGTCTCTGAAAACGAAAGACTGCGCACCGAAAGTGACACCTTTCCCATGCTGGGCGATCCAGGAGGAAGGTAACTGCCAGGCCTTGCAGAGTGCGGTGGACATAGTTCTAGACATTCAAGATATTCTTTGGGTGTTGGATGTTGGTATCGTCAACACCTTAGAGCAACCGGTGCGAAGATGTCCTTCGAAAGTCGTCGGTATCGACGTGAAGTCTGGAAAGGTATGGAAACTTCAGAATTGCAAATTACAAAGAGATAAATATTTATAAGTTCTGCGCAAAGAAAGGACATACATTTTTCATACGAGTGATGATCACTCCTTAATGAAATGTATCTCTTTTACTTATCTCTATTCTAATTTTCTCTATTAAAAATTTTAAAATTTCACCAATTTTTAGTTACGGAAATACATATGTACACTTATTCTTATATCGAAGTCAACGTCACAAAGAGTACCTCCCTTCCTTTCACATTCTTAAATCTATCGAAAGAAGCATAATTTTAGCTTGACATACTTTGCTAAAATTGATTAGTTAGCACTAGTTGCAGTTGATGTTTCATTAATAATGCGTACACTGCGTTAAAAACGAGCTCACGTCGATCGTGAAGCAAATGACTCGCATTAAAAATCGCTTGATCTTGATGATCCTGCAGGTTGTGAAGGTAATCGATTTGAGTCCCCTGGTGAATTCGCTATCCCGTTTGCAATATCTAACTGTTGACTACGCGGAAGATGGCCAGGTGTACGTGTATGTGACCGATGCTGCTGCCAGATCCATAATCGTTTACAATGTTACCGCGGATAAGGGATACCGAGTAATTCTGCCATCCGCTGTTACCGCCGGTGTTCAGCGAAGAGATGTTCTCTACTTAGCGCTGGTGAAGAAAAGCTGCGGCACGTCGATTTTGTACTTTACTTATTTAGGGTCCAACAAACTCTTCGCGATCAAGGCCGTGAACCTGAGGAAAGGATACACTCAAGGTGCGGTCGTGGACGTTGGGCCGAAACAGAACAAGATAGTCCTCCTCGGAACGGATAATGGCTGTGCGATCTTCTTCCGATTCAAAGGTAAGTTTTCATTTTGCATATAACGCAACAGGTAATCGTAATAGCGATATAAATTATTATGACTGTGACTGTTGCGCGATAAAATATTCGAAATTTCTTTGTCAAACATTCAAGAAACTTGGAAAGTTCTTAGAATATTTAATTAATTTTCTCTTGCACTAATACGAATAAATTATTCAATTTCAGGAGAGTCGGACGTGTACATGTGGAACACCGAGACACCGTTTAATCCTGAGAACTTCCTTCTAGTGGAAAGCGGCAACGATTGTCGGCTGCCGACACAAGTCGTTCCTGGTTATAAGAAACTTATGTGGGTGATCGAGAGCAATTTCCAGGATTATATACAGAACACCGTGAGTTGCTCGGGTGCATCCGTGGCCATTCATCCCTTGGTTAAGACTTGCGAGGAATAAATCTCTTCGATCGATAGTCTTCTCCTTCCGTGGCTTTGACTTTCGCTTTGACTGTCATATTCGTTATACAATTTAATGTTGAGTAAGGGGAAGTTGAAATCGATGATTTCAACAAGTTTAAAGTCCGATGCGACGGACGCATAAATGTACATATTGCGATCCCTGTCTCCCTGTGTCTCTTTGCGACAATGAAAATACGACAATTAGCGTAGAAGATATTAGCGTAGAAGATGTTTACAGCATCGAAAATTGAAAACTCGGCAAAATTATCTAGATTTTCATCTCGGATTTTCGTAGAAATTGTACGAGGATCAAATGTTATCTTACTCTTGTCTCAAAATAGATTTCGATTACTTTTTGATTATTTTTAAGTGTTAAAAAGATGAACAAATCTAACTTTTATCGACTCGAAAACTTCTTTTCGATTGTTTCGTCGCTGATCTAGTCATGTAATCAACAGCGTTTCAAATTTTAATTCTTGCGGATAATCTATAAATCTATAGACGATGTCTTTGTTAATGTACACGTTTAAAGAGTTTTTCTTTTGAGTAGCATAGATAATTAGTGAATATATTTTCGCCGTAATTAGTAATTCGCCGTAATTCGCAATTGGCTAAGAACATCTTCATGAAAATCATTTTATGCGCGCTGCGCGATTTAAAGTCGCGCAACTGGACAAGGTGACCAGTGCTAAAGTTAAGTATACCGTTGTTATCTAAATCCAAACGGTTATCAGTTTTCGAAATTTGTAACTTTTACGATTATTCATCTGTCTAGAGAATCGATAGCCGATATTATGCACAATAGAAACAAAGAGGAAACAAAAAGGAAGAGAAAAGGAAATTTAGTGCTAACAATATAAATCTGCTAACAAATAAAAGTCGTTGATTGTAATATTTTAATTATTCTTACGTAAGTTGGCTCAAGCGACTAATAAACGTTAGCTTATGTAAATGTATACGAAAACAATACGAAAACACGCGCTGAGTTACGTAACCCGATACACGGATATGAATAATACATACGTTTGTGTTAAATATGGAATTATTTAAATTAATTCTAGAAATTCTTGGAATCACATAGAAATAAAAAAAAATATATATATATTATCTATTTAATGTAAATCTTTTAGTTTACGTAAATACATTTTACACGAATTGAAATATTAAAACGTCTAAGAGCATTCGGTTAGTCTTGAATTGAATATTAGGTACATTTGAAAGGTTAAATACGAGAAAGGAGAGTGGATGAAAATTGCAAATATAAAACATTGTGCTTGCAGTATCTCAAGCAAATTTTATTGCTTTAATAAAATTTTCTTTAAAATTTAGTTATAAATACAACATATATATAGTAGAAAAATCAATAGATATTTAAGTTCTTAAAGACCTTGTCATAATAAATAGAGATTTTATAAAATTTACAGTTCTTTTTACATTATTATGTAATATAAAAAAAATAATAATAAATTGCGTGTGTTGAATATAATAATGTAAATTATAACATTAGCGGCATTAGAGATATACTTATTTTAAAAGTCAGAATTCTTGTGAAATGGAAACCTCAATTTTTTGACGGAGTATAATCCTCTGCGAGACGAAATTTCTTCTTTCTCCTCTCGATTTTGTCAATCACAACATGGACTTTGGTATTTACACGCTGCACGCTCTTCGGTTCATGGTTTTGTTTATTCGTGCGTGTTGTTTCGCAAAGTGCTGAAGTTAATCTCTCTACCGCATCGAAAGCGCCGTGATTTATGATTTTTTTTTATGCGATTCGTGACTCACGTACATATTCTCAAAGCGTTATTAGAATTTATCGTTCATTTCTTATTAAATCGTTAAGTACCATTCAAATGAACGTGGTGACGAGAACGCAGTGAAGTGAAGCATGAAGTGAAGCGAAGGGAATGAAGAAAGAGATCGACGTAGAGAACAACGGTTGGTTGCTGAGGAGGCTGGATGAATGCGGAGCGGTGCAAAATACAACAATGAGCATCGCACATCGGTGGGTGTAATTTTCTTCAAAAAATTTCTAATCGAAGCATTCTATCGAAGAGCTTGTGATGAATGTCGTGGAGATTGCTAAGTTGATTGCATTAACTATAACAGTCATACAAAAATCGCTGAAAATTTATGAATACGATCGTTACGTTAATTACGATGCAGAAGAATGCTTTGGAATCCTGACAGTCCTGGATCTAAGTCTGCCCCTTTCCGTAACATTTGGCTTTGTTACGCCTGAACAGTCGGAATTCACCAGACCCCATATGGATTTTTGCGCGTCCATTATGTAATCCGTTATACATGGAATGTCGTTACTTTGTACCAAGACCGAATGGCTCTCCGCCTGAAAGACAGATCAATCGGCCGTTTCTTCACTGTGTTCGGAGGAAAAAGCAATAATATCAAATTAAATAAATAATTTACGCTTATAGGAGATTTGGTGTCCCATCGTACACTGGCTCTATCTAAAGGCATAAAATAATGTAGACCATCTTTCGAGTCGCAAAACAGACCAACGGAAGAGCCCAGTTTATTCCCTAGCCATGTCACCGTTACATTCTGTATGTCCTAGAATAATATCACGTAGAAGAATAATTGTTTTCTGGAAAATTTCTTTTCTGAATACAATTACTTGCTCTTAAAACATAGATTTTACTAATCGCCATCGTGTAAGTTTACTACGTCAATTGTATTTTCATTTCGCTAAGATTGAAACTTGGAAACTGTAGACACACGTATTCATTCTTCAAACGACAGATAAAAAAAATAACAGGTAAAAAAATTACAGATAAAAAAAGACAGATAAAAAAATGTATGTTTTTCAAGACACACAGGATACAATAATGTATGTACATGTGAAGATACCGTTCGACAAAGTGCTTGACTGGTTCTAATGTTTTCCAAATTTATGCTAAACAGATCATGTGTGTGATATCCCGTCATGTATAGAATTGAATGTTTTCGAGAAATAGCAAGGTTGGTGGAATATACGCGAGGGACTTCAGGCCCGTGCGTCATTCTCAATTTCCACCATTTTCCTTCTCCTGCAATTAGTTTATTACCAATAAAAGGATATTTCCCGACATTATATACATGATTTTCTTCATAAATGTACGAATTTACCTAAACAATAAACAACGATCATTTCGTCACCAGCATCCGCGACGTATCCACAGGACCCCCATTGACTTTCAAACGGATCAGTTATGAGAGTTTTTAAGTGTTTCGGTGACACATTAATCAATGTGGTGGATGATACCTTTGAATACATTCCTCATTAATTTATTAATTAATTTAAGTCATTAATTTTGAATAAAATTAAATTTGAATAAATTAAATTTATTATTCGCTGTCTAATCTTGGTTTAACCCGAAATAAAGAGTCAGGACATTAATCGTAAACTTCCTGATTCGTTCTGCTTTATAGAGGGTGTTCACTCCGTATGAAAGACACGTAAAGCTTAACATATAAAATAGAAAAATATATGGAATATAAATACCAATCGATCGTTTCGCTTTAAATCATGAATTACGATCTGGGGCCAGTAGCCATTTTTATCTGGTGCGTCTAAAATCCATAATCGACCTCGAGGATCCACGTCTAATCCAGTTACGGACGTAAGAGCGGTGTAACGACGTTTCGACGATCCTTTCTTAGAAAAAGGCACAGTTGCTATATTTGCGTCACTCATTAGCGAATTAATTTTCGGCCAAGGAACTTCCACTAAAGTTGGCACATATCTGTCCTTCTCTTCATTTATTGCTCTAATATTCAAGGATAATACGTTCAATAGAAAGTCTCGCATAAATATCGTAGTATATTAAAAAAAAGATATTAGTAAAATAATTCTATTAGAAAATTGTTTCATTATATCATCACGCGTTATTACCAACTGTAACATAAATTACAGATTATTTACAATTTATTTACCTACCTGGGGATTGCCAGAAAAGCACGATTTTTCCACACGGCGTATTTCCATATTACAACGTTATCCGGTATATTTAACGATTCTACATTCCAGGAATATGACACATTAGCTACAAGAAAATAAAATGTACTAATACCAATTGTAAGAGCAAACTGAGTTTTTGGCGAGCCGATCATGTTGAAAACAATTGTGTGAGCAAAATGTGCTAAGCAACTTTGACTCGACGATATTGCTTTCGTTGAAACGCATTGTCAGCAAAGAAAATCTGTTGCTGACGATGGCTTTTGAATCGGAGTTTTAATCGGAGAGAATTAAAAATTGCTCAATAGCGAGATTGTAACGAAATCTAACATTTTCCATATAATTATTTTATTTTTAATAATCTACTGTATCGCAGGCACACTTATAAATATATGTACGTACAATTTTTCTGGTTCTTCCATAAATGATGCTGTAGCTAAAATAATATTTATATAACACTCAAAATCTCTTCATAAATTCAAAATAAATATCTTTATTACTTATCCATCCGAAAACTTTCTATAGCTGTCAGAAGAAATGGGACAGCAAGATAACTGAGGCTGCCAACCAATTTTCCATTTAATTTTGTTAGTACTATTAGACGTATGTGTACAACAGTGTGTCATTGAGTCTCCAAAAGCTCTCCACTTAAAATATTAAATTATTAAAATATTAAAGATAAAAAATTAAAAACAAACTAAAAATATTATTATACATATATATTGAAACAAAATAAAAAGTAAGAAATAAAAATATTAAAAATACACACACATTCATTTTACTAAATTATTTCTATTAGTATATATATATTTTTACTAAATTATCGTACGACGGTAACGCTGACTTTACCGGCCAACGGCACCTACGTTGCCGACACTACTTTCGAACACTCGAACGTGACTGTCGCGAAGTCTCCTGTGACGTTTCCTTCGAGATGGCACGACGAGATATTCCCAACAGCCGCTAGTCAACCACCAACGTTACCGATGGTCCGTGGCCGAGGCGTTGTGAAATCATGGCAGCTCGTGATAGCGGCAAATGGCCGCCGTTGGCCGCCGTGCTGTTTCAGTGTGACAACTCGTTACGCGCATGACGTTCGGCCACGGGTACGCGTAGGCGCACACGGCGTGCACAAGTGCCGCGTATGTACGTGTCGTCGTAGCCGTCGACGAGATCGTCGTCCCCGCCGTCGCCGTCGTTGTCGTCGAGGTGGTGCAGTACTCGCGAGTAGCGATGTGAGCGTCGGTGACGGCCAACGCGGACGCTTGCTTACACGTAAGCCGAGCGCGGTACGCGAGCGGTCGGCTGGCTGGCGATGAACGGCGCGAGAACGAATCGCGGCATCACGGTGATGAAATCAGTGTCCGAGGGTGAGCTGGGCGTGGAGGAAAAGGTTAAATTCGTCGAGTCGCGCGGAGCGTCGCGGCTCAAGCGTACTTTTACACTGCCGAGAAACCCGTTTCAAAGTGCCAGCAGCAGGATGTCGCGACGACGTCCGAAGCAACAGCAGCAACAGCAACAGCAGCAGCAGCAGCAGCAACAAATTCGCAGCGACATGAAGGACAGCAACAACGGCGCGCCGTCCGCCAAGGAGAACACCAGGAGCAACGCGCGCCACGCGGATGGCGCGCAGCAGCATCATCCGCAACAGCAACAGCAACAGCAACAGCAACAACGGGCGAACGCGACGACGGGTAGACTGCACGGCGGTCAGACCGGCCAGTTGCAGGACTGTCAGGAACGGTCGTGCGGCAAGAAGGTGTTTCGCAGGCCCTCCTGGAAGAAATTCATCAATAAGATGGTGCGGCACATGTCGAGCATGGGTGCGCAGAGCTACAAGGCTGCGTCGCACCATCGCGGCGACGACCTCGGCTCGAGCGCGGGCGACATCAGGGTGCCGCCGCCGCGACCGGCGCACATCCCGGCCGACCGAGTGCCGGGTGTCATAGGCCTGCGCAACCACGGCAACACGTGCTTCATGAACGCCGTGCTGCAGTGCCTCTCGCACACCGACATCCTCGCCGAGTACTTCGTCCTCGACCAGTACAAGGTCGACCTGTCGCGGCGCAACAAGATCAACTCGAAGAAGTACGGCACCAAGGGCGAGATCACCGAGCAACTGGCCTTGCTGCTCAAGGCCATCTGGAGCTGTCAGTACGACCCGGAGATGAGCACCGCGTTCAAGAGCGTCGTCGACAAGTACGGCAGCCAGTACCGCGGCAATTTGCAGCACGACGCGCAGGAATTCCTACTGTGGCTGCTCGACAAGGTGCACGAGGACCTCAATCAGGCGACCAAGAAGAAGTACAAGATCATTAAGGTGAGTGATGTGATATATATCGTGAGCGCGCGAAATGCGTGAGCGCGCCCGCGCGACCGTCACGCTACGAGTCGAACTTTCGTCGACGAGATGTGATGTGCCTCGCCGCGCGCGCGCGCGCGCAGGCAGGCAAGCAGGCAGCTCTCACTCTTCCGTCCGACTCAACGCCACGAGCGGCCACGAGTCCCCATCTCTTGTAAAAGCTGGCGGAAAGTTGGACAATATTTAACGACGCGCGTTCTGCGCTGCCAACGGCCGCGTCGAACGACGCGGAAAGAGATGAATTCTTTTTTTTTTTTAGAAACCTGTCGCTTCGACGTCGCTCCTCTGTCCTGAAATAGGTCACGTTAATTGTCGTTGTTATTCCAGCGTTAATGCGCACGACTAATTTGTGTCTTCTTCTTGACGTTGTGTCCTCCGGTAACTTTGCGCTTAGCTAAGACACACACTGTTGTGCGATATCTTTTTCTTTTTTTAACGTTGCCAACGTTGACGTTTGACGTTTGATGAGATGTATGATGGTAGCTTCGCAACATTGACACCCGTTATATGTATACCACTTCTGAATTATAATCTCAGCTTCCTTTCGAGGAAGATAGAGGTAATCGGTGGGATAATCTCGATGTGCAATGTTATGTTTAAGTTAAGATTCTCGTATCGTACGCGCTATTGACTCGTCGTAATGTTTAATAACTATTGCTTCTAACGAGCTTATTTATTTCTCTTCCGGCGTGTACGAGGGAGTACTCTGTGAGTAAAAAACAGAGTCAAGATTACTCTTAGGGTTGTTATCTGTGAAAATTGTCACGACCAAAACTTTGGAAGAACCTGACGACGAACCGCGGAATAACGATTAAGGTTGAATAACTTCTCAACAAAGCTGCTCAAATCGCTCCCAACTATGGTAATTACTTTCACAACTTTTGCAGAGTATACAGGGTGCTACATTTCAAACGTAACAGGTAAAAAATCTCGGAGACTAAATGATATCGAGGTCCGCCTTTTTTTTATACTGTATTGTTTCGAAGGGGACACATTTTGATCAAAATGAAATTTAATTCTGATGTGGAGGCACCAAGGTAGAAAGAAGGTCAAACTTTTTTTTAAATGGAACTCTAATTTTTTTAACACCTACGTTTGTAGCTCTTGTCGTGACGAATTTAACAATCACATACCCAAGGTGATTAGAGGTCAAATAATGGAAAAAAAGACTCGGGAAAGAGAAAATAATGCTTGAATAAAGCAAAGAAGAAAAACTTTATTAATAAATTTTCAATAAGAACAAATATCTTAGAAAATATCTTAGAAAAAAGAAGTGTTTTTCTCCTCGAAATGGAGAATTTCATTAATTTAAGTGTTCGAAATGTTGTCCCCTTACATCTATGCAAGCCTGTAATCTTCGTTGAAAATCACAAAGCACTCTTTGTAATTCGCTCGTCGAAATTATTTGATTCGCTTCGCATTGATTCATTGCATCATATTTTCTCTTGTAGCTCGAGGATTAACATAAACAATTTCCTGGATTCTACCTCAAAAATAATAATTTAGGCAGATCAGGTGATCTGGGTGGCTAAGACACTGGACCTCCTCGACTTATCCATCGATTAGGAAAAATAACATTCATGTGTTGTCTGACAGCCAAACTAAAGTGAAGAGGTGCTCCGTCAAGTTGCATCCACATGTTTTGCCGAAGGTTTAGAGATCAATCTTCCAGAAGAATAGGTAATTTCTCAACTAAGAAATTCAAAAAAACTCGTTCACTTACGATACCATCGAAGAAAAATGGACCGATAATTGTAAACGTTTCATCCTCTTCATAGCGTTGTAAAGCCCATCGATAAAATTTCATTCTCCTACCATGATCCTCCTGCGTCAAGGCTTGGTGCAAGTTGATATGGAATGTTGAATGGATGTTGACGCGCACGATGCAAGATATTCCAAATATTTACGTGGGATATTCCAAGTTCTCGTGACAATTGTCGTGTACTGTAATGAGGATTTACAACAATTGCTGCTAAAACATTTATTGTTGTGTCCTGACTACAAACTGGACAAGACCGATTCATATTGCGATGAACTGCAAAAGTCCCATGTTCTCCCAAACGATGATATGAAACGAATGAAGACCATAGGAGATGGGTAATGGAATCTATTAGGATTATCTTTGACGGTAAATTCTAGCAGCTTCTCTAGCATTTTGTCGGCATTCACCATAAATTAAGACCATGTCACGATATTCCTCATTAGTATAACGCATCATAACGCAAATGACGAAAGAAAAGAAAGTGAAAACACAACTTATTCTAATCATTACACTAGTCGCACTCGTGTTCAATATCAATAACTGACTTGATTAAAATAGTACCCATCCCCATACGTACGTACGCCTAGTCTATTTGTTATGTGTTTATTTTCTGAAGAATGTTTACAGTTTTTGCATCGTCAACGTCAACATCCATTCCATATCCGCTTCTACTAAGTTTTAACTCGGGAAGATTATGATAGAATTTTGCCAATATAAACAAGATAAACTTTGATTCTATTAAGATGTATTGATAAAGTTAATGAGTCTTTTTCCACTATTTGACTGCTAATCACCTTGAATATGTGGTTGTTGAATTCGTCATGACAAGGGCTACAAATGTAGGTGTTCAGAAAATTAGAGTTCCATTTAAAAAAAAGTTTGATTTTCTTTTCACCTTGGCGCCTGCACCCAAAATTAAATTTTGTTTTAATCAAAATGTGTCCCCTTCGAAACAATACAATATAAAAAAAAAGGCGGACCTCAATGTCATTCAGTTTTCGAGATTTTTTACCTGTTACGTTCGAAATTTAGCACCCTGTATATGAAGCGTTATCCGGAATTCGTGTGAAAGAACTCTCGAAGTTCTCCCCTAAAGAGAAATTGCCTCCCGGTGGAGGAAAGCAGAAGAATCGATCGATAATCGAAGGGAAAAAAATCGGTGTGCATTTAGTGTGCGCGTATATGCAACTTTTCATTGGAGTGAAACAATCGCGTCACAGACTTTCTTTCACATTTCTATCGATCGCTTCGAAAAGCGAAGTGATCAGCACACGGCGATATCCGAGGCCTTAACCCAAATTTATTCTACGCTCGAAATTACGTGCTACGTTTTTCAACATCGAGATCCCAAGGTAAACGGAGCGAGAGTAGAATACCGAAGGGGAAAAAGAGTCCAACCCGAGTATATACAGTGTCGCGCGAGGAGAGATTGCTGTTTTGCCAAACTAAATAATTTAATCACGAGCCTTCGTCGAGTAATCGTCACACGGAGATAAAAACGCGGCTCTGCATCGCGGTGTTTGAATAATCTGAATCTTACGGGACTGTGGATGCGGCGAATAGGTGCTGCATGTTGCCCTCGTGTTATGTAGTCAAGTTACACACACATACACACACACACACACATACGACAACTATCAAATATTTATCATCACTGATTAAATACACGTCATAGTATTATTTATAGACTGTACTCTCAATTATCATCAACGTTATCGTTCTAAAATATTGCGTTGCCAGGAGCTTCCAGTACGTTGGGCGTTTTTCCATAACGCGGAGGAAGAAGAGGAGAAGCTGAAGCGGGGAAGCTGAAGCTATCTGATGAAAATTACGTGCGTTTCGGATACACGGTAGAAATAACGATTCATTGTTAGGCAGCCGATAAATTATGCAGCCACGTTTTTAATTAGCCCGGCGTATTCGGTCTCCCATCGGTACTTCGCATGCATCTTTCGCTGATATCTTATCGTGCACTTCGCGGTGCGTTCGAATCATTCGCTCGTAAGATAAGGTGTTTCTTATCGAAGAACTCAATAATTCGGGTCGGATATCAATAATAATTGTACGATACGTCGTCTCGTGATGCTTTTGTGATTAATAGCGCGAGAAGGGAATGTAAACAACGATCTTTCATCAATGAATGTCCCCATCGGTGTGTGCGACCGTTTTGATAAGTGAAGTCTAATCCAGTCAAATTTGGTCCGCAGCTCACGATGTACTTCGCGCGAACAATCGCAGAAGTCTAATCACACCTCTCGTGTCTTTCGTTTATTTAAAATATCTGCTAATTGCCAGCTCATATATCCCGCGAGCTTAAGCGATGCGCAACGCGCATTCGTTTACCGGTGCGTTCTACCTTGCAGACATCTCACCTTCGAAGACGTAAATGCGATGCGAAGGAATTAGGCCAATATCAAATGGACGTGTCATCCTCATTCCACAGTTTTCGCATAGCCCAAGAGAAAGAGAGAGAGATGCACACCGGTAATACCGAATGCGAGAAACGGCGTCGAGAGTAGAAGAGCTTTTATCTTCGCGACCTTGGGTGATGAAGAGTACACCTTGCATATTTCTCCGTTGGGACGAGCACGTGCGTGCATGCAACACAATTGCACCGAACGATTCCCGGCAAAGTTGAGCAGAAGAAATCGGAATTGAACGGTAGAAGACGAGAGGTTGGTACCGTTGGTAACGAGGACCGGCCTTGAACGAGGCCACGGAGTTCCAGTTACCGTTTGCATTACCGAGTCCTTTTGCGAATTACAGCGTGTATGTAGGCTAACTACTGTCATACGGCGGCGGCCACGTGTACAAACGCGCGCGATGTGCGTTTCACGCTGTTTCATGCTTACGAACTACCAACGTCGCCAAATGATCCTGAAGATTGGGAGTAAATATCGCTGCGAACCTCCGTCGATTTATCGATCAGCTTATTTACTGGTGAACGTCCCGTCACACGTAGCTTCTTCACATTCAACTAATCCCATGACTCACTTTGATCTCGCGATCTCTCTTGGTGACGGTTGGAGTAGAAAGCTTGAGCCTAGGGAAATTAATTAGCGCATAAGCATTAAATATTGTGATGATTGCGAATTACTTTGACGCTGCTGGGAGGGGGGGGGAACCAAGAGGAGAGGTTCAAGATTTTTTCAAGAGTTCCAGGGAGTTGATGTTTGCCATTCATTAGGAACTCAGGTACTCATCGGGGAAAGTGAAATGAGCTCTCCAAGGCTATTCGGTCGTAATGTTAAGTGTGAAATCAACTAATTTTTTCGTTATTGAAATAATCTGGGAATTATTTCTTGGGAAGTGTTTAAGACACAAAATTGCCAATTGTATTTCAGCACAGAGAAGTGCTCGTGGAATTTTATCGGTCGCTGAGTCACTAATAACCGCTCCACAAGGCTAGAGTATATTAAAAGAGTTAGTTGCTCGCACACCATTCTTAATGAAGAAGGGAGGAGTTAATTCATTAGCTGTCTAGACACGATGCTAATTTCTAATGAAAAAAAATTATTACTGTTATTAATATTCTTCTTCTTATTAAATGAGGAAGGTACATAATATTTACGTTTGATCCTTTGAGACCAGTTGTACAGATTTCTCTTAATTTCTCTGCTGGATGGGCATCAAAGTGTGAGCGTGTCAATCGGCGATTGAATACTTTGCGAGGAAAAAATCTTTCGGTTCTGAGCCGCTGAAGTAATCGAGGCGTCGTTTCGAACATCGTTCGACGGTTTAAAATATGTAGCACACGAGTGATGTTGCAGCGACCGAGCTAGGTAGAAGTGTGAAGGGACCAGGTCTGAATAAGCCGGGTGCGGTGGATCTTCCCAGGCCGAACTAAAGATGACCTCTTTTGTCCCTTTTGGAACGTGTGGCCGGGAACATTTGTCATGGAATAGGATTACCTTCGCGGACTCCTTTGCCAACGTATGGCCTCTTGCGCCTCGATTCATCGCCTCAAATTGACGAGATGTTGTCGGTAAACGAGTCGCTTTAGTCATTTCACCCGGACTTAACAGCCCGGACTTAACATGATGCATCGTATCTCATCAAATATCCAAGTGGAGCCCTCTCGGCGTGAACGTTAGGCTTCGCTGTCGATGTTGACGCTTCTCCCGCGTCTACCCATGATCTTCGATGTTTTGACTTCTTGTACATGATCCACATCTTATCACCTGCGGTGATCTGGTAAAGTCGCTCTTGCATCTAGATAACGAAGATACGACTATACCGAAGTGTCGTTCTTTGTTGCGTCAAGCACGCGCGCGGAATCCATCCTCTCTCCTTAAGAACTTCCCCACTAGCGTCGTAGATGGAAGGAAATGGCTTCACGGGTTCCTCCCACTGTGTGACACGCTCTTTTTGAGTCTTCTTGAGTCTTGGCCGAGTAGCACAGCCGCGATATCTCTCTTCCCAATTTTTGCGATTCACCGAAACGTGGCTGGTCGCACGCGGATCGAAGTTTTCCTCACGAAACCTTCGATATATCTCTTCTTACATGTTTTACGAGGCATTGCACTTTCACTGAAAGCCGTACAAATCATATCAACGGCTTTAGCAGTAATTTTTATTTCCTTCCTCCCTTTTTTTTCTTTTTTTATTAATTAAAAGATGAAAGGATGCTGTGCGCCTGATGCACGCTTCGTCAGTTTTAATTGCAGTCTTAGTAATGTTAATCGCTGATCCTTCTTATAAACGTAAAAGTACTCCTATAATCCTCGAAAAGAAGCTTGGGTCCTGATCAGTCCATCAGTTGCCTAATGTCAATTCTCCATTGACAGACTTCTGTTTTGACTTACGTACGGTTTTGTATTTTGTTTTACTTATCAGAGTGATGCGTGAATATCATTACATAATTCCGTCGTCGTCATCTTCTTACTAGATCAGGGAGATCAGGGGCGGCTAGCTGTGCAGATGTGAGCACGTCATCGATAAAGCATTGGTAGCGACTACCCTTACGAAACAATCGCGAGTTGCGCTAAATAGATTATAGTGTTTCTAATCCACCGTTAGCTGATCTATTAGCGATATCCTTTTAGGAAGATCAACGGTAGAATGTAATATTCGTGAGGTGACCGACACGAATGTACGTACATACGTATACACATGCATATATAAATATATATACGTATATATATATATACATACATACATACATACATATATATACATATATATATATACACACATATATATACATATATATATATATATATACACATATATGATATCGATACACGTAACTTTGGTTATGAGGGTACATGTGCACCGACATGACATTGACCAATTGTAAACTCTGCGACTCATTTGAGCATACGCATCGGGAATTACTTCCGGTAAGCGGATTGCTAATATATCCTGTACGATGACTGTTGGTGATTATCCCATTCTGCGGTTTTTCATCGCGTGTTATAAATTACATGGGTTCGAAAGGCGAGCGTGTTCGAGCGGATATCGCGTGACACTGCAAAGCTGTATCGCCGCTTACGATGTTCTGTTTACGTTAACGAATTTTTATTATCGAGGAATGTCGCCTCGAGTACCACGTCAGATAAAGAAGATTCCATTGTGCTACCGGAGAGGGTAGGGGGGGGGAGGGGAGGAATTGACATCGCGCAATTGTATCAAAATTTCAACGTTGCACGAAGATTCGTAAAAAAAAAAAAAAAACTGAAGACAATATCAATCCAACAGTTATTCTACAGCAAGTTAACGTTATTGTCTTTCAGCTTTTATCGGGAAATTGCACGAATGTTATACTCGCGAAATCCGATAATATTAGTCTCCTATATAAGAAGGCCGTCACGCATCGTTATATCTCGTACGCTGCGTCGTTCCTGGTTAGTCGAAATAATATAATTTCCATCGGCATAAATATATTCGGCAAGATCAAACTCCAGACGCGATGATAAAACAACAGAGCATGACAGCGTAAACTCTGATGGCAACGGATTATATCACTCGATTGCATCATTACAATGTGGTCGGCAGAAACTTATCAATGCTTATCAGCTGAAATGAGACAGGCTGTATGTACACATCGCAGATTATTGCATTGGTCTGAATAAAAATGAATATTAAATTGAACTCTGACGAGGCTCTTCGTAAAGTCTTTATTTTTTAATATCGTTGTGTTGAAGTAATTTCTCGCTTGAATCCGTGTTATATGTAATTTCCTTTTGAATTTATTTTCAAATATAAAATATTTAACAACGAGTTTTGTGGTCTAATATACAGATTATAAAATAATTTACGTCCACTATTTACACAGCGCTATTTTTCATGAGAACTTGAATCGGAGAGTTCTGAGCTAATCTGATCTTTCCCCGTGAGATTTAATAGAGTGATTATTAAGTAAAGTCTGGCTAATCAGCACTCTATGTGTGTGTGTGTGTGTGTGTGCTGTTGAATGTGCGTATGTCTGTGAGAGCGTCTGACAATGTGTGTGTGCGAATCGCTAAGACGGTCCTTATGTAATTTCGAACGTGTGATAATATAAACAAATTTTTATTTAAACGAGAACATTGGTTAGACGCTAACTGATAAGTACTGCTTCATCAAGTCTCGTGAAAAAAAATAGCTCAGAACTTTGCCCGAGGACTCAAATTTTCCCGAAGAATTATGCTGTGTAAATAATGAGAGCGCTAATTAACTCTCGTATTATATATTTATCGGCATTTAAAAACGATTCGCGTTTCCCGCTAACGGGCGTCTTATCGATGCGATTTTTGCAGATTGCAGAAAAACGACTTCCCATGCTCGTCGGAAGTACGAATTGGCTGAAGTTGATAAATTGAAAAATTTATTTAGTTTATTTTAGTAGCGGTCTCAGCTGACACGAGATAATCGCGTGATCGTTCTGATCTCCACGTGCATGTACCATCTTTAAATTGCTAAGTAAAACGGCTCACTTTAATGAACATGATGGATTTTAGCATACCGGCGACAACTGTAACTAAACCGCGAGTCGTTCATTAGTGCGTCCAGTTGGCTCTTTTCTTCGCGTCTCTCTTCTTCTTTCGAGAAAAACGGAAGAGACGCGGTGAGTTGTCGACACGTGTTCGCGAAAAGAAGCTGTCAAACGACCGCAACGTCGGCTGTCGTCTATTAATAGCGTAGACGCGTTACAAATAATTGTCACTAAGTATATTGAGCGATAATCGAGTCCCATCGTTAACACTCTGCTGAAATGTGCGCGACCAAAAAAAGATACCTCCAACTCGTCGACCGATCGCGAAACTGCAGAATTACATTTGCAAAATACATGTCACCGGCATTTGCACGGCTTCGTTGCGGCGGATAGCTCTCATCTTAAAACTACTCCGTCGCGTTATGTAACTCGCATTGTAGGTCTGTTAAAAAATTCGCTTCGTTAGATTGCTGCGAAAGGTTCGTCCTTTTGTGTCAAGTAAGAATGGAAACAAAGAATTGGAACAGGCCTGAAATAATTGGCAGCTATCAGAATTGGGTCATCGTATGCTGCGATACATTTCTTTTTCCTTTCCTTTATCTTTTCTTTTTTCTCAAGAGAGAAAGATATTTAAGCACTTTTATTAATTTTGATCATTAAACATGAATAAATCGCATAATTAAATGCTAATTATTTATTAATTAATTAATTACCGCGGTCTTGCATATTTATTGATCCCATTTATACGCTGGAAATTGATTTTAAAGTTCGACGTACAAACGCGTCGTGTCTCTCTATCACTCCCACTATTGAAAAATACATGTAAACTAATCTAAAGAAACAACATATCATAATTAATAACTATTTATTGTTTTAAAATACAGCAAAAATAAATTGAAATTATCCAGTGTACTGCTATACGCCAAATATATAAAATTATTCAAGTAGCAATATTACAAATTATTCCTGAAGTGTCTATGTCATGAAATTGTTACAAGTAAAAAATTACTATAAACACTCACATGTAACAAAAAATTTGCAACAGTAAAATATATTAAAGAGAAATTAATTGCTTTCCACAAACGAAGATTCTCTCGGTATGGAAATAGTTTGAAATTAACTACTTTCGAAATATTCGAGATGCGAATTGTTGTTCATGTTTTAATACAATATGTGAATATTGCATACTTTAGAGAGTAATTAAATAACAATTGATTTTGACATATTACTTTACACTAAAATAGTGACTCATGTGTGTTTATCAATGATGGAAGTGCTAGCAGATCTTCGAAGTTTAAAATTAATTTTCAGCGAATGGATAGCGAATGGAACAATAAATTCAGGAATGCAGTAACCAATTAGCATAATTATACGACAGACTCGAATTCGATTTTTAGTGATGAGAGTGTTCCGTTAGTGTCATGATCTCCCAATTTTTTTTCTTAAAAGCATAAATCCGCAACAAGTAAATAAAGAAATGTATTTAAAAGAGAAATTAATGGGGGAAAAACAAGTAAAAATTTCTTACTTCAATCCAATACCTTTAAACGGATATTGCATCTTTCCTCCCTTCTCTTTCTCACCCTGTCACCCTGTTCATAACAGCCTTAAAGTATTTTCAGTCATATAAATCTTCAACTAATTTCATTATATTACTACAAATACATATACACACTTACACCCATTTACATGTTAATTGTTTTGTTATAAATATTATCAGAAACAACACGTTATAAAGGTTATAATAATTATCGTAAGTTATTATTTAAATTAGGTGGCGATTTTATTTCGATATTGTGCGAAATAAAATCGCTAATAATTGTGCGCGTAAAATCGCGAAATAATTGTACAAAATCCTGCCACTGATTGTGTCATTAATCTATTCGTCAATCTCTCTCTTTCTCTATTTGCAGAACTCGTTTGGCAGACCGGATGACATTGTCGCCGCAGAGACTCTGGCGAATCACGTTCGCTGTAACAACTCCTTCGTACATGCCGTATTTCAAGCACAATTCCGGTCTAGCCTGACTTGTCCAAGATGTCACCGGCAATCGAACACCTTCGACCCCTTCCTGTGCGTGTCAGTGCCAGTTCCGCAAAATCATCGCCAAGTGAACTTCTTCGTGAACGTCCTCTATACGTCTCAACAACCACGGCAAGTCAAGATTGGCGTGAGTGTGAATCAAGCGGCCAATGTGAGAGAGCTCAGAGAAATTCTGGCCAGTGACACTGGAGTGGACGAGAATCACATGCTGTTGACCGAGATCCATGACGAAGGATTTCACAGGTAGACTATAATATACACATTAAAAACGTACAAAACGATGTAAATAGGTGAGAAGAGAGAGTGGAGAGTGGAGCAAGCGACAAGTTTGATAAACTAAAATTGAATTTTCACTCAAGGAGAAGGTCTTTGCTCAAACGTTCTTGACAATTCTGTAAGAAAGAAATTTTTTACTTCCCATCTGTGTATCTTCCAGCGTACGTATATAGACCCCTATTTTATCTCTCATTTTTATTCCACAGGACCTTCTCTGACTGTCAACCTTTGTCCGCGATTATGGAGAACGATCCACTCTACTGCATCGAGTTACCGCAGTTGAAGGAACCTACAGAGCAGGCGTACATCTTGCTGGTGTGGATCAACGTGCTGGTGAAGGGAGACCTGAGACAACGATTCGGCAGCCCGTACACCATGCAGGTGTCGCGTGAAACGTCCTACGAAGATCTGCAGAAGCTGTTGCTCAAAGAGATGCACAGTACGCTGGCAGACGACGTCCTCACGACCAGTCAGAGTCCGGGTCTCTTCAACATCCGCGTGGCCGATCCAGCCGCGACGCCGATTCAAGATGAACATCCTTGCATCGATCCGTGCGTGGAACATCCGCTCTACACGGAACAGATTGAGCAAGCGTTGGCACTCTGCGCCGATGACTCAGGCCCACAACATGTGAAACTGATACTTGAGTGGGACGAGGCGACCAAACGCAATATCATACAAGACGATAGCGACCAGATCGAGGAGCACGCCAGTGTGAAACAATTAAAGACCAATTCCGAGCTCGGTGGCGCGGTGACCCTGGAGGAGTGCTTCGATCTGTACACGCGAGCGGAGATATTGGGCGCCGAGGACGCATGGCACTGTCCCTATTGTAACAAGAAGCAAGAGGTTGTGAAGAAGCTGGGCCTCTGGTCATTGCCCGATATACTAGTCATACACCTGAAGCGATTCCGTCAGCAGTCGAAGCAACGCTCGACGTCCAAGTTAACCATGCTGGTGGACTTCCCCCTGTACGGCTTCGACATGACGCCGCATCTTGCCCACAATGGAGTCCAAGCGACCCACAACAACGTCACCACTCTGGGCGGCTTGGGCTGGTCGCCGTGGAAGAAACCACGACCGCGACAGCACAATATCCCCAAATACGACGAGAATGTGTACGATCTCTATGCTATATGCAACCATCACGGGCAGGATCTTCAAGGTGGGCATTACACAGCGTTCTGTAGAAATCCGTACGACACGCAGTGGTATTGCTTCGACGACACACGCGTGGAGACGGTCAACGACACTAATCTCATCACGAACGCGGCATACATGCTGTTCTATCAGCGCAGAGGTCTGACCCACAACTCCACCGGGAACTCGTCCGCGGCCTCTACAAGTTCAGCCGGCTCAGGCCTGGATCATTGGGTGTCGAAGATGCCGCCGTTTCATTTCAACAACAAAAGTAACGCTAACGTGACGAACAACAAGCAGAGCAAGTCGCAAGAGATGTTGTGTCAGGAGAAGATTGTCGAGGAGAAAAACATGACCAATTTTTCCAGAGGTTGTCGTAATTACGCGACTTTGCAGCCAAAGAAGAGGAACGCGGCGACGGAAACCGACATCGGACAAATCGATCATTATTCTGACGACGAAGCGCCCTGCAGAAGGGAATGGGTATGTGTCATTTCTTCTCCGTACGTTGCTGATAACGTCAGTGTTACGTCTTTCTGTGTTATACCTTCCTCTCACTTTCACTCCCTCTTTTTCTTTCTCTCGCGTCCTTTAGTGTGTAGTGAACGAATTGTTCGTTGGTGTTAAGTGAAGAGAGCAAATTAATCGAGATATTGAGCGATTATATTTTAATTTTGATCGCAGGCCTCCCCGAAACCCGTACGGAAGACTTCGTCTATCACATTGACACCGCATATACCGCCGGCTATCATCCAAAATGCTAGCAGCGATCCAAATACAACAGTGATACACGAATCCACGTTGTAACACACAATCTAAGCCAGACTGAGAAGTCTGGCTCGAGCGATGCTCAATGCACAGTGCCTGGTGATGTGCCGTGATGTGTTTCGAATAACATCGAGTGACGAGATATGACAGAGAAAAGAACGGATAATTTCGGTAGAATGTGAGTCCGTTATTTTTCGATTACCGAACGATTTCATCTAGAGTGCGACAAATCTCGTTCTTTCACTTCGAATTTATATAGAAATGCTTTTTTGTACGGGCGTGCCAGAGATGACCATAGATTTCCGGCAGCTTGCCTCTCCTTGCGAATGCGAACTGGGAGAGAAGCGTATGATAAATCTCTACAGGTAATTTTTCGAGAACGGTAGAAATAACGAGGCATTATTAATTTTTGTAATTGTAATACCATATTTGTATACAGCTCGCGTGGATTGTATTATATATGATAGCTGCTAAGGTAGCTTTTTAAAAAGGAAAAAAAAAAAGACAAATCTTATACACATGATAAAAAAACTCGCGAATCGTTGAGCGAAGGGAAGACCTCTAGTGTTTATATATTTAGATCATCGACGCGCAATAGGCCATTATAAAATCTACCTATGTCCAGAGAGAAGGCAAAACAATTATGAAGAAGTTTCGTGCAATTATAACGCGTCTATAATGTGATTAAGTCAATGTAAATATCGTTCGCAATGTGTCACCTTACAATGAAAGTATATGACAATAACAATTGTACGTTACAGTTCTGCATTAATATTTACAACACTCGTTTCTTCGTAATCGATCGTTTCTGGACATACTGTGTAGCTGCTGACCATGCTTTGAATCTGTGCTTAACTGTAATATTTATATTATACTTGTATCATCCACTAGTGGCCTTATCTCGATAATTAATACTGATACACGTGTCATTATTAGCATATTAATCATATTTATCATTTCGAGCGTTTTATTTTAGACATTGAGACTTTTTGCTAAAGTCACGAAGCTATAATTATTAGTTCCGCAATCCTTCTCTGATTTGCATTATGTAGAAAAGAAATACTATAAGTTACATGATATCATAATCTTTATTCAAGTTCTTCCAACAACTGTGTAAAGTGCTTCACAGTACTCCACTGATGCAAAAAAGAGAGCAATTGCAAGAGCTGATTTCCAAACAGAATGGTTTTTCTACCGAGAGAGCGCGTAAATATATACACATCCACAGTTGGTTTCTTGTGGTAATTTGAGTACTCCAGTTCTCCAGTTTTAACGATCATTCCAATTGGACGTTGAATAGAAGGTTAACGAGAGTAAAAGAGTGAAAGCGAGAATTTATAGATATATACATATGATTGTAATGTCGAGCAGAAGAAATATTTAAGTTATTCTATGATTAATACTTATTACTAGTCACATCTATTGTGGACAGGGGTAGAAGGTGTGCGAAGAGAAGATAACGTGCGCGAGCGAAAATGTGTAAATTGCGAGTCACTACCCCCTATTACAATGATTTTAGAATTTATGTATATTTGGCAATTGACTGAAGGATCTATGCATTATTAATATTATTACGTATTTTTTCCTTGAGAGAGAAATAAATTGAGAATGTATATACGAAAGAGACGTTATTCTCTCTCTCTCTGTCTCTCTCTCTCTCTCTCTGTCTCTGTCTCTCTCTCTCTCTCTCTCTCTCTCTCTCTCTCTCTCTCTCTCTCTCTCTCTCTCTCTCTCTCTCTCTCTCTCTCTCTCTCTCTCTCTCTCTCTCTCTCTTTGTTTCTCTCTCTCTGTTTGTGCACGTTACATATGTAACTTCGTCATGTTCGATCTATGCCTTTTGTGCCACTCGTCGTACGTTGCATTTTGTTATACGTTTACAAAGAGAAGTAAGAAACAAAATGATATCGTGATCCTTGATTCGTCACGTATAGCCGTATATGCATACCTTGTCTTTTTGAATATCTTTTTAGAATTAGTATTCACTTGTACGAAGTTCTTTATTTATCGACCAAATGAAATGGAACTTAAGTAACCGAGAGCGCTATTACTCTAGCGTCTTACCGATAAAGTATGGCAGACACATGAGTAACTCAATGACGAATTGAAAATAAATATGATAAAACAAAATAAAAGACATGTTCTTCTCTAGATATTTCTACACCAAGATAGTGTAATGATAATGCTACCTTTGCGCAAATATCTTTAAATTATAAAATTCTAAACATCGACAAATTTTATTTCAGAAAGATTGATATTGTTTATTGATTAATATCGAAATTGATAATTGATTTGAAAATTTTCATCCGGTTTTGTAGTTAAAAATTTAACAATTCTGATAGATATAAAACAATCGATATTCTTCTTTCATATTGAATCAACATTTATTTTCAACATTGCTTGTATCGCTACAAAAAATTTCATGATCATTTTCAACTCATTATATAGTCTGTGATGATTAATCGGTAACGATAGCAAAAGTGCTAATCGCACATATTGTGTACTTGAACATTGCAAGGAAAGGAAGAGAGCAAGAAAATTGGAAGCCATGAAAATTTCCACTTATACAATTTGCAGTTCAAATGCACCCGCGTGCGCGCCAGTTGCACGCGCACGCGCATCTACGCGCAACGTACTACCTTCACGGTATTCGCGCAAACGACATTGCGATTGGTCGCTTCGTCGCCCCACCTTCTCCTTTCGCTCGTCAGTCCGGCTCGAGCCTCCGTGGATAGAGTGTTGTGTGTTGTGGATCGCGCTTTCGTACGCGAGTGTACGGACTCCTCACTGAAAAAAATCAAGGTAAGAATCGCGATCGGAACGCGACCATCGTCCCATCACGATTATCGTCGGCGTGTGACTCACGTCGCCACGAACTAACGAAATCGCGAACGTACGGTGCTCATCATTCGACGGGGATAAGAACGACTGCCGCTTCTGTCACGCGAACCATCACCGGGCGAGACACGTTCTCGGACTCGCCCTAACGATATATACTACCGTGATATATCGAAGCAACGTGACACAACGTTCTCTCCGAAATGCAACGACGAGACGTGCCTCAATAGTCACGAGCGAGAGAACGACGGAGAGAAAATACGTAAGAAACGATATATCGCAATAAAAAGGAAGCGAGAGGAGAGTGGAAGGAAACAGAGGAACCTGATGGCGCTCATGGTCGCCTTCGTGTGTACTCTCGGGGATCGATACACGGTACACACTCGGGACGACGTTGTATGGGTGTGAGAATACATTACATGAGCTTCTCGTGGACGCGTTGCCGCCGCCGCCGCGGCTGCATGTATCGTGTGCATGTGTGAAAACGTACGGGCGTAAGAAAGAGAGAGAGAGAGAGAGACAGAGAGAAAAAGAGAGAGAGAGAGAGAGATTCACCGGAGAGAGACGGGTGGGGAGACGAGAACGAGAAGTGTCGGATGGAGAAGGAGTGCATAGGGCTGGATTTCGTTGCGCGGCACCGAAACTAAAGAAATCCCAGCAGCAGATGTTGCGTGCAAGCGGGCGGCCGAGCGAGCGAGCGAGCAAACGAACGAGCGGCCGAGTGAGTCAAGCGGAGCTCGTAAAACTCTGGCGCTCATAAAGTCATTCGTCGGGGGTTGCTGGATAAAACAACTCCGAAACTGTCTCTTGTTCTCCGTCTTTCTCTCTCTCTCTCTCCCCCTCTCTCTCTCTCTCTCTCTCTCTCTGTCGTAGGATTTTCTCATGCGTGCAAGAGCACGAACGCGGATACGGAACGACGGGTTACACTTCTGCCTACGACGGGTAGTATCGAACGGATCCATTTTCTTCGCGCATGCAACGCAAGGCGATGGCCTCTCGCGCGAGGCGACGCGACGAGCGCGAAGCGCCAATATGATCGAAGTTAGAGCGCGGGCGTTTATAGCGGCGACGCGACGCCACGGTACATTACAATAGGTCGATGACTTTTTACATACGATAAGAACGCGGCGTGTGCGCGCCGCGGCGACCTGATCCCCGTGACCGAGAACATCGCGTGGCGGTGAGAAATTCCGATATTTCGGGAATGATGTCCTGACAGTTCATATTTCGGGCTTGACACTTGGCGAGGTAACTGTGCGAGAGATAACGCGGCGCGTGTTCCCCTCGGAATTATGAAAGCCGCGTGTTGCGAGCTGCGGATGATTTAGAAACCGTTATAAATCCGTCGAATATATTACGTAGAATGGATGTGTCGGGCCGAGATATACATATTAAAATCATGTGAAATCCAATTTTTATTTTTTATCACCCGATGAGAAGCGCAGCTTCTCTCACGTTTCAGTGATTTAAATTTTGCAGAAAATTCGCCGAAAGACTCGTCCCGAAAGAGTTGAATTACATTATTGGATTTATTATTATTTTATTTTATTGGATTATTGGATTTTCTACATTTTATATTGAAAAAACACCTAGGGAAAAGATACATCTCTCATTTTGGGATAAATTTCCTCGGGATTTCCCTTCAGCTATATTTATCTATATGCTTTTATAGTTTTTTACTATGTATGTTATCTTTTTCTTTCTTTTCCTTAAGATCTCAGAATATATATGCGTGATGAGTTACTTGACACATACGATACACACACACGCACGCACACACACAAAGGTACTAAAAAAGGGTAAAGAACTTGAGAAGAGTATGGTACTCGTCAAGAGCTGTAAACTACGGCCAATCAACGTAGGGTCGAGAATTGATCCTTTCGTTGTAAAATATGACTTTTTCTCCCGATAACGAAATCTGAAGGAAACTTGAATGCGTAAAATCTTGTTTTATCAGAGCTTCGACTTCCATGAAGTTTAAAATTAGTTTAATCGAAAAGAGAGAGATAATTGGTATCGCTAACGCAGATTTGCGTAATTTTCTATTACAACGCGACTGTTACTGAATGTTCTTTCAGGGTAAGCGAATGAAGTTCTGCAGACGAGTATAGTTGCATTATAGTCGATCGATCGTAGTAGTTGCATGTCGTGATACCAACCGACCCATGATCGGGATAGGTCGATGACTTTTTACCTATGAAAACGTGATTTACAAGATACGCTCGAGTCGATAACAAGCGGTTGGTTACCTTTTCAATGTTTTATAAGTTGAATCTATTGAAAATTTATTATGCAAAACAGATATCTCTAGACACCGGTATATTTACTTTCTAAAATTTGTCGTCTATTAAGTATTTATCATGTGGAGAGACTGATATTCAATTAATTTATTTTCATTCTCAAGTAGTCTGGTCGCTAAGTTATATCTTAATTACCAGAACGACTGTCTATGACTGGATCTTGCAGAACATTCTTTGATAGGGTTTTTAACTGTTCAGAGATTGGCACATTTATTTTAAGGTCTGTATTTACACAGGTCGTGTTTCTATTGAGAAACTCTGTTGAGAGACTTGCCTCAAGATACGCTTCGATGGATTCATCTTTTAAAAGTCCGCTCGATATTTGTAACCGAGAAGTCGCTTTTCATTTATTTTAAGATGGTTACTCTGATATAAAAAAAAATTGTCTATTTTTCCATCACGTTACAATTCATTCTAATGAACTTGGCATCCGACACTTACAAAACGACACGTATGTCTTATCTTAATCTAGACCACAGCATATGCAAAGCGGATTAGGATCATAGGTCTCCTTGTTAGTATGACGGCATAGGTAGCGCGATCATAATACTAATGACATTCATTTAAAATTGCAATGCGGTTGGCGATGACTTTACTTCCCGTTTGTATGATGAGGTATGCTCACGCGGTGAGTCAGTATAAATGCGCACGCATATTGCAGTCTCCGCCCTCAATTGTGAGTAGATTTTGTAGGCATGATGAAAATTTAAGCGTATACTGTAATAAAATTAACATTTCCATCAAACAGGAACGATTAACGATCGCGACATAGTGCGACGCAAAATTAGGGTGTATTTTTTGACAAGGAGAGCTCCAAATATTCAACTTACCAAGCCATTTTTCTCTTTTAGGAGCATGGTGAAGTTGAATCGTGCATTTTACTGTACATTTAAATAAGAAACCGCGCTAATTAAATTACTTAATTACAAAACTTGACCATCAAATTCTAACATAATGTTTAAACGTTTATTTCTAAAATTTCTAATTATAATAAATTCTTAGAATCATACATATGTAATATGGTTTGTATAATTATTCTTACTAAGAGCATGTGAGGACATATATAAAGATACATGCAACAGAACTATCGGTCTTGATTCAACACTTTTATAGTTACTATTTCGTAATTTAAAAATAAAAGTTTATGTTTAAAGCTGCAACATTTATAGATAATGATGGTATACAATAAATACTTGAACATTATGTTAAAATTTTACAAGCAAATTTTTCTGCAAATAATTGGGAAGCGTGGCTTCTTATTTTTGCGGCTAATCTGCTTACGATTTAACTGCTTCATGTTTATAAAAGGGCATGTTTATAAAAGGCCTTGTAATAAATGCATCTATCGCTCTGGACATACCGGTATGAGTTTATTTAATGTATCGGTGTCTGCTCTGCAGCGACAATGTACGTTTCAAGGATAGAACAGAACCAGGAAAGTAGGTTAATAAACCGTACGTGTTCATTGCACTTTATCGATTCTTGCTATATTTATTAGACAGACAAGTATTTGTGTTACTCGTGTAATATACTTACATGGGCTTAATATAGAATATCGTCTATAAAGTATTAATATAAAGAAGTTAATAAAGAGTTCACCGATTTAGATCGATATATCACATTTGATATTTTAGTATTTGTGAAAGACAAATTTTTAGAATTTGAATTTTTTTTTTACTAGCTAAGTAAGCTTTACTAAGCTAGTTAAACTACTTTATTATATTTATAGAATATTTCTTCTTTCTCATCGAGTTATTAGCTTACGAAATTTTGTATACAGAATGAGTCACGTAATTTGTTAAAATCCGATATCTTAATAATTAGAATAGCGTAAAACTTCTTAATGATGGTTTAATGATAAAAGATAATACGTTATTAATATCTCTGCAATTAATATTTTTGACATAGTTTCCATGTATATTTGACAGATTAAGTTTATTCTTCTTTGACTTGATGTAATTATAAAATTAAAGTAGAAATAATGCCAGATTTTATAGTCACTACAAAGTCTTCAAAAATTTTGATGACGAGATAATAGCGTTGTTATGTGTCTGTTGAATTGACTTCCATCGATTTGTGAGTTAAGAATCTTTCCGACTCGTTTGTAATGTCAATGAAGCGTGGGACGGAGAGAACAGCTGGCACAGACTTCATTAATTAAACTCGCGTTGTTTCCACTAACTGGAGAGTTGAATCAGTACGGTAAAGCGTTTCGCGATATTGAACGGCGTCGACGCCGTTAAGCCAAGATTGAATCACGACTAACAACAGAAGAGCACAACACAGTTCTTAACGAAACAGTAATCAAATTAAAAAATAACTCTTGGGATGAATCCGCATCTTTACAACCATAAAAGAGACTGAGATATTAAAAATGCTGAATTGGATCATGAGAAAAATTAATCGCCTGCTGATTCTATTTATTGTTCTATTTCTCAAGAATTTCGACAATTCAAGCAAGCAGTTATTAAATCGTTTTATTTATCTATTTTATATGCACGAAATATTTTCTCTCTTTTCTCTCAGACCACATTGATATACGACGAGATAAGATGCGGTTGAAACGTAATCTTTTCTTACACTTTAAAGCTAGAATTTAGAGAAAATATTCCTTTTCCATTTCTTAGCAATTTTAAACAACGTATTAATTTATTTTCTCTTTTTATTACAGCACTCGTAGCATGTCTTGACGAGCAGGAGAGGCGCTTCGACAGGGTCTTCGGCAGATAAGGATTCTCCAAAATGGCGGGCGGTCAGCAGCTTCCGGAACAATATACAGTACCACAGCTCGCGAGGATCTTCCACAGCCTGCCACATCTGAACGTCTCTCTGCATTCGGTCAACAATACATTCAATCCTAACTCTGAAATCTATTTGGAGGTAAATTGTGTACGCGTGTGTGTGTTCTCGGATAGGATTAATCGATTTGACTTTCTCGTTAATTACTGGAGGAGAAAGAGAGAATAGGGAGAATATCTTCTTCTCTTCTCTCTACCGAATTCGCTTTTCACCTTCCGTATTGCGTTCGTACGGTATGCAGATCGATTTTGTTGATTTAAAACAAACTGCATTTGATTAAATGCGTGACCTGAGCCTTTAAAGCTTTGTTTGGACTGATAAGTTGCTTAGCAAGAGTTCAGATTCCACATAATTCTCGAGATCAGTTTTGAGAAATATTTTCATAACTATGGGATCAATATCCATTTTTTTGCTTCCAATTATAGAAGATGTAAAAAATTCTGTAAACATTTAAATACTTAAATATTTTTTCTCGATTTCACATTTCATTGCGTTTCTCATCGTCAGACTTACTACTTATAAGATATATTTATAGAATATAAATACATGTTATATGATACATCTGAAACACACTTGGAAATGGACTAGCTTGTAATATAGTTTACAAAATATTTTTGAAATATCAATTTGATTAGTTTATCTTCAATCAGAGATGAATGAAGGAGATGAATGAGGATATAATACTTTTTCAAAAATATATTCAAATGTTGGGAAAACAAAATGCAGCACCTCTTGGCATAAATTCTCAATTTTCAAATTTTAGGACGTTTAGGACAGTCTAAAATTGTATCTGCAGCTAAATTTAAATGAACAGGAATTAATTGGATATTCCACTCGACTCCCTGCTAATACCTTGATCTTATATAGCAGCAAACCCTAACGATTATCCCTTGGGATATCCTCTTAGTAACTACGACCACCGAGAGAGCGTTTTAACTAGAGTGTGTGCTTCTTGCGAGTGTTGAATTACTATTGTATTGATGTACATTCGAATTGATAAAAATCCAATGGAAACATCTGAAAACGGTCAGCGAGCGGGGAAGACCGTGCTATCGACTAGTTTTTCCACCAGCGTAAGACCGGAGAGGGTAGAAAAGAGAAGGAACGCGTTTGCGGAAAGTAAAAAACGCGAGACGCGCTGCAACATGAGGACACAAAAGGAGAGAGAAGAAGAGGAGGAGGGTGGAGATAGAGATAGAGAGAGAGAGAGAGAGAGAGAGAGAGAGAGAGAGAGAGAAATAGTGGGATAAGAAGCTGCTAGTGAAGAAAAAGCTAGGAACGGTGGACAGGTGGATGCCGCGAGCGTGCAAAAATCCGGGCCGTGTAACTGGAAAGCACAATGCCTGGGAAAGCTTAAACAATGCACAAAGGCTTTCGCATAATGCGCCCGGAGCCACTTGCGGGCTTCAACGTGCTCGGAAACATCGGACCACGCGTGTCCCGCCCTTCTCGTATCCGTAATTCCTGCGCTCCCTTTCGTGTCCTCTCGTTTCTCGTCTTCCCTTCTTTTTCATACGTCTTCTTCGGCCATCGAAGTCGGTAGAGATATCACCAACTAGGTTCGTGCGAGGAAAACTTTGTCTCGTGATATGTATGTTTTCGTCATGCATGCCGAGGTGGCAGAGCTCAAGCTGAAAGTCGATGAACAAGATAAAAGTCTCATGGAGGTCTGCAAGTGTTTATCTTTGAACATTTCTCGTTTGAAAATTGTTATCGTCCCTCGACATTTTCGTACTAGGATTTCCGTCGCAAAATATTCTCGGGAGTCTGCCACTGTAGCGAGTGTCATAGTAATGGTGCGATAGCTTACATCTAAAATGTTATTAAAAGACAATTTAGAATTTTTTTCAGATATTACTTATAATGCTTACTGATAAACTCGATAAAAAGATACCTGGTCCAAATAAGTCAACTGTTTCAGAAGTAACAACGATTTTGTATTTCAATAACGTAACAAGAGATACGTGTCTGAGTCTGTTCATCGTTTACGGTATGAAAAACAGACCATTATCTTATCGTGCTGCTTCCATGCGTAAATATTTACTTTATTTACTCAATAGACTCGTTGATCAGTCTCAATAAACGTGCAGTAACTGAGAGTTCAGTTCGTCAGTATGGTGTTCAAAATGTATTCAACAACGGTGAACGCTATTATAACGCGGAAATAGCGGACAACTGCGTGCATTGCCGTGTTAATGGGAATGCTTCGGCCGTTTATATCCGGCACAGAAACTTTGAAAAAACAAAGTGCGGTGATACGAAGATATAAAGCGCGCGTATCGAAGTGAAAAGATGACATAGAGATTACCTCTCGCACGGGCTGAAATAATAATACAATTTGTGAGATTAATCCTCTGCTTTTATTCCGTAAAAAATCACATTGTAAAATCCTGAATCTTTCTTTCAATAATAGCGTCGTTCCTGTTGTTAAGCAGAAAAGTGTGAAACCACATATGAACGTAATCTTTACAGAGTCTCGGGATACTGGGAAGCATACCTGCAGCCTGGTTGATCCTAACATTGTTGGTATTGCTAGTTTATTTGGTAACGAGATGCTGCGACCGGAAGCCGCGCCCTAGAAGGTCGATAACCCTGCTGAAGTGTTCACTAGCCGTCCTGGCATTGCTCTGTAGTGGAGCAGTTGCTGTTGGTCTTTACGGCAACGATGACGTGCACAACGGTTTAGTACAGCTAGTGGCAGCGGCTAAGAACGTCGATGGGATCCTCATGGGTGTGAGAAATCAGGTACTCTAACTTGCTAAAAGCATTTGGTTTGCCCATTAAAGTAAATTAGATTATAACGACGAATATTACATATCTTTCCGTGTGCTTTTTGGTCCGTCAGAGAAAATCATGTAGGGATATCTCATGACACAGATATGTACTAAAAAATATCATTTTTTTAATTTCCTGATAGTATAAGCTAATGAAAAAAAGAAAAAAAAGAAAGAAAGAGGTAAAATATGTGCAACGTTTTTTGCGTTTTAGTATCTGTCAATATCATGCTTCTTGCAGACTGACACTATAGAAGCAACTTTAAAGAAAAAGATGCAGCCGCAACTGACTGCCCTCGGGGACGAATTTGACGCCCCAGTCAGCAATAAGACGATGTTGGGTCTGCTGTTGGTAGCGCTTAACGGCATGAAGCAAAACACAAGCATCGCTGTGAATCGGAGTTTCGAAATCCGAAAGCCTTTGAGCGGCATTAGTCTCGCCAGCGCCATCGAGATGGCTGAAAAAATCGAACATTTGAGATGGCCTATCACTATGGCGGTCTTGAGCGCTCTACTTGTCCTCTGTGTGGTTCTGGTGGTCGGTGTCGCACGACACTCCAGATGCGTCCTTATAACGTATGTAATATATAATATAGGAAAGGAAGTTTAATCGTTTGCGACGCTGCACTATTTTATCTTGCGATATTTTGTATCTCTCTTATAACACGCTTATAAACGAGAGAGAGAAGCGACAACATTTCAACTGAATCCGAAAGATAGATTGTTTTCTGTGAATGCGCGCATTATAGTCACGACGACGATCATCCGTCGTGTGAGTCGTTTTAATGAAAACTCTCTTTCAGATTTTCCGTGTTCGGCTTGTTCGCCGTGATCGTCTCTTGGCTCATGGCATCCTTATATCTAGCCACTTCTGTAGCACTAGGTGATCTTTGCGTGTCGCCCGACGGTTATTTAAGCAGAGAGGTGCCGCCGACCTTAGCCTTCGAGGTGCTCTCGTACTACACGCACTGCGAGAACACCCGTAGCAATCCGTTTACGCAGAGATTGCGAGACGGGCAGCGTGCAGTAGGCAACATGAGGCACAATCTGAACACTGTGACTCGATTAGCGATAGAGCTGTTCAAAGACCAGCAACTCCAGCCGAAACTTAGCAGTTTGTCCACGGATGTTAATACCGTAGATAAACTCGTGTCGGGCTTAGCCACGTTGCTCGATTGTAAGCCTCTCCACAAGCAATACGTTCACGCAGTTAAGAGCTTATGTCACTTGGGACTGTAAGTTGATGCATTCTTCTAATGTATATTTATCATAATTAAAAGAGAAATCGAATTATTGCTTTATTCGTTAAGTAGTGATATTTCATGTGAAGTTTGATATATAAACTAGTCTAATGTTTCCTTTTTTTTTTTCTTTGTAATGCATTCCAGATATGGATTAACTTTTATGCTACTAGCCAGTTTAGCCGCGGGTCTCTTTTTCACTATATTGGTGTGGGTGGATTCTCATACGTGGATATATATCCGAAAACGGTACGCGAATTGTCTCTCATATCTGTATTACTCAAAACGTCATGTTCAACGGAAATGTGTGTGCCAAGTCACACACACATATCAGATTTTATTTATTTAAAAATAAAATTGTATTCCTCATTCCTATTATTAGAATTTGAACTTAATGTACTTAATGTATTTAAGTGAGACAGGGTAAAAAAAATTACCAATTGATTATTTTGATTATTAATCTTTTAATTTAAAGACTTCTTATTTGAATAAAATATATATTTGAATATTTATTTTAATGAAAATTTATTGAAATAATGCCCAGATAGGCATTAAACAGGACGTAACCGGTGATACGTTTGTTCCAGAAGAGATTACCATCAAGTCGACGAGCAAGATCCTTACTTGCCACCGTCAGCGGCTTCGCAGGCGATAGCAGCGCGGACCCTTCGAGGCCAAGGGTCGTACCCGCCTACAGCCCCTCCGCTTAATTCGAATGCTCTTGGCACTCATAATACGATTAAGCAGCCTCTCTTGCTAACGCCGCCCCCACCGTCCTACGCTACTGCGACTGCTCGAGCACGTCAACTGCACGAGAGCATGCTAAAGTTTGTGCATGAGACTTTCAGTTTTATTCTCTTTCATTTTGTTAGCTACATTTAAGAAAAAAAAAAAAAATGTCAAACCGCGTGAAATACCGTTGATTAGGTTTGTCTCCTTTGAATGTCGCTTTAATCATGTATAATTTCCGAACTGCCAAGAATAACAGATCATGATGCAGTTATTAATATCTATACATAGCAAACGCTTCTTAACGACATCATACACGGTGAAACATCATTTTGTCGACATTGATTTTATATTTGTGATGTCCTAATTGTTTATAAACGTTTCGATATTTTTGCAGCATAAGTATTGAGACAGATTGAATATTGTTCTCTGCAAGAGTTTTTAATTGCTTTTACGATATTGTTACGATCATAGTATAGCGCGCTTTCTTGTTTTATCCTTCATCAACATCATGTAAACATAATTGTATAGACAATCTTGCAGACATGATTGAACTTGGATTTATGTTTAGATAAGCTAAACAATATCGGTCATTGTCTAAAACTAAGATAATGCTGCAACTTGGTTTGTCTTTGATCGCCATTTACAGAGGTGGGGGTGTTAATGGGAGCGGAGGAGGCGGGGATCATAAATCGTCTCAGCATAATCAGCAATCAACGGGCGGACGGGCTGAGCACCGTTCTGGACTCGGAGATCAACCTGGCCAGTACGCGACTTTGAGCAAACAGTGCAAAACTCTAGAATCGAGTGATTTCTACTGAGGGCACGCCCCCGCAGGGCCCGGTAAACAGTTTAGAATTAGTAGTATAATAACGTTTACGTACGTTTGTCTCTTTTCTCTAATTATATTTACATTTTACGTGATGCAAATATTTGCTTTTGTACACGTATACGTTTATACGTGTGCTTAAAATTGAATATCATATTGCAGGTAGAGAACCACCTTGGACGCCCAGCGTGGCGTCCTTTACCGGTACCCTGTCTCACAATTCGCATGGACCCGCTCATCTTGCTACTTTCCAAGACTCTCGAAAGACGCAAACATTGGATCCGAAGAATCTGACGAATCTGAAAAGAGGCCCAACTCCGGCGTGGAATCAAAACCGACCGCTACCGCCAAACCCCACGAGTCAGCCGACGTGGGAGTTTGAGTCGCGCTCACAAACCAACATGAATCAGTTCCGATCGTTAGTGAGAAACAAGGCGCCTAACATTCGCATTCAGGATCAGATGCAAGATCAGGTCAGAACTTTGGACAGAAATTTCTCGCGTAGTCAGTTCAACGGCACTGCGCAGAACAATGCGACGGTGCCGAATATGTACGGTACGTATAATCGAGCGCAAGGGAGGCAGGAGAAGCCGACAGTGGCTACGTTGAGTCAGGTACAGGGTAGTGATCCTAATCTGTATGCTGTAACGGAACTCTAATCGCGGAAGCGGAAGGGGCTGAGGAGAGAGAGAGAGAGAGAGAGAGAGACCATGTTATCGCAGAACAGATCGTCTCAGCCTCAGTCATAAACGCCGTGAGGTACGTGAGTATTCAGAGTATGCAGAGCGTACCAAGTATACCAGAGTAAGAACGTCATGTTACCGAGAGTCGTCTTTCAATAGAGCTAGAATCGTGCGATTCGGAGTTCCTATAAAGAAACGGCAAACCGATTTTGGGGATCTGCGATAAAAGTGAGAGAAATTGGGGGCGAAACAGTTTTAAAGTACTGTGTACTACGAACTTGCGTAAGAAACACACTTTATATCCGAGATTTTATACTTGTATATCATGTACAGTGATTGTGGTAGGTCCTTCTGTGCGTTATCCTCTATCTCTTTGTTACCCGCGCTGTTGGGTTAGACGTGCGCAAAGTACATTCAGCAATAGACGGGATACATATTTACATATGGCAGCGCCATGTATTTATTGCTTGTTGATCGGAGAGCTGCACGAACGAATAAGCGCAAAATCTCTCACATGAAAGCTTCATGTTCGGCATCGATCGTTTACAGAGATACCACTTTGCTTATTCATTCTAAAATTAGCCGTTAATTTCGTATCTGATATTTAACTCTAGGAGCTAGATATATACATATATATATATATATATATATATACTACAAATTAAAGAAAAATACCAAAATACACCATGAAGAAAATACCAAGTTACAGTTTTTATATACTTTTTACATTTTAATCTCTTCTCGAACGGTATCCGCAAGGCGAATCTATATACGTTGAATTTTCTGTGAGATATTTTATACACTTTATATGTGTATGTGAACGTATACATCTAGTTGCCGCACGAATGACTGGTAATTTTTACGAAATGTATCGGCAGATTGGCAGAACTTGATTGATTATGGGATATGCTCGCGATACTGCCAATGTGCTCATGCGAATATACTTTTTAAGTACAAAACATGGTGGTAGCACAGGTGTGTGTATGTGTGTGTTACATAGGTTTTTCAGTTTTTATATGAAGAACGGGCGTTTAAGGTATCGACGAAACGATTAAGAATATTGGAAACATACCATTCCACAAGCGGTACTAGTTAAAAAGTACGACGTACTCTTTTTAGAGGAAGCGGAAAAATGAATCTATCGCAAAAGTTGAATCTTATTATACTTTGTAAGGGCCGAGAGAATGAATTTTCTGCGGAATGCAGTCTTCCTGAAACATTCTATATATAGCACTAGAAATATACTGGGTATCCGGCAATTATTCGGTACTGGTAAAATTGGGTTTTACGTCTTGCTGTCGATCGCTGAAAAACCAATGATGGATCCGCGCATAAACGCGCTAGGACAATGACAAGGCAAGTTGGCATTTGCTTGCCAACAAAATATGGCATTTTCTAAAATTTTTAATCTTAGTTTCCAATAATCATCTGTGAAATGCTAAAATCGTTACATTTTAATCGTGACCATTATTTAATAATGGGAGGATTGTTATACGTTTAGCACAATTAAGTTCCAGTATCGAGGAGCGAATCTATGCCTGAATAATAGTCGATCGGACGAGTGTTGTTTACTTACACAAGTATTCAACGTTCGGTTGACGAGTTGTCTTCGACTCCACGGATGTCCGATTTCTCCAGTATCCAGTATGTCTCTAATTGATGTTATCTCAAGATTTGTAAGAGTTGAGAGATAGATCTTCGGCAAAATTGCAAATGACTCTTTATACTCGCATCCGCATATAATTCAGTAAGTCTGTATATAAACAATAAATCTTAAGATTATCGAGCAAACGTGAAGTGTGATAAATCGAATCTAGATGTTATACGAACTTTGTCAAGGAGCACTTTGTTATTTCGGTTGACGGTTGGACGACGACGAAGACGACTTCGAGGGTGGAATTCCGAAATGTGGAACGACAAATCGTGCCATTTTCCAAGAACATTTGCATTTATCGCAATTACTTTCCAGAGGTTTCTTAGGATTTGTGTCATGTAAAACGATTATATAATCGCAATATCTCAAATATTACGAGAAGCGTGAATATAGAAAAACAGAATACTTGAGAGATTCAGTGTAAATAATTGTAATATTTATTATCGAGCGATAGCTCATAGACTAGTAGGGTATAGTTTAGTTAATTGCTCTAATTTAAGTTCTAAGACGGTAAATAGTAAAGATATGTACACATGGCTCACACACGCCAGCCATGTGCGCGTAAAACGAAATAAATATCGTTCTGTTCACTTTGGAGGTGAAGTACCCTAGTCAGTATGTAAAGTTATGTACATTCGATAGCAAATGTGAAAGAAAGATCTCTTGCCAAATTTTTAACACGGCTCAATTTTTCAAACGAAAGTAGAGAGGACCGTTCTTTCGTCTCAAATATTTGTAACGCGCGTCACTATTATTAATACCTATGGGAGCTATATTAGTGCGTCATCATCATCCAAATATATGTTCTAGATTTTAAGAGGAGAATTACTTATCGAGGAGGTATACAAAGATGATCCAACCGCAGTGTTTCAAAGAAACATATGCGCTATATGTATTCGTAATTATGAATACGTACTTGTACTTACTTTTCCCCCTGTCTTTTTCTTCAGCGAAGAATAATCGCTTTATATTTTCCTTTTCAACTGTACGATATTGATTCGCAATTAAGTAAATATTTATTTTGTCAATTTACTTAACGATAAAATGAAAATTGTCCTTTTTTATCCCTTTGGTGTAACCTTGTGTTGCGACTCATGGAATCTCGAGAAAGTGAGCACCTCCTTCAAATACCTGATGAAAAACACGATAATTCCGCTTCTATTGTTTGAGATTTTACAGTAAAGCGCGCAAATGGGATCAATATAATATTGTCCAGATCGAAAGCTGCAAGCCGCAAATAAAATAAATGTCAAGCGATTATGTTCGCCAGAGAGTGCGACGAAAATCTATAGTAATCGAATATTTCTCTGTAGGGAATCAATGATCCGAGCTCGTTGAACCGAATGAAAACCGACGACGGGAAAAGTTACTTTATACGAAGAACACGTTTGACATGTATTTCAAAGTAATATAAAATACAAGAGAAATACACTGTTAAACTTTTAATATGCGAATGTGTGATCTAAGATGACTAATGAGACTTTTATTCCAATCGTTTGTCAATTTTTACAGTTGAAGCGAGAGTTTGAGGCACATATTAGGAGACACTGTTTGAATAAATATAATTCCATTTAAGTTTCGTATAATTTTTTATATACGATAATAAACATGATATGGTGTATGAAAGTGAGAACATCGGCGTATGAAAGAAGAAAACACGAGTGAAAAGGGAAGGGTACTAAGACGTGAGAATGCGTGCATATGTGTGTCTATCGCAAATATATATATATATGTGTCTATGAAAGAGAGAGAGTAATGAAAGCGAGGGGGGAAAGAAAGAGAGAGCGAATGGGAGTGTGTGAGAGAAAGAATGGGGACTTTTTATTTTCGAAAATAAAATAGGAGTGATATAATGGAACAACAACATAAAGGAATCTGTTTGAGTTGGTGCATCTTTTCTTGGCCTATGGCGATCTCTGATCGCAACTTAAGAAAATAATTAATAAACGGTGAAAATCAAAAGGGAATCCTGAGGATCTGGTTGAATGCTATATACATCGATGGATGTGGTTACGTGTGGTTGAACAAAAATGCGAGAGACCTAGGCTTTGGTGCACCCGTTAAGACTGATACTGGATGATACTGGATGTATTGGAAGATCTCCAGGGCTCTAAAGTTTTTTCGTACATATTCGTACATGAGACATAAATGTTGAATCTTTTACACTGCTCGATATAGTGCACAAGATGTTTCCTTCCAAATTGAAATTGTATCATTCTACAGCGTCATCATGGTCCGTTCCATGGTACGTTTGAAGAATAGTGCAACTTTATAGAAAGACGTTTGCAACGTTTTGTGTATGCGACGAAACATTTATTTTTGTCGCGCGTTTTTCTTTGGTATTTTCTCATTTTACACCACATTTCCGATGTACCTCTTGCTACATCTATTAGTAGAATCGTAGACAATATGTGTGCGTATGCGTGTGTACACGCGCACCCATACCTTTATTTATTTTCTTTTTCTCTTACGTATTTCTCTCTTACCGCGTAAAAGAAAATTATTTACGGAATATGTGTAGAGGCTAATTCATATACTTACGTAAGTTGTAACATATTCTATTCTATTGTGTCTTTCTTTGTATGTGTGGTTATATGAATATTTCAAATGTATTATACAGAGATTTATCTCGAAAGCGCATAACAAACAACGGAAAACAAACAGAACTTGTTAATCGATATCATTTTTTGTATATTACGATTGTGTATAATAATTGCCATATGCTGGATTTAATTCCTCTATTGTAACGGAACATGAATATTATAAAAAGAGAAATAAAAATACCCTATGATCCACAATTATCATGTTAAGGTAATTACCGATTAATAGAAAACATATTAATTTATTTTGCAAAAGGAGAAAAAACGAGCAGCTTAATCTTTACTTTATATTATTTATTTATTAGCAATACTTTATTATATAACAATTTGGTACATAAATATACATACTGCTTTATTTCTCCTTATCTTCAATATTCTTCAACAATTTATGAATGTCCCCTAATGCGATATAGTTTGTTTATCGATGTTAATCAATTGTAATATTTTATCTTGATTTTATTATGGATTACATAGTACAAGGGTAATAATATAGCTTATTTTTTTTTTTTCATTTAGATGCGAATATAAATTTCTTTGGCGAGTCATTGCTTGCATCTTCTATATACCATCGCACCACTTCTTGCTTGATTAATTTTCATTCACTAATGTTCAAGTTTTTGTTCTTTAAAACTCCTGACATAAGAGACATAACGCATGTAATAGCTTCAATATATAAAATATAATTACAGTATACAGAGGGAGAGCTTGTCTATTGCGGAAAAAGTCTTAAGGCCAGATACCTTAGAAAATTTAGAAAAATAAAATTCTTAAAATGTGTACAAAAATGTTGAGGCTACAATTATTATAAGCAACGACACGATTCTGAAAAAAGGAACATTAAATTAATTGATTGTAAATTCTAGAAGAATATGCTGAAGTCTCGATTGTGGATTAGAGTATATTATTTCGTATTTCTATGAGAAGTCACAGGATACCTGATTCTGAATTAAAATTATACAGTAAGGATATGAAATATAACATTTTATAATAAACACAAATATTATCGTAATAATCTTATTTATTGCGGAATAAAATGTGCTGTAGGTATATGAAAGAGTGTATACAACGTATCAGTAAACTTCAAGTTAATTTATTTTTCAAGTTAAACTTTTAAAATAAACGGAATAACAGTTATTAAGTGTATTATAATCATAATGAATAATTAAAAGAATTTTAACTAGTAAACGCATACCCACGTGTCTTTTCATCAAGTATGATAACATCTCTAATCATATGATACACAATATTATAACGAAATTTAAATTTTGTCTTGATTGTAGATTAATATCTGTTATTTAGAATAATTATTTAAATAGCTATTTCTGTTTAATTTATATTTTCTCTATTTTTATTTTTTAACGTTAAAAGATACATTAACGTTTTAACGTTAAATTATTTGTATACTAATAATGTGCCTATATTCACATTTTACATAAAATAATAGTATACCTGATACAATCTAGAAAAAGTTTCAAATAATTCTAAATTATGCGAAACTCATTAAATCTCAGTAAAAGAAAAAAAAAATCAACTTTTCCTTAAATATTAACAATGTTTAAAAGTAACTTTATAACGTAATAATTATAAAGAGACTAAAGAAAATGAACAATATTTTGGTTTTAATTAAAACGTAATCTTATATTGCCTATTTATATAATTATTATACAATTAAATATATGAAACGATTTCTCGATTTTCTCCTGCTGATTGTGTTGCATAAGCGGCTAACTATTTTTGCTGACTTGTATATAAATCAAACGTCAAACTATCAAAATCTTACAGTTGCTTTGAAAATTCTTGATGAACACATCTAGAAATATATGCGTAAGGTACAAAATGTTTAGTTGCTTTCGAACTGGTACATGACAGGTATCCCTTACGTCTAATGTGCCGTGTCTAAACGCGAAAACTTTAGCCACTATCGTTGCTCAACTTTAACAGTTTATTGTTTAAGAACTATTACAGCCTTGATATTTTCTCGCACCAAGATTTTTATTTCTAAATTGCCTAAGGAATCTGGCTTTGAGAGAGAGAGAGAGAGAGAGAGAGAGAGAGAGAGAGAGAGAGAGAGAGAGAGAGAGAGAGAGAGAGAGAGAGATTTTCCGCGAGAGATAGTTCACCTTGTATATATTATAGTCCGTTATCATATCTTGTTTGCAGTTTATTGTGCTTAAGAACGAAACTTAACAAGTGTGGAAAGATTAATTCAGCGCGCGAGTAATCCTTAGATAATGATAGCGGTGAAGAGAGAAGCTGTCCACGTTGCCGGGATTGTATACTAGCAATAGCGCACTATAATACACGTAATCTTTTGGCAATAAATAATTTCATTCACTACATAAGCACATGAATGAGTATGTCACAATAAAACTATTTATTGTAAAGTTTCGCGTAATATTATGGTACGCTTTTTAAAAATCGCTGTACAGGCGAATGAATATTAACAAGACAAAGAAAGTGATAACAATTTAAGAAGGAATTTTATTCTGACTATTGTGCTGCGAGAGGTATTTCAGTGTCAAGTTGTTATTTACTTGTATGTAACTTATCGCAAAAGCAACAATTGAATCAGTCTAATAAGTACATGGACCACCCCATGATATTAAGTCGCGATCGCTTTGGAATTGCTCAGCTCGATAAAACTTCATGCGAAAAAAGAGATCGCTCGGGAGAGACGCATTCTAAATACATAAAAGTGAACGTCTTCGAGGAGGAGAGAAACGCTCGGCGAAAAGTGTTAGTGAATGGCAAGGAAAAATTAAACTGAGGCACGTTTCACGACATTCGGTACGCCTGCAGCACGATTCTTGCTATGCACGAGTTACAATTTAACGCTCCTTGCAAATGTAAAGAATATCTGCTAGAAAGAAAAGCGTTCCTCAATATTCACGTCAAAGCACCGCTCTTGTGCCACATTCAATCACTCGAGAACAATGTGCTCTCGGTGCAATGGCAATGTGGATGCAATGTTTACTACGACTTGACCGGGCCGGGTTCTTCCTTCACTTGATGCTGGGAATTGGCATTGCTTATCAGAGGCATACTCTTACCGCTCTGCAGGCTAGAATGGCTAGACGATCGACTGTGGCTCTGACTCTGACTGCTAGCGCCGACCGGTGTTTGCACCAACGGCTGCGGCGGCGTTCTAGCGCCGGAACCGTTGCTGTTTGTGAAATTTGGTTGCAACTGCATGTGATATTTGTAAATATTCTCGGTACTCTCCACGACACCTGGTTCAATGGAAAACGACACAGTGTATATATTACAGCTACTAGGAACAAGATGCTGAAACTATCTACACTCACCAGCTTGCAGATTTAGACTACGGCCACGAACGCCTGTCTCCTTGGAAGGAGGACTCCACCAATTAACGAATGTCCCTACTACGGGGACATGTCGGAGGATACCTTCTTGCCACAGCTTCTCTGCGTTTTCTCTCTCCAAGTCGATTTGCGCCGTCTCGATTCCTCTTTTCACTACTTCGGATATAGTGTCCAACATTTTGGAGCTAGCTTCCACTTCTTGGCCGACTTGCAAGACTAAAGACAACAGTTCAGCCACGTCTGCAGAGTAATACAGAGTAACGTTTGATGAATACGCAGGATATTCACGTGATATCACGACTACGCTTGACAACGCGCTCTCACCCGTATCTTGCGTTACCATGCCAAATCGCACGCACGCGAGACCATCCGCGCCTTCCCCGAGAGAAAACGCAGCGTCGGTGCTGCGTAGAGTCTCGACCAGCTGCGTGTTCAGTCTATTTAATTCCTCTTTCGTCTGATCGGTCATCACGTGAATCCATGTAGGTGGAGCGTAACGCACGCCTCCCAGACCCGCCCAACCTGGCATTTCTACCAAATGTAAAGAATCGTTCTCCATGACTAAACGCACGAACGTATTCTTATGCTCCACTGTGGCTATCAATATTTCCTGTATTCCATGAAATTGCGAAATCATTGATGGCTCGTTTATCAATGTACTGATAATTGCAATAATTGTGTGCTTATATACATATATAATTTGTATCATGTTGACGTTAAATGCAGCTCGGAAGCTTAACGGTATAAATTAATCAGAAACATTATTCAGTGATACAGTGATATATAAATAATAATTTTATAAATTGCAATATTTACATAAGTATAAAGGAATTAAAAGCAATAGTGTAAATTATCTGTAGAGTCGATTAATAAGAATTATCACATTTATCGTCATACACGTTCGGTGAGGTTACAGCTCGATGCGAGGAAGAGTGTACTTACTATTTGTTGTTGAAGACAAGTTACCAGATTATCTATATCCTCGGTCGCTGGCGGCCGATCGGGGTTCTCTAATGGGCATATACGGATCGCTACACCGCATTGTTCTATATCACAAAGCTCTATTTGTACATTATCAATGTCCCTTTGAAGAATCTGCCCTAACCAGGAGTTTAACTTGTCGTAATAGGGTATTACACGTTCCATGGTCTGAAGACCCTTATTCGCGGATACAAATTGGAAAACTAACGCGCTCGCCACTACCTCGAATAACTGTAGATTGTTTACAGGATTCGCCAGATACTCATTTATCGTGTAAGATTCCGTTTCACTGCCTGGCGATTGACTCTGAAGAAGTAAAAATAGGAGGAAGGTGTGTCTCGATAATCAGCATCGTCCGTCATACGTGCGTCACAAGTACTGTGTAAAGACTTACCAATATTCTAATACAAGGGAATCCTTTAATTTTATTGTACAATTCCTCCACAGCCAAGAAACATCTTTTGAATCGGTTATGCACACCGTCTCGACCTAAGATCTGCAAAACAGCCCACAAGGGCAAGGTCGGTAAACGTCTTGATAACGAATCTGCCAACAATCCTGAAACCAGAGATAACGTGGTATCTCTGGGAGTAGGCCTGCCCCCTTTGATATCCGCTAATCTGTACAATGTCTATAAGTGAGAGTTAAAGAAAATTGAAGAAGCGATCGATTGGTATTGATGTATCGATTAGAAAGAAAAGCCTATTGAACGTCCTAAGAGAAGAATATATATGATATATAAAATATTAGTATTCCTTTTAATGTATAATGTAAACATTATTATGACTTATCTTTATATTATAATTATTGTTTATAATTTTTTTTGTATTATAATTATTTTACAGTCTTAAGTACATCTAGTCGATCGTAAAAGGATACAACCACCGGTAGTGAAGGTATACCCAACCAAACTCCGAGTGGTAACGTAATGCTGTCCGCTATCTTCGACGGCTATAAGATAGAGATTTTTTTAAAGTTTTCAATGACTCCCGATAAATATGGGAGGAGATTAAATTCAATTAACGAGGAAAATTACCAAATCCTTCGCCGAATTGTTCAATACAAGTGCGGCTAATGAATGTCCTCTGAGATGCAACCAGACATTGTACTTGTCGCATATCGCTCGTAATCGCGTAATGTTGTCGCAATGGCCTGTTAATACTGAGCCAGCCTCGGCCAATACCAACAACGGCGTTACATTATTCGATTGCGTATCTTCCGCTAAACGTCGTTCCAATGCTGAGATGTCCATAGTATGCCTCGAACCGAACATGGTATTATGCGGGATTGGTCTTATGCAATGAAGCGGTAATGAGAGCTGCGGAAACATAAAAAATTTTTGATGTTCTCTCTTTAAAACTTCAGCTAGTAGTTTCTGAATTTTCCTCTTACAATTTTCTACATGCAGCATACTACGTAAGACAAAAAAAAAAGAAAACTGAGATTAATATAGATTAATGGATAACAATATATATTTTTAATAATAAATAATGATTAACAAATATAAACTTCTCGGAAAAAGAAATTAACATGTAACACCAATTTTATGCTATTTTTCGTAAAGAACTAAAATAATTCTTTCATTAAGATTTAATGAAAGTGGAATTTAATTTAACAGTATATATATTCAGTGCTGTATTTTCTTACAGTGACTCGGGACTTTTGTTAAAAAGAGTCATCAGTTTTAAAAAAAGTTATTATCAATGTTAAAAGGGAAAAGAACGAATAACAATATTACCTGTCTGCACAGATGCTGGACAACACCCAAGGGTGCAGCAACGGAGCTGTAAATCAAGGGGGGCATAGATGCAAGTGCGGTAAAGCCCTCCTCCATGTACCTGGGATACTTTCGGTGTAGGGCCAATCTCGTCACTCTGATCAACCCTTCTAAGTGATCCTCGTGGAAGGACGACGCGCAATCGACGAAGCGAAAGATGTGGCTGAGCCATCTCGTCGTATCGGCCGCTAGACGACCAGCAAGTTTTTGCGCGTGTGATTTTGGTAATGCTACAGCGTAAGCTGAGACAGTATGCGTGACCAAGGCTAATTTCGCTGCCTCAGTTAAAATTGGTAGTGCGGTAACTTGGTTGGCTGGTGTGTCTGTAGAATCAGCTTCTGCTGATTGCGGTGCATCTTCGTGAAGTACTAAATCCTATACAGCAGAAAAATAATTATAATTAATCCAATTAACTCGCAGCTGTGTCAACTGTGCTGCTCGCTGGAAAGCTTCCATACAAAGCTCATCCTCTCTGCGACAGCTCGATTCTAATTGAAAGTATCAGTGATCATGAGAAATTTTTCTGCCAAAAACTGTCATTCTTCATAATCGTGCATCTTCACACACCTGCGTGATATCTTTAACCATGTAACAGCAGAACAAACCAACTGGGGAGCGTCATTCGTGATCTGAATGATACGAGGGTCAGACGTGACGAGCTAAGGCTGAAATTCATATTCATTACACGCCGCGACACATCAGCTGCGTCGTCCCACGATACGCGCGCGCGCGCGCGACACAACACTACAAACTCACCGCGCGACCACGTGACATGTAATTATCGCGGTTGTTGCGCTGCCGCCGCGACCAATCACACGCCCCCAATGGCCTCTCGGCGTGGCGCAGCACCGCTCACCTGTATCAGCGCCAATATTTCGTCCGGTTTTTTCGGCTGCGACAGGAATCCCGAGGGATTGTTCCACGTGCTGCCATCGCCGCCGGCGCCGCTGTCAGCAGCGCCTTCGGCAGCTCGCTCCACCGCCTGTTCCAGCCGCGAGATCACTTGCGACGCCTGAAACTGCAGCGCGCCCACTTCGTTGAGCGTGGAAGGGTCGCCTTCTCCGGCACTGACCTGTCAAAATCGTCCGAAAAATTCTCACCGCTTCCCAGCACTACGTCGTAGGCGCGCGGCCGCTCGCTCGTACTGTGCCGATTGTTGCGCAGACGATGCGCGGCCGCGCGTCGCCAATTAATCGCACGCCGACACGCACCTCCAGCAGGGTTTGCACTAGACTTTCCATCGCCGCGTTATCGTTTGTGTCAACTTCCTCGGCCATCGTGGCAGTAGTCGTCGTGGCCGGCAGTAACGTAGCCGAGCGTCGCGCGCGTTCATTCGCCTCTGCCGAGGCGAATCGATCGCGGTCTCTCTCGCGCGTCCGGCTAGGCGCTCGCTCCGAATATTTCCGTGTAATCGACAGATCGGTCCGAAGCGAAGTGCAAAGTGGGGTTCACTGGCTTCTCGCGACTCTCCTGTTGCGGAGAATCGCGCGGACGCACTCGGTGTGGCAGGGGGCTCCACGAGCACTTGCGACGGTACTTCGAGCTGCTGCAGCGCTGTTTGGTCAATTCGTGCGCGGAGAGAATCCTGAGAGAGTGGTTATATATGTGATGCCGCGAGGGATTCGCGCGACGCGCGTTCTTCTCGACACGCCCTCTGGGAGGAAACGGACACAAAATATCGTTTGTGCGATCTGCGCACTTCAGTGGCGGTACCGGTTCAACATCTACAGTGGAAACTGCAGTGCAGGGGCCACCGACGAGGTAACGCTGAAGACTGACTGTCAGCCCTGGGTAAATTTTCGTATTGGCAAAAAGGAGCCCTGAGGTTCCCGACGGTAATTCAAGAGTGACGACCGTATCGACTGTTTTAGCTACGCTGAAGATAATACGAACATTTGTATCATATTGTATTTCCGTTACCATGACGAGACTACAAATTACCGATGATACAAAAATATCGTGTAGATGTTATCATTACTGTAAGTTTGTCACGTTGCGAGCTACAGCTTCATATTCCAGCCACGATATTCCTAAGAGGGCGTTAGCGCCAGCGAGATTTCTCTGGTATTCTAGATTCGTAAGACTAACGGTCTTTATTAATATCTCGTCGGTGATATCGTTAACGTACGAAGTCATGCGAAGAGGATGGCAATTTATTTACCGGAAAATGTCCTCATTCAGGTAAAATATATATAAAAATATAAATATTGTAATGTCTCTCATAAAAATACCCTGTGCGATATACTCCACCACATCTCTCTCCCTCTCTCCTTCTCTCCCTCTCTCTCTCTCTCTCTCTCTCTCTCTCTCTCTCTCTCTCTCTCTCTCTCTCTCTCTCTCTCTCTCTCTCTCTCTCTCTTGACCAACCTGGCGAAAATTCTATCGATCAAAGAGACATGTACATGTATCGCGGTACACTCACACATTTGCGCGAGAAAATACTCGTATATAAATATAAGACTCGCATTTTACGTAATATTTTGAAAATTGTTTTCAATCGATCCTTTGCGAAACGGCGAATATCTTGAGAAATGGGTACAACGGTTCCCATAAAGAAAATTCGGGTGCTCAATCGCTTTAAAATTTTATCGTCTCATTTTCTCCATTTGAATAATATTGCTCAGAGAATCTTTTTCGTCATGAGTATACTGAAAAAAAAATCGCGCATTCATCGCATCGTAACAATACGGAATTCAAATCTCCATGTTTCCAGGCTTTCTCGTCTGGTCGGAGAAGAATTTCCACGAAACTGTGTCGACGAATCTTCTGGATCATCTCTCTCCCTCTTTCTTCCCCTGTCCCGTTGGCCGCACGTAGTACGACAAACGTGCGACGCGGATGGCCCCCCCGCACTATCGATACCTGTCGAGCGAATCGACTCGGGGAGAACGCGACACATCGATTCGCGCGACTAGTTGGGCGCGTGGCCGCGCGAGAGCGCCGCAGTTTGTTACAAGATGGCGGGTGAGTGAGTGACTGTGGACGGGACGAGACTGCTCCGAAAAAACACGAGTGATTATCCGCTAATTCGCAGTGTTTCTCGGTTTCAGATATATCCTACATCCAGAAAGAGGATCTAGAAGGCTCGGAAGAGGGTGAGTACCATGAGCATGAATGCGTGCATACTTTACGACGAGGCTGATGGTGTCGTCGCGCGCGCACGACAACGATAGCTAGCTCAGTTCGCTCGACTCTGCTCTCGACTAGGGTTGCGTACATATTCTCGGCATCCGCTAACGTCGGCATGCTCCGGCTGTTCATTTCGGACTCGATGCGTGCACACGGGCGTGCACGCGCACATGCACATGTGCTTGCGTGTTGCGTGCGTACGTGCATGCGTGCGTGCGTGCATGCGTGCATATGTACGTATGTACGTACGTGGGTACGCGTATACTCGCGCATCACACGAGTCGTGCAGCACGCGACAGCGATGGTGCCGCGAGCGCGCGCGCGCGCGCGCGCGACGACGTCGTCTCGCCGTTACTCTCACGGCCCCTCGCCGCGAGACTTTGGAGGTTAAGTCGACACACCGCGCGAGAGAAACGTCGGCGCCCTGGCGCTCATAAGGCGGTTGTCACGCAGTATAGCACTCGGCACGCGCGCGGCCGAGACGTGTAGAAGCGCGCTCCGGCACTGGGCGGTTCTGGCAGTCAGGGGGCGCCACGCGACGCGTCGCGCGCTGTGTTTATCTCGGTCGTGCGAGAGGAGAGAGAAAAAAAAAGGAAAAGAGAAGCGATCGGCGAGAGAAGGCATGCGTTTGTGTCGCGTAAGTACTGTCCTTCCCCCGTCGTCGACCTCCTCGTCTTTCTCGTCTTCGTCGCGCCGACGAGCGAATCGATGCGACCAGGAATCGCCGCCGAAACGCGGCGGTCTGATCGACGAGAGAGAGAGAGAGAGAGAGAGAGAGAGAGAGAGAGAGAGAGAGAGAGAGAGAGAAAGAGAGAGAGAGAGATCATCGATCTCGTCGTTGACTCACCCGACGATATTTACTGCGACTGTCGATGCAAACATTTGCGCGGCTTGCATCGCGAGAACGTGATAATCTATCGTTTCATTCGGCTACTCCAAAGGTCTTATTCTGGATACTCGTTCGGCGTTGAACTGTAATCGGCCGAATTCGAGTCGCGTTTCTCTCGGGCGAACGCCTCACGTATAACATTGTTTCGGCTCGAGGATCAGAAGAATACCTTTAGCGCTCGCTGTGTCCAGAATACGATCCCAGAACGACGCAGTCGAGAGCACGACGACGACCGCGATGCACGAGGTGTCGAATGTCCGATGTTCGAGAGAGAGAGAGAGAGAGAGAGACCGAGAGAGACCAGGGACGTATCCTCGCGTCGGTCGTCGTACCGTGCGCGCCGTGAGACACGAAGGTCTCATTTACACGCGTATCCTGCGGCATCGAAGCCGGAGTGTTTACAAGGAAAGAATTCACATCGCGTTTTCGCATCTCTGCTCAATGTGTAGCCGAACGCGCGATTTGTAAGTAAGAATCGGCCGTAGGGTGTCGGATTGTTACGCCGGCTGCGTACGGACGTCGTTATAACGTCCGTAATAACCGTTGGCCGGCGTCTAGAGTATACGGTGTGCGTTCAGAACGCAAGGCAGAGCCGAGACCGAAGGTCGAGTCAGTCGAAAAGTGGCGGCATCTTGAAAGATTAAAGAAAACGAGCAGTTAGCGCGCGCGGTTCCTTCCCCTATCGGGGTTACTGATCTCGGGTTCCTCTTCTATCGTCTATTTGCGAGTGCCATCTGTCGTAAGTAGGGGCGTACCATGCCGTAGGTTCTCCCGGCGGTTCCCAGAAAACCGTCCGAGAGAGAGAGAGAAAGAGGGGGAGAGAGGGACGAGAGAGAGAGAGATAGAGAGTCCCCCGTCCGCGTTCGTCGGCTCGAAAACCGAAAACGTCGTCCTCCTTCCCAGACTCGGGGCTCCCATAGACTACGGTTTCGCATACGACGCAGGAATAATTTTTCTCACGCGATTACACGCGAGACAAATTCCAAGCCGAACGACGACGGAGTTCGTTCCACTCCGAGAGACCTGTACACACAAATTTATCTCCGCTCCTTCTTCAGCGTTTTTCCGTCATCCTCGCGGATATCTCTTCCGTTCTTTCTGGATAAGCTGGCCCTAGCCCGGACTTTATCTCGCATTCCTCACTCCGAGAGTGTTTATCAGTCGCGCTCGTTTATATTTCTAAGCCTTGTCTAGAGAAGCATTCGAATCGGTAACCTTCTGTTGCCCGAGCACAAACATATTTGGATCGAGGCGATCGGGAGAATATCTCGTTTTCAACGGCTCGTCACAGCAAGTATTTGTCGTCATACATCGAATACGTATCAGGCGTTAACGCGTGCGCGCGTAACATCGAACTTCATCATGATGTTTGCAATGATACGAAACGATTTAATTTTCAACGTGAATGTATCCCTTCGAGGACAAATTTAACCGTGTATATTTCGCGCGCCCAGTTGCTCATAATTACAAATAGCGTTTATATCAATTGACGCGACATATTCGAAAGTAATGCGTGTCAATCATCGCGCGTGCCTAAAATCTTTTTTATCGACTCAGCTGGCGAAATATGTGACATTTTTCAAAAGTTATTCTAATATCGCGCGACAATGACCATGGCCGCCATAGGCAACTGCCAGTAATCGATCACGATTATGCAAATTTATTTGGTGACTGGCTGTGAGAGACAGCAGCTAGCGCATTAGGCGTTTCTCGAGCATCAATAAAAAGCATCCTTAGGCCTAGTTTTCACAATCGTTTGCGGCTAATTATTCTATTTGGCGTATCAGTATTTTGTTTCGGCGAGATGCTACGGGCTGTATTCTCCATACGCTTATCGATGTTTGTCGGTTTGGTACGTGTCGTTGCGTGCAGACGTGATCATATAAAATGTGTGATGACACATATCGAGCCGACAGTTATCGGTTAAACATTTATGGAACAGTGATTGCGAAGAAACTTATAAATTCTACCTAGATGGAAAGTAAGAGATAAAAGTGTGAGTTGACTCTTTGACAGTCATTGATTCTCCGAATTTCACGTTTCGAGGAAAATTGGAACCGTTTAGAGAAATAGTAGCGCGACTGCAAGCAACGCAATGGGAATATATATATTCTCATTATAGATTATAAATATAGAAAAGTATACAGATGAATGTGTGAGTCAATTGTCAGTACTGCAGGGACGCGACAAATGAACGATATCTAAGCGGGAAAATCATGAAACAATGAGAAGCAAGTTTGAACAGCGCGTTGATACGCAATAATGCGAGCTTTCCCATTTATCTTGTTCGTCCCGACGCGATTCTATAATTCGCCCGTCATTTTTCTTTTTAATATCATTCATGAAGTTTTTATAAGTGCTGCTTTCGAGCGTCTCGCCGGATGGAATATCATTTTCTTTCGCCGACTTTATCCGACCTGAGCACTCACGGGGAGGGAGGAAGTGTGCGTGGTATAAAACGAGTATAGACGAATGTATAGAGAA